GAAATGAAAGCCGAAGACATGATTGGTGCAGCCTGCAGTGTTTTATTGTATGATAAACAACTCCCACTCGTCGTTTATTTCATTATGTCAGTCACTGGATTGTCTGGTCCAGGCTCGATTATTCACAGACCGACGTCATATAGCTGGAATATTGCTGGTTGCGGCGTTAAACAGTAAACAAAAAACATTCTGCGGCTCTGCAGCTAGCTTACCCTGTACAACATCTTCCATTCCAGATCTCTTGATGCAATGGACATAAAAATTAATGTGTTCATCCGTGACGTGGTGAGCGGCGAATGCCTGGATGCCCCCCCGACCGCCATCACAGTAGTGAAGTAACAGCCAGCGGTAACGTGCTCAGGAACCTGTTGCTAAGCCTCTCTGTTACAGTAGCAATTACAGTGAGATCGAAGCGTTTACTCCGGTTCGTTGACATCAGCCTTTTCTCTGTTTCTTTCTTTTGGGCCTAAAGTGATGCTAACGCTGCAACTGTCGTTATGTCCGATGTGTTAACATTAACTTCCACTCGCCACAGCTGCGATCACTTCGGTGATGAACGAACATTTATTCTGCATAAAAACACAACAAATTAATGATATTTTTCTTTTGAGTTTTGTTCCCTATGTGAGGATATGGATGAAGATTTTGTTTGCGAAATGACAATATTTATTGAACTTGAAGAATGTCTTTCTGATGAGGTTCTTGGTACCCGTGGTTTTACGGCTTATTCAACAGCGTTCCATAGAAATGGGGCGTTATGGATTCGGTTATATCCCATTAGTTAGACGTCCCATTAGTTAGACGTCCCAATTGTTAGACATTTCTATTTAGGCAAAGAGGGAATATACCTACAGGTGTAATGGATCAGTCCTAATTAGATTAAAGTACTGAGTAGGGATAGGGGACTCACAGTTTAGGGAGTATAAATGTTATAATTTCGTTTAATTAACCTAAATTACCTTAATCTCAGCACAGGTTCAATAGGCATGAGATTAACTGTGTAAACTATGGAGTAGCTTAATTGTCTTACTGTATGATCAGTTGAAGGAGTTGAGTTTAGATTACGTACTCATCAAACAAATAAAAATGATCTTGGGGTACGTATCATTATCAGTATCGATATGGATGGTTTAAGGAAAGTAGAGTACATCATCTCTCGGCGTGGAAGTGAGCAGTTGATATTAGATGGATATATTTACAACAGAAACCGCGAGAGGCAAACCTGCTCACATTCGAGATGTGTCGTCAAGACGTGCAATGGGAAATGTACGACTGTCGGTGACTTTCTTTGCAATCAGTCGGAACATAACCATCCGCCTGAAGATGAAACCAGAGTGAACTTTGTCAGCAATCTTCGTAAAAGAGCGCGAGAAGAAACCACACAGATGCAGGCATTGCACGAGGAAAGTGTAGTCTATTCTCTCTTGAAACCACAATTTGAATTAGAAAATTATCTGACGTCCCTACCCCTAAATAAAGCTATCCCTCTACTTTTATTTCGTACTTCATGCCACCACTTACCAATTGAAAAAGGAAGATGGAATGGGATACCTATTTGTGAAAGAAAATGTAAACTGCGTTTTATTGATGATATTGGAGATGAATTTCACTATATTTTTAAATGTCCATATTTTACTAAAGAAAGAATTTTGTATATCCCACCTACATATTCTAAAAGACCTAATATGATTAAATTTCAAAGACTTTTCACTTGTAAAGAGATATCTGTATTAAAAAACCTTAGTAAATTCTGTAAATATGTAATGCAAATTGTAAATTCTTCCGGCTAACCACAATCCGCAATTATAATGTGTATTTTGCTGTCAGTTTGTACCTCCTATGCCGAGGATCTCGGGCTGAGCGTAATAAAGTTCTGTTCTGTTCTAGAGGAGCAAGTCACTCAAGTAGATGAAGCCAGCATCCCAGCGATGCCATCATTTCACCAAACTGTATATAATTTATCAAATGTAAAGTGTCATTAAATGTTAAGTATAATATTAAAGTATCTATTTAAAGCTGCTTTGCTTTGTTTGTCAGATCTTATCTAGACTATTCCATTTTAAAGTCTGAGGTAACAAGCATAAGGGTTAGTGTGCACTCAACCGTTTAAAGTGTTGTTATAAGCTGTCTAACTATTGGGACGTCTAACTAATGGGAGGACACCATGGATTCGGGTGCAGGCTAAAACGTCACCTCAGCAAAACGTCACCGATTTCATCTGGCGAAAACCATGAAAACGGTTGCTGAAGATCAAGCTAAAACCGCACCTTTTATGTAAATAATAAAGATAAAAACGATTCATGTAGTAGTATATGCTATGCTTAGGAGAAAAACAAAGAACACGTCGTGTTTTCAGTGTAGAGTTTTGTCACCTGTAGAATTAATTGCGCTAAATTAGATTTGGATCTCCAGGTAACCTAGCTCTACACTGTAAACACAGTATGTTCATCTCCATTCTACCATGACTAAATAAAACGTGAACTCTGCTTGTCGTAAGAGGCGACTAACGGGATCGCCAATTGCGTGGATCTGTGCATGACGTCAATCACTGGATTATCTGGTCCAGACTCGATTATTTACAGACCACCGTCATATAGCTGGAATATTGCTGTGTGCGGCGTTAACAACAAACAAACAAAACAAACAAACTTTGGCGTTTGAAACGGCATAGGTTGAGTCCAGTGTTTTGAGTGGGCTGTCGATCTGAATTTACGGAATCACCGACAACAGCCTTTAACAAAATATGGCGATATATACGATACATGCATCTTAAATACAGTTTCAGATTATCATTGAGATAAATTGAGTAAAGGTATTTAAAACTTCAAAGTTTATTTCACAATTATTTGCGTTTGCATGTGAACCTGTGAGTTTAATTTCATTGAATGCTTGTTTTGAAACACCAAAGTTGAAATTCGCTTTCGTTCGGATAAGCTTAACTGCGATACCGTTTTAGCTATAACCCGCTGATTCGCCTTGACCGGAGTGCCGCATTCGACACGTTAGATCATTGTACGCTTCTTGGTGGACTTCATTATGACTTGGGCATCCTTGGGTCGGCATGAGACCGGTTCAGTGTATGGTGGTTGTTCCTGAAACCTGGCGACTGAAGAATGGACTACACCCAGTTCTGGCAGTTGATTCACTTGTCACTCTATCAGAATCCGCCAAAGATCGGGGAGAAGTGCTTGATCCTGAACTCTGTTTGGACAACCACCTCAGTCATTCAACCAGAGTCGACCGCCTCCGTGGTCTAGTGGTAGAGCGGAAAGTCCGGGGTTCGATCCCCGACCGCGTCATACTAAAAGACGTTAAAAGATGGTACTTGTTGTTACCCTGTCTGACGCTCGGCATTAAGGGGCTCAAACAAGGACTGGTCGGCTCGGAGTCAGTATACTGTATCTGATTGGGGTATTCATGTTAAACCTCGGCATGGTATCTCAGTGAGCTTGCACTATAAATCGACATCAGTCCGGACTAGTACAAGCAGCCACACAAACACACACAAGTACATGCACGTCGCTATATAAGTGCAATAATCTTGGACGCGACGTTAAACCCCATTTCACTTCACCTCATCCAGAGTCTGCTTCCTCCGACTTAGGAACATTGAGAATATCAGGAAATATCTTAGAAGGAATCCACCAGTATGTTTGTCCTCTCATGTGGCATCAACGGGATGGATTGCTGGTGCCCGTACACATCTGATAAACACGTTTCAGCGGATTCAAAAACTGCTGCGAGGATAGCCTCTCTCAGTAGCAAGAACGACCACATTACTCCAATACCATCCTATGTACACTGGCTTCCCGTGCGCCACAGATTAACCTTAATAATAACATTCACTGCCTCACCTTCCAGTGCTTATCAGATGATCGATTCTATTTACGTGACCTACTGACGATCAACTCATACATTCAGGTCTGAATTTCACCATCTTCTTTGTACAAGTAATAAACTGTCACCTTTGCCCATCGCTCCTTTTCTTTTGCGGCAGCAACTGAAACGAACAGTCTGCCACTCAAAATGTTGTTTTCCAACTTTCCAGGTCCTTAAGCGCCAACAAAAACTCACCTCTTTTAAGCTCACCTTCATTGACAAAAGGGGGCGGTCGGGTAGCCTAGTGGTTAAAGCGTTTGCTCGTCACGCCGAAGACCCGGGTTCAATTCCCGACATGGGTACAATGTGTGAAGCCCATTTCTGGTGTCCCCCGCCGTGATATTGCTGAAATATTGCTAAAAGCGGCGTAAAACCATACTCACTCATTGACAAAACTAAAATCTTTGTGCCCTTGAATATGCTTTATAAGTGGACAATTATGTATAGGAGTTTCCAGGTCATCCATGGTGTTACAGCTTAGATACAACAGTACACATTGTTCCACGGATGAGTTCCCAGGTCATCCATGGTGTTACAGCTTAGATACAACAGTACACATTGTTCCACAGATGAGTTCCCAGGCCACCCCTGGTGTTACAGCTTAGATACAACAGTACACATTGTTCCACAGATGAGTTCCCAGGCCACCCCTGGTGTTACAGCTTAGATACAACAGTACACATTGTTCCACAGATGAGTTTCCAGGTCATCCATGGTGTTACAGCTTAGATACAACAGTACACATTGTTCCACAGATGAGTTTCCAGGCCATCCATGGTGTTACAGCTTAGATACAACAGTACACAGTGTTCCACGGATGAGTTTCCAGGTCATCCATGGTGTTACAGCTTAGAAACAAAGTACACAGTGTTCCACAGATGAGTTTCAAGGCTATCCCTGGTGTTACGGCTTAGATACAACAGTACACATTGTTCCACAGATTAGTTTCCAGGCTATCCCTGGTGTTACGGCTTAGACACAACAGCACACATTGTTCCATGGTTTCCACAGATGAGTTTCCAATCTTTGTGCGCTTACATACGCTGTACAAGTGGACTGTTATTATTAGGAGTTTCCAGGCCATCCATTGTGTTATGTCTTATATACAACAGTACACAGTGTTCCACAGATGAGTTTATTGGTCAGCTGACTAGATACAGGTGTGAGAAGGTTGTCCTACCAATGAAGCACTGAGAGGTCCTACTACATAGCACCTATCTAAACCACATTGCTCAAATACATGTCACTGGAACAGGGGTAGAAAAAGCAGTTAACTTGACTAAAGCGAAAAGACAGAGCATATGGTAGCATATCATCATATAGGTGTGTCTTGCTGGGGATTAGAATACACACAACTGATGTGGTACACAAACTGTATGTTTTGTCTGATCCAAGTATGCATATTCAATATGTGTATGGACGTAATAGTGAGTTTGGTTTTCGATTTTAAAATCTCCTTGTTTTCTCAAGATGATCCAAAAATGGTCATTTTGTTACACAGCTACATTCTACATAGAGAAGTCCCCTTCGGCACAAACAAGTATAGGACAGGATTTAATGTTTCAGAATATTCTCAATGAAGTAAACAACGTGAGACACCTTCAACTCTGATCTGTCTTTAAATAATCACCTTTTCTTTCTGATACAAGCACTCCAGGGTGCCGTTGTATAAAACAACCTTAGTGTTACGACTGTCGTATGTCTATGTTAAGGTATGGAGTTACAATCACCTTAGCGCTAACAATGCTTTGTACAACGGCACCCTGCACAATAAAGTCAATTTTAAGCCAAACCTATAACTTGAAACATGTTCTAATTATCATGTATTGTATAAGTTCCAATCTGACTTGTCATCAAGGATCCCACTGACTCAAGCAACTGACAAAATATACTACTCAAAAGAAGTTAAAGAACACCACTTCTTTCCTGTTACTATAGTTAATCTGTCACGGTATGAGCTACAGTAATATGAAAGAGTGGGGTGTGCTTTAACTTCTTTGAGTAGTATATATAACATGGTAGGACAATAAAGGGGATCACATGCAAGTAAACACTGTAGCACAACGGATCACAAATCACAGTCAAGCATTGTTGGAAGAACTAGGTGCAGCACTGGAATGGCCAGCTGGCGGCAGCTGTACGGTGCTGCAGGCTACACTATCACACACTACTCTAGATACAAGCGACGCCACTTCACAAGAAGCGCCATTGAAAAATAAAGTACAAAGGTCGTCAAACTAATTGGTGCAGCCTTGAGAAAGAATAAAGAATAACTGAGAGGGTCCTCCCAGTCTTACTCTGTGTGCAACAAATCTGAAAACTTATGAGTGGGTTAGCATTAACGCTGTCTTCGGATGTCCATATCACACAGAAGGTGACACCAAGCTTGGGCTTCAAATATACTACTCAAATAAACTAACCTAAAATAAAATAAAATCTGATTCTTTCATATTACAGCATGACAGATTAACTATAGGAATATGAAAGTACTGGATAGTCCTTAATTATTTTAGTACTTGTTGCATATTATGGCATATGAGAAATCGAGATTCTTTATTGGAGCGAGTGTGTGAGTTGGGTTTAACGCCGCTTTTCACAGTATTCCAGTTATATTGCGGCCTGTCAGCTTAATGTGGGAGGAAAGCGCGAAGTGATGCAGGTCTCAGACGGTTACCACTTCGGTGAAACCCACGAGCACGGGTATGTGCTGACAAACCTAGAAACATAATCGGGGCAAAACCGGGATTCAAACCCAGTCTTTATTGGAAAGAGCCAACACTTTTACCCAAAGGTTACCCCTCAGGCCATCAGAAAAACTAGCTCACAAAGCACAGAAATAAGTAAGACAATCTTGTGCTGGACCATAATATCTATTTGTGATATTTAATTCTATTGAACAAAAACATCCTAAGTTAATGAAGGTTTGTTTCCTTGTCACTGGGGTTAGGTGGATGATGGATAGCAACTAGTAAAAGGTGGGTGTCTAGGCTTAATATCACACACCCTATGTGGCAAGGTGCGTTCCATGTGTGTCAGTTAGACGGCTTTAAGATGGATATCTCACCTTGGTCAAGATCCATGTTGCTAGACCAAGGATCTTCATCCCAGCGAATCTGGGATTCAAACCTACATCTACTGGATCCTGACAGCTAAGGGACATAACTCTGCACAGCACGCTGAGCAGCTTACACGATTTGGCCACCCACACACACCTGATGTGAAGAACCTGACATGCACAAACACAAGTCTGTGCTGATGTTGCAAAAAAGAGGCATGTTATGAGCAAGCAAAACATTCTGAGACAAGTCGTAAACCATGACTTCCATTTTCTCCAACTGTCATGGTTACGGACAAAATTATCCACTCACAGTACATTCCATTGTATAGTGATTAATAAATACAGGACATCCTCCATATCAGTGACAGTGAAGAAGGATTCTTTGTGCCATAGAAAAGATGAACTGATACACAAGTACTCCATCACAAGAACCAACACTGACAAATGATGAACTGATACACAAGTACTCCATCACACTGACAAATGGTTGTTAACCACCAACACAATAATTGAGGTATGAAAGACGTACATGTTGATGGTATGATTGACTTTACTGAGAGAACGTCCAGCAATGAAAACAGAGAGAACCTCCATCAATGAAAACAGAGAGAACGTCTATCAATGAGAACAGAGAGAACGTCCAGCAATGAGAACAGAGAGAACGTCCAGCAATGAGAACAGAGAGAACGTCCAGCAATGAGAACAGAGAGAACGCCCAGCAATGAGAACAGAGAGAACGTCCATCAATGAAAACAGAGAGGACGTCCAACAATGAAAACAGAGAGAACGTCCAGCAATGAGAACAGAAAGAACGTCCAGCAATGAAAACAGAGAGAACGTCCATCAATGAGAACAGAGAAAACGTCCAGCAATGAAAACAGAGAGAACGCCCAGCAATGAAAACAGAGAGAACATCCAACAATAAGAACAGAGAGAACATCCAGCAATGAAAACAGAGAGAACGTCCAGCAATGAAAACAGAGAGAACCTCAATCAATGAAAACAGAGAGAGCGTCCAGCAATAAGAACAGAGAGAACGTCCAGCAATGAAAACTGAGAGAACGTCCAACAATGAGAACAGAGAGAACGTCCAGCAATGAGAACAGAGAGAACATCCTGCAATGAAAACAGAGAGAACGTCCAGCAATGAGAACAGAGAGAACGTCCAGCAATGAGAACAGAGAGCATCCAGCAATGAAAACAGAGAGCACGTCCAGCAATGAAAACAGAGAGAACGTCCAGCAATGAAAACAGAGTGAACGTCCATCAATGAGAACAGAGGGAACATCCAACAATGAGAACAGAGAGAACGTCCAGCAATGAGAACAGAGAGAACGCCCAGCAATGAGAACAGAGAGAACGCCCAGCAATGAGAACAGAGAGAACGTCCAGCAATGAAAACAGAGAGAACGTCCAGCAATGAAAACAGAGAGAACGTCCAGCAATGAAAACAGAGAGAACGTCCAGCAATGAAAACAGAGAGACTGTCCGGCAATGAAAACAGAGAGAACGTCCAGCAATGGGAACCGAGAGAACGCCCAGCAATGAGAACAGAGAGAACATCCAGGTAATACACACCATGAATGGGGCTACAAGCAGTAGGTAATCAGGCATACAACACAAGCTAAGTCAACCCATTCTCAACACTTGCATCATGAAACTCTCAGTGTTATAATGTATTTCCATGCACACCAAGTGTCGTATTGGTGCATTGTGCTTTAAAACATATCAAACATTTCACAACACAACGAAAACTAAAAACTGTATAATCCATCTTAACCTTCCAATTCCAACAACCCTGTTTGGCAGGTGCTTGACTAAGCTTCACTGAAATTCATTGAAAAATATCTTTGCTTCTCAATACCTCTTTATATCCCAAATCATTATTGTCCAATTTTGAAAATCTGACGAAAATAAACAAATATTTTCCTATATTTCCTAAAAAGTAACGTGCAATAAGTATTCAACAGCTTAAACCTTATCACATCTCTTTCACCAGACCTCATCAAAAACATAAACAAATAGTCATACTTGAACTTTATTACTGGACAAGAAGCAAGCCCACAACACTAGATAAGTCCTGAAGTCATCAAGCAGTCTATCATCATGTTCATGACAAATCATAAAGCATGTACTGAACAGGTAGACGATCAGTGATATTACATGTCTATTGGTACCGTTGTGTGCGTGCGTCACATTCTACAGACATTCTTCCCTCTTATCCATACACCAACAGTCATAATAAGCAATAAAGTTAAATGAGACATTTACACTCTGGCAAATACATAAATACATTCTGATCATCTTGTCATGTGCTACTCCAACATACATAAGTTAAATGATGAAGTCCATATTGACTGACAAGCAGCTGCAGGACCAGCAGGGTTAGCATCAGTAATCAACTTGTACAATAGTTAATAAATAATACATATTACATATTAATACACAAATCAAGGAAATGAAAGATTCTCCAAGCATGCCATGGTAACTGTTGCCACGGTAACTGTTGCCAAAGCCACCAATGAAGTCACCATTACAAAATATTTGAAGAAAATATTTATCAAAATATTTACACTAAAATAGTGTTGCCATGGTTACATGTTTGTGATAGTTGCAACTTCGCCATCTTTGTCACAATATGCAATGCCATAGTTACAATTTGTGTTGCCATGGTTACAACATGTGCCGTGTGTACATAAAACATTTCTTATATATGCATGTTTCAAATATACAAGTGGTACATGGATTTATCGCAAACTGTAAAACTTTGAAACCATCTTCTAGTGTCAACAGATACATTGATCTGACACTCATGAGATCTGACAGAGATAGTATTATCAACACACCAGGGCTACAAATCAAATATTTTGCAATGTAAAATTATTTTCCAACCAATGTCCTTTCAGGTAATATTTTTTCATGTTAGCAAATTACCAACCAGTCATATAAGTGGAATAAATGAAAACTAATCAAAGATTTATTATTTGATTGTTTTCCATTACTACAAATTAACAATGTGACGGAAGTCAAGTCAGTTTAATTGTTTGATCGGCACAGTAGCAGTTGGACAAGGTAATAACAAGAATTTCCTGTCGCTGACAACTTCACCTCATCCACCACACATTACAAATATTCATGCTGAACAAAAGTGGTCGTGTATGCTAAACACAGAAGCTGTCCTCCACACAAATTGTACATTATTACTATCAAGGTCAGTTCTCTGGAGAATACTAGCAAGTACTGACCCTGGCTATCTATGAGTTAGACCAGGTAAGTCGTAGAGCAAGGTTAGGAGGCATAGTGTTACTACTTGCTGCCACGAGCCATGAGTGAGTGAGTGAGTTTGGTTTAACGCCGCTTTTAACAGTTTTCCAGTTATATCACGGCGTGTCAGCTTAATGTGGGAGAAAAGCCCAAAGTGATGCAGGTCTCAGACGTTTACCACTTCGGTGAAACCCACAAGCACGGGTATGGTGCTGACAAACCTAGAAACATAATCGGGGCGAACCGGGATTCGAACCCATAATCATAGGTTTCTGGCGTGCCCAAGGGACGCCTCAGACGACTGGGCCACCCGCTCCCCCCCACGAGCCATGACAACATGTACATGTAGGTATGGCCTGGTATAGGTTCGTGGTACACAGGCTGTCTGAGGACCTGAACCCTCTGACCCAGCACAGGGCAGCAGTAGCAGGAGCAATCTAACAGTGCAACATGGCAACTGAGGCAAGAATGAACATTGTCAAGGTAACACATGGGCGGAGTTCGTCCGTAATACTTCCGAAAGTAATATCAGGCAGAAACAAGGACAATACAGTATGTCAACGAAGGAGGATCTAATTTTAAAAATGTGAACAAATCGAAGAAACAAAGGATGTGACAATGAGGTAAGTACATTGGCCAGCGAGCAAAAATCAGAGAGTTAGAGAAAAGCATCCAGGTGGGCTTCATACGTGCTTCACAGTGGTGGCACTGACTTTGTATGTAGGATATGGGAGTGAGTGAGTCGGGTTTAACGCCGCTTTGAACAGTATTCCAGTTATATCACAGCGTGTCAGCTTCATGTGGGAGGAAAGCCCGAAGTGATGCAGGTCTCAAATGTTTACCACTTTGGTGAAACCCACAAGCATGGGTGTGGTGCTGACAAACATAGAAACATAATCGGGGTTATCCGGGATTCAAATCCACATTTGTAGTATGCTGGTGTGCCCAAAGGGATGCAACTCTGCACAGCGAATTGCGACGCCAAATACTGGGCCCCATTTAGAATATGGTTTCATCATACTTGCCAGTACGGCTTCGTAGGGAGGCATGGAAAGGGTATCAAGCCCGGAGTCATGCACTACATTGGTCACACCCACAAGAATAGGTATGGTGCTGACATACCTAAAAATATAATCCAACCACGCCTAAGGGACGCAAATATTCTCCGCAGATTGCAGCGCCTTATACGACTCGGTCCCCCATGCCCCACTAGACACCCCTGAAGTCTTGGTGAGTGTCCACATGCCTGGTGTTTCCCTCTATATCCGCATTTGACATACAAGGACCATAAAGTGGTAGTTCACTACAATGATTAAAGCAGGCAATACTGGGGATTAATACACAACATAGGCGGATCCAGAGGAGGGGGGCGGATCCAGAGTAGGGGGCCGGACCCCATGGACCTTTTGAAAACCAAATGTGGTATGCTGTAGAGAACCAGCCCCCCATTCCAACCCCACCCCTTGAGTGAGACACTGAGAGAGGAGTTTGTTAGTGGACCCAACTCTTTCAAACATGCTGGATCCGTCCTTGCACAATGTATCAAATTTGGCACAATACAGATATTCTTTCAATCGTGCAATGATTTATATCTCCACATATCTGATCTATCTTTCAGTGATTTATATCTCCACACATCTGATCTATCTTTCAGTGATTTATATCTCTACCTATCTGGTCTATTGAGACAGTAGGATAGGTCAACTTGATTTTGATAAGGAGACGAGATATTTTAACTCTGTATTCTTCAAATACCAACCTTCTCTACCTTCTTCATGTCTTCTCCACGATATACAGAGTGATGGCAACATACATTGTAGAAGAATTACAATGTGCAACATATGAGAATTTAAGCACTGTCATTAAATATGACTTTGAATACAGAATTTAACAAATTCATACATACTAGCTGACAAACATTGCCTTCATATGGACCTAGTGATAACCTGTGACTTCATCCACATAGGCCACTTCCTAGTCAGTCTAGATCATGGTCAGTGAGTTTTCTTTCGAAAACATATCCCCAATTACCTCTTTGTTACTTTGAGCACAACATGTTGAATTGTTTATGTGTGTCCCTAGAGGGGTGTGCAGGAATATGGAAGGTGAACTTTCTCGTACACCATCGAGAGTGGACCTGGTTTCGCTTCTTATCAATCCTAGATGTGATCTGAGGACAAGCAATGCCATCTTTAACCCCTTATACAGTAGATACGTTGAAGGATCATCGATTATACTCTGTATCATATCTCCATTCTGTAATATATACCCTTGACCAATTTTCCACTCCTTCTGAGGCCGGTGGTTTGAATGACATGACCCTATAACTAAGAGCTTCAATCAAATGACACTGTTCCTCTCATCACCAGGACTCGTCCCAACTTGTGTGGGTCATCACCAATACAACCTGAACGTCTTGCAGGATAAGGACTTCTCCCCACCTCTCGAATACTCAGGAAAAAATCTTTCCTGGATTAATAATCATTTTTAACAGTCTTGTGATTCTTTAAATACATCGAAGGCTGGCTCAGAAGAGGATGCAAATTTTAATGAAGATCTGTGCCAAACTCAGAAGAGGCTTTTGATTGGTTGTTGATTTCAAGCTCATGAGTGATAAGGAGATGGAGGTGGTGCCTTCACTTCCAACAGCCACAGCGGCGAATGGTGAAAGAGTGAGTCCAGGGTGTTGAATGGAGATATAGTACCCTGGATAAGGGAGGATGATGGTATACACCTGTAGCATCAACTTCCATTCACTGTAAGAAAGCTCTCAATAACTTGCGTGCAACACAGATTGTCATACGAAAAGTCACACACAACACGAAACTAAGGGGTTAACATGACCAATATGTCTACTGTGCCTGTATCGCCGGTATTAGAATACAATAAGCTCAGATCCAAGACTTCCGGATTTTTCATCCACGTGGGGACGACCTTGCTGGTTACCATGGCTGCATCACATAAACGCAGCTCACACACCAGCTGTGAATATCAACACATGGACACACAACACCGATTGATTGCCATGGATACGATGATGTATTAACTGCATACCCTGACATATCACCATGGATACACAAAGTAGAGATTATCACCATGGATACACAAAAGTATTCATGAATAAATTATCACCATAGATACACATATCAACATGAATAAAGGATATATATATCAGTTATCATCATCTACAAAAGTAGATATTATTACCGTGAACACCCATAGACATTATCACCATGGACACACAAAAGTAGATCTATATTATCACCATGGATACACAAAAGTAGATCTATATCATCACCATGGTTACACAATAGTATACAATATCAGCATGGTTATATGAAAAGTTATTTCACATGTTTCAAAAGAACATCAAGTCTCAACAATCAGTCCTTTCCACCATTTGTATCACAACACAATGATTCAAATTGGTAAGGCTGATACAAAGATAACTATTCAGTATATATGGTCATGGGTGATGGCCGACAATGTGTTATCAGACCCCTGTGGATGACACAACACAGGCTGTTTACAGTATAGACACCGGTGAACACAGACATCACCATGGTGACACACTGACATCAGATACAAGGGGAGATAATCATGCAATCAACAGCAGGCGAAGAGGGAGCTCTTCAGTGACTTCAGATGGAGGTGGAGATGTCACACATATCAACTTCTATACTAGGCTGTCAAGAAGTTAACAAAATCATTTGAAAAGTGTCATTATTTTGTTGATTTCTATTCAGATACAATCTACTTATCATTTTTGACATCATTTCATGTACAACAATATTTTGTTGAGATATTTCCACCATGTTGTTTCCATGGAAACCAGATCCAATACAATTGAGGAAGATTCTTTCACCTGACATAAACTGTAACATAAAAATATCTCGAAATTACACAAAATATGTTATGCTCTAGACCTTGAATAGGGAGCTATGACAAATGATCAAGGAACTGTTCGACCCCTTGAGAAACAATGTCCTTGACCTTCTACATTTAACTGGCAGGAAGTGCCCAGCTGACGACTGTGCGATCAGCACTAGTTGTGAGGAAAGCCAGCTGAGAGGGATGCCAGCGACACTGGATGACCTTGTCTCTGTGCTCTGCGACGACCACGCTCGGGAGGGGTCGTAAAAGGTCACCTGAAACAAGGCGTAGGCTGGTAAATATACACACTGCGTTTCAAAATGTACAGGAACACATCTACAAATAACAGTTGAAATGACAGGTCAGAAAGAAAATACATTACCCACAAAACTACTCCTTCGTAATCATTATGCCAACGCAGACAATGCCTAAATCATCACAAAAGACTTAGTTTTCTACTGAAACATTAACATACATAGAAACATTATAACAATAAAATCATCATGACATTATCATGAATTAGAGTGAGTATTATTTAATGCCGCCTTTTGCAGCCATATTCCAACATCACGACAGGGGACACCAAAAATGAGGTCATACTTTGAACCCATGTTGGGAATAGAACCCGGCATTCGATATGATGAGCAAACGCTTCTACCATCAAGCCACCCTCCACCCACACTGTCATTAATAGTCATGTGTTCAGATGTATCCTGTCTCACTGAGCATCACCACAGGGGTTCTCACCTCTCAGACACACTCAGTAATATAGAATGTGCCAAGAGTCGTCCATCAGGCATAAACTTCCACAACTTTCAATGTATCATACATATATCTTAGAGCTCCACATCTAAAAGGGTATTAAATCAGTTTCCTAATACATGTACAATTTATTTATGTGATCATTACTTTTCAAAATGGCTGTAAATGAATGATGTTGGAGAGTCCAATGCACAAGATCATAAATACAGTGAGTTAGTGAGTGAGTTGGGTTTAACACCGCTTCTAACAGTATTCCAGTTATATCACGGCGTGTCAGCTTTATGTGGGAGGAAAGCCCGAAGTGTTGCAGGTCTCAGACGTTTACCACTTCGGTGAAACCCACGAGCACGGGTGTGGTGCTGACAAACCTAGAAACATAATCGGGGCAATCATAGGTTTCTGGCGCGCCCAAGGGACGCAACTCTGCACAACGAATCACGGCGCCTTTGACGACTGGGCCACCCGTGCCCCCCATAAATACAGAAATGCTTCCCAAGATGCAGATAGTGTGACTCGTTTGATATTTCAATTACTGTTTGAAAACTATTTCCAAATACATTTACTGAATTCTTAAATTTCATTGTTTCTTGTGTCTGTTGTTGTGTTATTCTGTCTACAATATCATGACAGCCTGTAACATATTGAGTCAGCTAAACTAGTGCTTGATATAATGAGCAGGGTTACACGCTGTTTGGGTAGTAGCGACCAAGTCATCGAGCCTGACCACCCCATCCAATCAAAAATCCTTTAATGATGAGCAATACAGTGTTTGTTGTTTAATGCTGCATTCAAACATCATTCCAGCTATATGACGGCGGTCTGTAAATAATCAAGTCTGGACCAGACAATCCAGTCATTGATATCAGCGTCAATCCGAGCAATGGGGATACGATGACCTGCATCGACCAAGTCATTGAGCCTGACCACACGACCCCATTAGTCACCTCTACGACAAGCATGGGTTGCTGAAGGCCGGTTCTACCCCGGATCTTCATGGGTACTGAGTCCTGTGTAAACAGCCACACCCAGCACCTACACTTGTTTACAATTCCATACATTAGTGTCCCCACAGCCGGGTTAGTGCAACAGGTCTCATGCAGATTATCTCCTTGTTACTTGCGCAGCTAATCGCATATCACTGTACCTGGATTAGTCACCAAACCTCATCACCATAACTTGTAAAATACAGCACCAGCACCCACACAGCTCAAAGCGTATGACATGTGTTAGCGAACTACAATACTATCTTTTATTCATTAGCACTTCTTAGTGCAAAACAATTTTTTACAAATTAATAAGTTCAGTAATTAATCAGTAATCTTTGAAATGTTCCTGTCAAATTATTCACAGAACATATTTGTCAACAATAAAATCTTATGAAAATAGACACAGCCAACTATTTAACTGAATTGATAGACATTATCTAAATAAAGCTTGAACAGAACCACTAAACTTGAATAATATCTAACCAGGATAGAACCAGTAGTGTAATACGTCAGCTCATCCATTTAACACATACTCAGGGGAGATAACTCCCCAAAAATAATACCCCAAACACAAGCTCCTTCCCAGTATCATCACTGCCACCAGTGTGCAAGTGGCCATTACAAGAATCTTGAAAACGTTCCCTCTAACCCCAAATGAAGTGACATTAATATTTTTATGTATGGCTTTGGGATTGCCATTATAGTGATTTCCGAAAAGGTTTACGACTGACTTACTTCTTCCCCATTTGAAATTATGTTTGATTTTTAAATCAGACTGGTTCAAGACTGCAGACCAATGGCAGCCATGTCCCAACACATGCCCAAGGGAGGTAATTCCCCAAACATACCCAGGGGAGGCAACTCCCATCTATTACCCAGGGAAGGCAACTCCTATCATATGCCCAGGGTGGTAACTTGTGACACATATATCCAGCACTCGTCTTGATCATACAGGATCTCGAGGAACACTTGCATTTGACTGTCACATGACACAGCCAGACAGCAGTAGTGAAAATATGCACTATCAAAAAAACTCCATTGATTCCCATGTTGTCATTACTTTTGATGATCATATTTAGTGTCTGACATAACTCAGTCAATCATTCCTAAAGTTAACAAGCTCTGTGTCGGTTTATTGTCCTGCAAAACAGACAAATGAAAATTGTACTCTACAAGCTGAGGTTAAACTTCTACTGGAACTAAAGCCAGTTGACCGCTAAGCACCTGTGTTCTGTGTTATCAACTACTCTACATCTTTGTAAATGAGTCACTACTCCTCGCTATGTATACATCCATGATGTGTGTCCAAACAGAACATGTAGACAGCTTGGGCAAATAGAGTCTTACACCACTTATAGCAATATTTCCATGACGATGGTGGACGCCAAGGAGGTACTTTATGCATATTGCCAAAACCTTTTCAGTTCACTAGCCCGAACATGTATTTGGGCACCATTTTCAACTTGGTGGGGGTTGTTCACTCTACAGGGTTCTGATTCACCACGGTAAGGACATGCAGTCTCCATTGGGTAACATGTGATTTGATAGGGTGGACATGGGAGTATTAACCAATCAGAACAGCTGTAGCATTTGTTGCAAAAGAATAAACCACCCACATTCTGATACTATCAAATACACAGAAAACACAATGCAGAATTAGCAACACAGAAGCCACACTGGAACACAGAGGCCAGTACAACAGATGATCAAAGCTTCATAAACTAATAATTACATACATATATTTTTTTATAAATCTTCCCTCCAATGGGTATATTAATGAAAACCAGGATTGAATCACTAACCATTAAGTGAATAAAGACAGATTTCATCATAAAATTGTGAAACTAAAATTGTGATATTGTTATGGTATTAGATCATAAATCTTACTGAAAGATATGTTAAGTCAGTTTGTCAGGTATCTAAACAGAATGTCAATTAAAATGTTAGCACCAAAACAATATGGACTGGGTATTCTGATTGTTTCCAAGCCTACAGAGAATGGTTAGGGTCAGGATTAGTTGGATGGAAATCAGCTGTATACATACTCTCTCCTCCTTCCGTGGAACCGGCTAAAGGTGTATAAAATACTCGTATCACGCATGTAACTGGGAATATTAGACATTAAATGTGGAGGACATGGGAGCATGGTGATACAAGGTTGCAGAGGGTCATGCTGTGGTAGTTTAAGGATCATAGGTAACATTCAAGCAGAAACATTCATAAACTTAATATAGTAATGAAATCAAACATAAATATGACATAGAAACTATCGCTAGCAGCATGCAAACAAATGACCTAATAGTGAGCTGTTTATGAGGGTCCTAATCTAGACATTCAAACAAACATCTATACTATGAGAATGCAAAGGCTGTGCCTTGAACAAATGGGCCGTATTTTCTGTAGGGTTTGTGAGCAAGTAATAGCTGGCCTACAGTACACCTGGCAGTCAATGATACCCAAAATCATTGTGACCAAAAATCCATTTCAAGCCAATAGAGGTTAATGACCATAAAACCAGGGAAAATAAAGAAAAAAGAAAGTAAAAACCTTGCCCTGCATTACTGTTTTTGGGGAAAATAAAATTAATTTTTAAGGTTCCTTTGAGCCCCAGCGTCTTGAGTGGACTTAACCCTGTTGTCATGGCACAGTCTGAACAATCAAGGACACATGCCCAGTGCTATAAGGTCCTATCGGACATACCATGGAGGTCGGTGAGTACCACCCGTCCATCGTAGGAGCCGGAGAGCAGGTAGTAGGCGTTCATGGAGAAGCGAGCTGACCGGCACTCGCTGCTGTGTGGCTTGAACGTCTGGACCACCTTGGCCCCCCGGATATCGTACAGCATAGCCACCCCGTCCTCGTGTCCTGACGCCAGCAGGCGCCCGGACGGGTCCACGCACACTGATGCAAATGGACTGCCTGCAATGGGACACACACATCTCTAGAGATGACAAGCTTAACACACTGTCAGCACAGCTTGAGAAATATCACAGTGGTTGTTATAGAACTGGGAATGGACCAGTCATACCAAATTGATCAAAACTCAAAAATTGCGGCATGATACATGCAAACAGCCTGACATTTCTTACCTAATCTGGGCCCACTTGCACAAAGCGATCTTAGCGCTAAGACTATTGTAAGCCTATGCTGAAGTATGGGAGTAATGATCATCTTAGCGCTAAGATCGCTTTGTGCAAGTGGGCCCTGGATTCACTTGCACAAAGCGATCTTAGCACTAAGACTATCATATGCCTGTGTTAAAGTATGGGAGTTGTGATCATCTTAGTGCTAAGATAACGTTGTGCAAGTGGGCCCTGGTACAAAGAGCATTAAGTACTGATCTGTACGGATCTGTACTGACCCTCTTCCCAACATTCCTACCTGTCTGTAGACAAATGCTCCTTGCCGTCCCAACCCCAACCAACATGTATCGACATCACTAACTGTCTATTTTGTTTGTTTGTTGTTTAAACACTGCACTCAGCAATATTTCAGCTATATGATGCTGCTCTGTAAATAATCGAGTCTTGACCAGACAATCCAGTGATTGATGCCATGAGCATCAATCCATGCTATTGGGATAAGATGAAACGCATCAACCAAGTCAGTGAGCCTCACCACCCGATCCCATTAGTTGCCTCTTACGACAAGCATAGCTGCCTTTTACAGCAAGCTTGGGTTACTAAGACCTATTCTGCCCCAGATCATCTTGGGTTCCCACCTGTCAAGACACACATATACCGACATCCCTACCTGTCAAGACACACATATACTGACATCCCTACCCGTCAAGACACACATATACTGACATCCCTACCTGTCAAGACACACATATACTGACATCCCTACCTGTCAAGACACACATATACTGACATCCCTACCTGTCAAGACACACATATACTGACATCCCTACCTGTCAAGACACACACATACTGACATCCCTGCCTGTCAAGACACACATATACTGACATCCCTACCTGTCAAGACACACATATACTGACATCCCTACCTGTCAAGACACACATATACTGACATCCCTACCTGTCAAGACACACATATACTGACATCCCTACCTGTCAAGTCACACATATACTGACATCCCTACCTGTCAAGACACACATATACCGACATCCCTACCTGTCAAGACACACATATACTGACATCCCTACCTGTCAAGACACACACATACTGACATCCCTACCTGTCAAGACACACATATACTGACATCCCTACCCGTCAAGACACACATATACTGACATCCCTACCTGTCAAGACACACATATACTGACATCCCTACCTGTCAAGACACACATATACTGACATCCCTACCTGTCAAGACACACATATACTGACATCCCTACCTGTCAAGACACACACATACTGACATCCCTGCCTGTCAAGACACACATATACTGACATCCCTACCTGTCCAGACACACATATACTGACATCCCTACCTGTCAAGACACACATATACTGACATCCCTACCTGTCAAGACACACATATACTGACATCCCTACCTGTCAAGTCACACATATACTGACATCCCTACCTGTCAAGACACACATATACCGACATCCCTACCTGTCAAGACACACATATACTGACATCCCTACCTGTCAAGACACACACATACTGACATCCCTACCTGTCAAGACACACATATACTGACATCCCTACCTGTTGAGACACACATATACTGACATCCCTACCTGTTGAGACACACATATACTGACATCCCTACCTGTTGAGACACACATATACTGACATCCCTACCTGTCAAGACACACATATACTGACATCCCTACCTGTTGAGACACACATATACTGACATCCCTACCTGTTGAGACACACATATACTGACATCCCTACCTGTTGAGACACACATATACTGACATCCCTACCTGTCAAGACACACATATACTGACATCCCTACCTGTCAAGACACACATATACTGACATCCCTACCTGTCAAGACACACATATACTGACATCCCTACCTGTCAAGACACACATATACTGACATCCCTACCTGTCAAGACACACATATACTGACATCCCTACCTGTCAAGACACACATATACCGACATCCCTGCCTGTCAAGACACACATATACTGACATCCCTACCTGTCAAGACACACATATACTGACATCCCTACCTGTCAACACACATAAACTGACATCCCTACCTGTCAAGACACACATATACCGACATCCCTACCTGTCAAGACACACACATACTGACATCCCTACCTGTCAAGCCACACATATACCGACATCCCTACCTGTCAAGACACACACATATACTGACATCCCTACCTGTCAAGACACACATATACTGACATCCCTACCTGTCAAGACACACATATACTGACATCCCTACCTGTCAAGACACACATATACTGACATCCCTACCTGTCAAGTCACACATATACTGACATCCCTACCTGTCAAGACACACATATACTGACATCCCCACCTGTCAAGACACACATATACCGACATCCCTACCTGTCAAGACACACATATACTGACATCCCTACCTGTCAACACACATAAACTGACATCCCTACCTGTCAAGACACACATATACCGACATCCCTACCTGTCAAGACACACACATACTGACATCCCTACCTGTCAAGACACACATATACTGACATCCCTACCTGTCAAGACACACATATACTGACATCCCTACATGTCAAGACACACATATACTGACATCCCTACCCGTCAAGACACACATATACTGACATCCCTACCTGTCAAGACACACATATACTGACATCCCTACCTGTCAACACACATATACTGACATCCCCACCTGTCAAGACACACATATACTGACATCCCTACCTGTCAAGTCACACATATACTGACATCCCTACCTGTCAAGACACACATATACCGACATCCCTACCTGTCAAGACACACATATACTGACATCCCTACCTGTCAAGACACACATATACTGACATCCCTACCTGTCAAGACACACATATACTGACATCCCTACCTGTCAAGACACACATATACTGACATCCCTGCCTGTCAAGACACACATATACTGACATCCCTACCTGTCAAGACACACATATACTGACATCCCTACCTGTCAAGACACACATACTGACATCCCTACCTGTCAAGACACACATATACTGACATCCCTACCTGTCAAGACACACATATACTGACATCCCTACCTGTCAAGACACACATATACTGACATCCCCACCTGTCAAGACACACATATACCGACATCCCTACCTGTCAAGACACACATATACTGACATCCCTACCTGTCAAGACACACATATACTGACATCCCTACCTGTCAAGACACACATATACTGACATCCCCACCTGTCTGGCTGGGCACTACAGTTATGGCAGTGGACGCCCGCAGGTCCCAGAAGCGAGCTGTCTTGTCTTGCGATCCACTCACGAACATACAGCCTCCCCAGGTGTGCAGGGCATAGACATGACCTGGACAATACAACAGCTGCATCAGTTCTAGAAAACACTTCAAAAACTAAATTTTAATGAAAATGTTAAAACAAAATCGGAGACTTGAGTGAGTGAGTGAATATGGTTTTCGAAGCTTTTGGCAATATTCCAGCAATATCATGGCGGGGGACACCAGAAATGGGCTTCACACAATGTACCCATGTCGGGAATCAAACCCGGGTCTTCGGCGTGGCAACGAACGCTTTAACCACTAGGTTACCCGACCGCCCCTTGAGGACTTCAGATAATCACTCATTTGCATATAATATCTTAAAAGAATACAATTTTTTCTCTAGCTGGATGGATTTGAAATAAGACAAGAATGTAATTACACATCCGCAGCATGTAGCACAGTGCCTTCATCAAATATAGACATTCTAGCCAGTAAATATAAGGACAGACTTACAGGGTTTTACTTCTGTTTTGAGACATCTCTTTGACTAGGCAATAACCCACCTGTGTGTCCCGTCATGGCTCTGATTGGTGTCCCCGTCTCACAGTCCGAAGCGTAGATCTTGCAGTCCCCCGCGCCTCCACTGATGAGCAGCGACGACCTGTTGGTTGCGTCCTGCATGAACACGAGGTCGCGGATTGTGCCGTCATGGAAAGATAACTCCAGCTCTGCACCTGAAACCACATTACAGAATTACATCCTCACAACTCAATCGGTAATCAGTATGTGAATGATATATAAAACCAATCAGCAATATTACTGTTGGATCACACTGCCTTTTAAGTTATTCAGTATGGGGCCTTGGACAATTTTAGCTCCTCAGGGCCAATAAAATCAATTGTACAGGTGCCCTTAAAGAGTGAGTGAGTGAGAGACTGGGGTTTCCTGCCACTTCAAACAGAATCTCAGTCATATCTTGGCTTGTCTTTGTTTCTTTGTTTTTTGTTTAATGCTGCACTCAGTAATATTCCAGCAATGTCCAAGACTTTACAACTTTGTGAAACCTGTGAGCATGGATGTGGTGCTGACCAAGAGCCATTATCAGGTCAAACCTTGGACTGAAACCCATGATGATAGGATTCTGGCATGCCAAAGGGATGCAACTCTGCATATTGAATGCTACCTGTGAGTGATGTGGGGGCTGTCTGCGAGTGATGTGGGGGCTGTCTGTGAGTGATGTGGAGGCTGTCTGTGAGTGATGTGGAGGCTGTCTGTGAGTGATGTGGGGGCTGTCTGTGAGTGATGTGGGGGCTGTCTGTGAGTGATGTGGAGGCTGTCTGTGAGTGGTGTGGAGGCTGTCTGTGAGTGATGTGGAGGCTGTCTGTGAGTGATGTGGGGGCTGTCTGTGAGTGATGTGGGGGCTGTCTGTGAGTGATGTGGAGGCTGTCTGTGAGTGATGTGGAGGCTGTCTGTGAGTGATGTGGGGGCTGTCTGCGAGTGATGTGGGGGCTGTCTGTGAGTGATGTGGAGGCTGTCTGTGAGTGGTGTGGAGGCTGTCTGTGAGTGATGTGGAGGCTGTCTGTGAGTGATGTGGAAGCTGTCTGTGAGTGATGTGGGGGCTGTCTGTGAGTGATGTGGAAGCTGTCTGTGAGTGATGTGGGGGCTGTCTGTGAGTGATGTGGAGGCTGTCTGTGAGTGATGTGGAGGCTGTCTGTGAGTGATGTGGAAGCTGTCTGTGAGTGATGTGGAGGCTGTCTGTGAGTGATGTGGAGGAGGCTGTCTGTGAGTGATATTGAGGCTGTCTGTGAGTGATGTGGAGGCTGTCTGTGAGTGATGTGGAGGCTGTCTGTGAGTGATGTGGAGGAGGCTGTCTGTGAGTGATGTGGAGGCTGTCTTTGAGTGATGTGGAGGCTGTCTGTGAGTGATGTGGGGGCTGTCTGTGAGTGATGTGGAGGAGGCTGTCTGTGAGTGATGTGGAGGCTGTCTGTGAGTGATGTGGAGGCTGTCTGTGAGTGATGTGGGGGCTGTCTGTGAGTGATGTGGAGGAGGCTGTCTGTGAGTGATGTGGAGGCTGTCTGTGAGTGATGTGGAGGCTGTCTGTGAGTGATGTGGGGGCTGTCTGTGAGTGATGTGGGGGCTGTCTGTGAGTGATGTGGAGGCTGTCTGTGAGTGATGTGGAGGAGGCTGTCTGTGAGTGATGTGGAGGAGGCTGTCTGTGAGTGATGTGGAGGCTGTCTGTGAGTGATGTGGAGGAGGCTGTCTGTGAGTGATGTGGAGGCTGTCTGTAAGTGATGTGGGGGCTGTCTGTGAGTGATGTGGGGGCTGTCTGTGAGTGATATGGAGGAGGCTGTCTGTGAGTGATTTGGAGGCTGTCTGTGAGTGATGTGGAGGCTGTCTGTGAGTGATGTGGAGGAGGCTGTCTGTGAGTGATGTGGAGGAGGCGGTCTGTGAGTGGTGTGGAGGCTGTCTGTGAGTGATGTGGGGGCTGTCTGTGAGTGATGTGGGGGCTGTCTGTGAGTGATGTGGAGGCTGTCTGTGAGTGATGTGGAGGAGGCGGTCTGTGAGTGGTGTGGGGGCTGTCTGTGAGTGATGTGGAGGCTGTCTGTGAGTGATGTGGGGGCTGTCTGTGAGTGATGTGGAGGAGGCTATCTGTGAGTGATGTGGAGGAGGCTGTCTGTGAGAGATATTGAGGCTGTCTGTGAGTGATGTGGGGGCTGTCTGTGAGTGATGTGGAGGAGGCTGTCTGTGAGTGATGTGGAGGAGGCTGTCTGTGAGTGATATTGAGGCTGTCTGTGAGTGATGTGGGGGCTGTCTGTGAGTGATGTGGAGGCTGTCTGTGAGTGGTGTGGAGGCTGTCTGTGAGTGATGTGGGGGCTGTCTGTGAGTGATGTGGAGGCTGTCTGTGAGTGATGTGGAGGCTGTCTGTGAGTGATGTGGAGGCTGTCTGTGAGTGATGTGGGGGCTGTCTGTGAGTGATGTGGAGGCTGTCTGTGAGTGATGTGCAGCAGGCTGTCTGTGAGTGATGTGGGGGCTGTCTGTGAGTGATGTGGAGGCTGTCTGTGAGTGATGTGGGGGCTGTCTGTGAGTGATGTGGAGGAGGCTATCTGTGAGTGATCTGGAGGCTGTCTGTGAGTGATGTGGAGGCTGTCTGTAAGTGATGTGGGGGCTGTCTGTGAGTGATGTGGAGGCTGTCTGTGAGTGATGTGGAGGAGGCTGTGAGTGATGTGGGGGCTGTCTGTGAGTGATGTGGAGGCTGTCTTTGAGTGATGTGGGGGCTGTCTGTGAGTGATGTGGAGGCTGTCTGTGAGTGATGTCGAGGCTGTCTGTGAGTGATATTGAGGCTGTCTGTGAGTGATGTGGAGGCTGTCTGTGAGTGATGTGGAGGCTGTCTGTGACTGATCACAAGGCAGTGAGCATTGCACCCAGTGCATTAAGATTTCATGGTAGCCTGTACATAATAGAGCTTGGGATTGAGTCCTTGCCAAACTGCCCAGTAGTTAAGGTATCAAAAGGACTTGTAGAAATGTGCCCTTTTTAAGGGTTTTGCTATAATGTTATCATCATAAGGACTTGAGGACTATGGCAACTATCTATGGTTCTGACACCTTCTGTGACAGTGATCCTTACCATCTGGTTTAGCTGCTTCTGTGTTGAAGCGCAGGAGCTTGATGGTCTTGTCGTTTGAGCCGGTGGCAATGAGGTCCCCGAGGGGATTCCAGGCTGCGCAGTAGATGGAGCCCTTGTGGTGCCGCACGCTCTTGTGAACAACCACGGCCTCCTGGGTCACATGATCCTCTCTACAACAACATGCTACAGTGTTTAGTGCCATCACACACAATACATTGTTTCATCACACACAATACATTGTTTCTTCACACACAATACATTGTTTCTTCACACACAATACATTGTTTCATCACACACAATACATTGTTTCATCACACACAATACATTGTTTCATCACACACAATACATTGTTTCATCTCACACAATACATTGTTTCATCACACAATACATTGTTTCATCTCACACAATACATTGTTTCATCACACACAATACATTGTTTCATCACACACAATACATTGTTTCATCACACACAATACATTGTTTCATCTCACACAATACATTGTTTCATCACACAATACATTGTTTCATCTCACACAATACATTGTTTCATCACACACAATACATTGTTTCATCTCACACAATACATTGTTTCATCTCACACAATACATTGTTTCATCACACACAATACATTGTTTCATCACACACAATACATTGTTTCATCTCACACAATACATTGTTTCATCACACACAATACATTGTTTCATCACACACAATACATTGTTTCATCTCACACAATACATTGTTTCATCACACACAATACATTGTTTCATCTCACACAATACATTGTTTCATCTCACACAATACATTGTTTCATCTCACACAATACATTGTTTCATCTCACACAATACATTGTTTCATCTCACACAATACATTGTTTCATCTCACACAAAACATTGTTTCATCTCACACAATACATTGTTTCATCACACACAATACATTGTTTCATCACACACAATACATTGTTTCATCTCACACAATACATTGTTTCATCTCACACAATACATTGTTTCATCACACACAATACATTGTTTCATCACACACAATACATTGTTTCATCTCACACAATACATTGTTTCATCTCACACAATACATTGTTTCATCTCACACAATACATTGTTTCATCTCACACAAAACATTGTTTCATCACACACATTTTATTGTTTCATCACACAGAATACATTGTTTCATCACACACAATATATTGTTTCATCTCACACAATACATTATTTCATCATACATAATACATTGTTTCATCTAACACGATACATTGTTTCATCACACACAATACATTGTTTCATCACACACAATGCATTGTTTCATCTCACACAATACATTGTTTCTTCATCAGATGTAGAGAGCGGCCAAAGAACTCATCTTCCCAAGAATCCTAACTATGGATCTCATCATTGCCAAGAATCCTAACTATGGATCTCATCTTCCCAAGAATCCTAACTATGGATCTCATCTTCCCAAGAATCCTAACTATGGATCTCATCTTCCCAAGAATCCTAACTCGACCAAAAACTCCTCATGGGAAGATTTTCCATTAAAATATTGTTGAGTAATTTCATTGAAGAATCCTGTCAGAATGGAGATAAAATTGGCCAAGAATCCCTTGAGAGACCTGTTCTGCCAGGAATTGTGACATTAAACACCCACAAAGAACACCTACCTAAGGGCCGAGGTGTCGGGAAAGCCTCACTGAACACCTGCAAAGAACACCTACCTGAGGGCTGAGGTGTCAGGGAATCGACAGATACGGAGTATCTTTGAGTTTGAGCCGACGGCGTAGAAGTCTCCATTAGGGTGGAAGGCCACGGTCCTGATAGCCTGCTGGTCCTCTAGAGTGGACACTGCCACGAAGCGTGGCCGATTCCCTCCCTGAAACACAACACACATCATACAGACAGTGTTTGTGTCTTTCATGCCATATTCAGCAATATTTAGCTATACCGGTAAATATGAGACAATATATAAATGAACTAGTGACAGATGATATGAGCAACATCTCACGCTGTCTATGACACATAACCTGCCATGTTACAAGTCGACCCCCATTCCATTAGGTCACCTCAATTACAGGTTCTACTACACCAAATCAGAACCAGTTGGGACAGTGCGGTTTTCGTAGGGAGCCTTCAGTGCAGATCGAGAGATATCTGAAGGCTGTGATTGGAGGAAATTCTGTAAGACTTTTATGTCTTTTAAATGTACATCCATCCAGTTATTAAAACTGACCATGTTTTTCTATATTTAGTACTGTCTTTTTCAACATGATGACTTATGCTGAATGTGACCACAGCTATTTTCAAGTTGGTGACATTTGGTGCGAAACTGGGGGGGGGGGGGGGGGGGGGGGGGTGTTTAGCTTCCTGTACTCGGAAAAGGAGCTGGTTAAGCTAGTCATTTTTTATGTTTTTATTGCTGCTCTAAGGCCATACTGTGCACACACATACAGGTAATAGCTGTTGAATGCTTAGTTATTTTTAAAAAAATATAACGTTACTATGGAAGTCTATGGGAAAACATTTGGTTGTGTGTAACCTATAGGTTACTGGACACATACACTGACCATTATTACACAGAATTATTGACACTAAAAGAGAATTGTTGAAAATGAAACACATCGATAACAACACCTGCTCATTCTGTGGATTAGCAAGAATAAATATATACATGTACCATGTCTATCTAGAATGCACCAATGTCAACAACTTTTGGGAAGATCTAAAACAATTCTTAAGTAAATTATCAGTATAAAAGGGTTAAAGCCCTGCTTCGCCTAATTTATGAAAGTTATGGAAAATATTAATCATGGCAAACAATTTCTTTAACATTTAATCGTTTAAACATGAAATGGGGAAATGTTACTGATACATTAAATCCCCGCACTTAAAACCATATACATAAATGTACATTTTTAAGAAATCAACTTCAACAAATCAAGACCCTCATGCTACTATGTCATTGTGATAACATTTGACTAACATAAAAGTTTGACACTGTACAAATCTAATGGTTGGTTGGTTGGTATGTTGTTTAACGCCGCACTCAGCAATATTACAGCTATATGACGGCGGCCTGTAAATAATCGAGTCTGGACCAGACAATCCAGTGATTGACATCATGAGCATCGATCCACGCAATTGGGATCGATGACATGCATCAACCAAGTCAGCGAGCCTGACCACCCGATCCCGTTAGTCGCCTCTTACAACAACCATAGTCGCCTTTTACGGCAAGTATGGGTTGCTGAAGACCTATTCTACCCCGGATCTTCAAGGGCCACATATCTAATGTGAACATTCATGTAGGATTATAATTGTACAAGCTGAACTGCAAAGAAAAAGGAGTACTTGTTGGGAGCCTTAACCACAAGACCTTAGTTTGCTGGCAAGGACACAGTCAACTAACTGTTATGTTTTCAGCACATACAGGGGCAAGTACAGGTTACTGAGATTACAGATTACCATTCACCTCAATGCCAATAACAGAAACAGGCTTGTCACTGCTCAGTCCACCATGAACTACCTTTACAGTTCATTGGACAAACACAAATATTTTACCCATTATTTTCACAAAATCTCTCATTAACACTTCTTTGCCGTTGGAGCATTTATGACAATTAACCAGAAGAAACACATTGCCGAGCCTTACAGGCCACAAGGGGGAGTTCCCTGCACCCTCCGGGAGCCGCAGCCTCCGCTTCCCGGACAGCATCCATACATCACGCATTTTCCCCTCTGACATCGTCAATGGTGGAGCAGCACTTGCTACCTGTCTGTGATTTTATCTACCTACTGTCCATCGTTGAGACACAGAAAAGACAACAGCCATATCCGACTCTGATATCAGTTTAGACACACATACAGATCCATGGCTATTGAATATTAATATTCGTTAAAATCAGAAAATCATGTCTAGTTGCTAGGCAACATCACCGGTATCCATCTAAATATGTCCAGTATACATTAAATCATGTCCAGTTGTCATGAAAACATCCCCAGTACATATTCAATCATGTCTAGTTGTTAGGTAACATCACCGGTATCCATCTAAATATATCCAGTATACATTCGATCATGTCCAGTTGTCAGGAAAACAGCCCCAGTGCACATCCAATCATGTCTTCTTGTTAGGTAAACATCACTGTACATACTTTATATCTCCAGTTTTGGGGGAAACATCATATCACAATACATCTAAAACCATCTCCAGTTGTTAGGCAAACACCTCCAGTACACAGAAGGAAGACTGGTCACACAGCACTAATAGTTTCAGAGTGAAGTCAGCTCAAGCAATCACAAAGTCTTCAGTGTAAGAGGAGTCTAAACACCATCTGTGTTGACATCTTAGTTCCCGCTGCGGTCAGTAGCTGGGTCCTTGTTATGAATGTCTAGCAATGTCCTGGAACTGGTCATTGTTTAAAGGACATGTCTGACCTGCCAGGATATCTAGGGCTGAAGTGAGCTGCATGAGTATCAGTAATCTCTCACTCTAATGGTTGAGGTCATGTTTATAGTTGGAACTGCGCCATAGGAAAGAGCTGGAACTGTGCCATAAGTGACTGCTGGGATCGAGCTGTACGTGATCGCCGGGACTGATCTGTACGACACTGTTGGGATGGAGCTGTATGTAAGTGCTGGCACCGAGCTGTATGTCAGAGCCGGGATCTGTGTATAGGATACAGTTGGGACAGAACTGTACGTCAGGGCGGGGATTGAGCTGTATGAAAGTGTCGGGACGGACCCGTAAGCCAGGGCAGGGATTGAGCCGTATCCCACTGCCGCGAGGGAGCTGTACGTCATGGCTGACCGAGTCTGTTGTCTATCAACTTGAAACAGACACAACTATGTTTGTACAACTCAGAGCTCGATACCAACAGTCCTGATGCTGCTGCTGTAGGAAACCTGTCCTTGAGGAATTTTCTGTTACCAAATCCGTCCAATTTGACCCAAATCAAAGGAAAACACACACAACTTGTCCAATACCTATACACATATCAACCAACCAAATCAAGTCAACAGGTCTGTGATTCGGCTACCAGCACCACCAATAACCTACAGTTCAAGATGAATGGACAAACTACTGGGTCCGTTCCAAACTGTCACAAACACTTTTCTTCTACACCTCAATACCTTCATGAAGCGGACATTCATGGAACACTCCCCTCATTACAGCTACATGGGTCTGCCTGTAGACTGACAAGTCAGTTTAATAGGAACTTTAGCTGTGGCCTGAATGTGTGCTACCAATAGGCTCCATTGTGCAAGTATTTGCCTTCATGCTGTTTACAATGAAACCACACAGCTCCCCTCAATAGAATCACGTCAATGCCCCCCCTTTCAATGCCTGTTTTATTGTGCATGATATTTATATCATAAACAAACAACAGGGAGATATGTGTAATATCGGCCTGGGGTACAATATCACTGTTTGACATGTCCGACCATAACACTTTCTCTTACAACATTCAATGATCATGATGTTTTGTGCAGCAATAAAGTTTTCTGCAACAACAGATATTTCTGTAAACACTTTTTCAAAGCTTTCTGCGTTAACATTTGAAATGTTTGAACAAGAATATTTCAGAGCCTTCTGCAACAATATTTCAAATACTTCTACAAGAATATTTTAAAGGTTTCTGCCAATAAAATCCTACAATGATATTTTAAGTAAGAACCTTTTCATCCTGTTCATGAAAAGGCACGATGGCAAAGGTTAAACCAAGAAGAATTACATGATCACATGACAGTAGAATGCACTCTTCCACAGTGAAAACAGATCCTGAGTTGGAAGTGCTGTAAAGTTCACATCAGCTACAGCTGACTGTGTCCCAATCATGTCAAAATGACATTATCAAATGCCCCTAGCTGGCCGGGAACACCGGGCACATTATGACATATATACCGCATTTCCACTAATATATGGTAGACTCCCAATAGGTGAGTGAGTGAGTGAGTGAGTGAGTGAGTGAGTGAGTGAGTGAGTGAGTGAGTGAATGAGTGAGTGAGTGAGTGAGTTAGTGAGTGAGTGAGTGTCAGTCCATATGAATCAAACCTTGGCCTTTGGTGTGTCGAGAAAATGCTTTAACCACTACTCTACACCATCTTCCTAGTTGATGTTTGGTCACAGCCGAATTGGTAGATGAGAAGGTCAATATAAACCGGGAGAAAAGTTCTCTAAGACAGGTCTATAATACATGCCTGATTTAGACAAGCAGTAGGTGAATTATCCCCATTGTTCAAGGTGCTGGGTCATTACCTCGGCTTATAAACCTATCACCGTATTACCCTATATTACGTTAGGTTCCTGACAACCTAAACCATCAACCAGCTCATCTTCCAAACTAAGGTTCTGAAGCGGTTCTCTTCCACACCAAGGTTTTAAATTAGGTCACTTCTAAATCTGCTTTGAGGTTTTACATTTCAACTGTAATACCCAGGTTTACAATTAATGATTTATAAACTTGCCTCTTGATGTGAACTTAATTGTGTTTGATGATTGGTTGAAAGTCACAATGTAATTAACATGAAAATTCCATGATGTGAATCGAACCTGCAACCTCACATATGGTGTTCAGTGATGTTACCCACTGTTTTCCCACTGAGGCACCGGGGCGGGTGATGAGAAGTCGTAGTTGTTCAATTTTACATGTCATGACTCCAGCTGGTCCATGCTGCACATGTTTTTTCTCTCGCACGGCTTTGATCGAAAACGTTTTATAAGACAATACACTGTATTGTTTCACTATAAGGCATATCAATGTTTTCTTATTTCTTGCATTTAGATGGATCATAAGTTCTTGGGCTTTTCGCTCGCGGTTTTACATTTTCAAACAAAACCGAGGGGGCATGTTTTATCCTATACATAATGTCAGAAAATTACAAGCATGGGTAAATGTCTGATAGAGGAAATACAGTAACTCTATTGTGACCTGTTGCCTTAACTGAGTTGTAAATTGCAAAGGTCAGCGACAGTGAAGGGATGCTGTCATCATTAATTGGTCTGTTCCATCACCACCTCGTATGGCTGTAGGAGCAGAAAGGCATACACCATGTTACATAGAACTATTGTTCTATTACACTCCAGCTGTGTTGCTTGTAAAGTGAGTGAGTGTGTATGATTTGACGCCACTTTTAGCAATATTCCAGCAATTTTACGGCGGGGGACACCAGAAATGGGCTTCACACATTGTACCCATGTCGGGAATCGAACCCGGGTCTTCGGCGTGACGAGCGAACGCTTTAACCACTAGGCTACCTGACCGCCCCTTGTGGCTTGTAAAGAATTGTGTCTCTACCTGACAAATCGGGTGATGAATGAACCAAGCCATCAAGCGTAACCATCTCACCCAATAATTCACCCTGTTTGTTCGTTGTTTAACGCCGCACCCAGAAATATTCACGCTATATGATGGCGGACTGTAAGTAATCGAGTCTGGACCAGACAATCCATTGATTGATATCATGAGCGTCGATCCACGTAATTGGGATCGATGACATGCATCAACCAAGAAAGCGAGTCTGACCACCGAATACCGTTAGTAGCCTCTTACGACAAGCATAGTCGCCTCTTGCGACAAGTATAATCGACTTTTACGGCAAGCTTGGGTTGCTAAAGAAGTGAAAGTGTATTTGGAAAGATGAACGTAAACTGCTTACCCTGGGTGTGGTGGCGTGAGTCGGCGGCCCAGCAGACGTTAACTGCGACATGTGCAGACTGCCACTCTTCTGATCGTCTGCAATACAAACGTGGCTGCCATGACACCCCAGTTCCTCAGGGGTTCATACAACACGATCACAACATTTAAAAATTTAACAGAAATAATTTACCACACAGAAATAACTACCAAAACGTAAAATCAAAAGTAAGGAGGGTCATCCCAAAATGAAGAATTTACATGAAATGAAAGGAATTGAAGGAATCACAACAATTTAAATGTCTAATTATAAGTTATGGTTCAAACATTCATACTCACTACTTATTGGAAAGGAGAACTACATCAATGAGCATGATAAAATAAGTCAGTGAGCAATCAGAAGTGGGTCAATGAGCATACAAATAGTCCATCTTTATTCAAGCATATGCACCTATACTGAACAAAAAAGGTTAGGGTCATGACTATTTGGGGGGATATTTTGTGAAGACAATTTCATAAAAATATCCCATAAAATCAATATGATCCCAAAGTTTTTTGGTTCACTATAGATATATAATTGGAACAGCAGTATTGACTGGTGAGACTGACAGATGCAAGTGACAGGGCAAGTGACAGGGTGAGTGACAGGGTGAGTGACAGGGTGAGTGACAGGGCAAGTGACAGGGCAAGTGACAGGGCAGGGGCCAGGGCAAGTGACAGGGCAAGGGACAGGGCAAGTGACAAGGCAAGGGACAGGGCAAGTGACAGGGTGAGTGACAGGGCAAGTGACAGGGCAAGTGACAGGGCAAGGGACAGGGCAAGTGACAGGGCAAGTGACAGGGCGAGTGACAGGGCAAGGGCCAGGGCAAGGGCCAGGGCAAGTGACAGGGCAAGTGACAGGGTGAGTGACAGGGCAAGTGACAGGGCAAGCGACAGGGCAAGGGACAGGGCAAGGGACAGGGCGAGTGACAGGGCAAGGGCCAGGGCAAGTGACAGGGCGAGTGACAGGGCGAGTGACAGGGCAAGGGACAGGGCAAGGGACAGGGCAAGCGACAGGGCAAGCGACAGGGCAAGGGACAGAGCAAGGCACAGGGCGAGCGACAGGGCAAGCGACAGGGCAAGCGACAGGGCAAGGGACAGAGCAAGGCACAGGGCGAGCGACAGGGCAAGGGCCAGGGCGAGTGACAGGGCAAGGGACAGGGCAAGTGACAGGGTGAGTGACAGGGCGAGTGACAGGGCAAGGGCCAGGGCAAGTGACAGGGCGAGTGACAGGGCAAGTGACAGGGCAAGGGACAGGGCAAGCGACAGGGCAAGCGACAGGGCAAGGGACAGAGCAAGGCACAGGGCGAGCAACAGGGCAAGCGACAGGGCAAGCGACAGGGCAAGCGACAGGGCAAGGGACAGAGCAAGGCACAGGGCGAGCGACAGGGCAAGGGCCAGGGCGAGTGACAGGGTGAGTGACAGGGCGAGTGACAGGGCAAGGGCCAGGGCAAGTGACAGGGCAAGGGACAGAGCAAGTGACAGGGCAAGCGACAGGGCAAGCGACAGGGCAAGGGACAGAGCAAGGCACAGGGCGAGCGACAGGGCAAGCGACAGGGCAAGCGACAGGGCAAGGGACAGGGCGAGTGACAGGGCAAGGGACAGGGCAAGGGACAGGGCAAGCGACAGGGCAAGCGACAGGGTTAGGGACAGGGCAAGCAACAGGGCAAGCAACAGGGCAAGTGACAGGGCAAGCGACAGGGCGAGTGACAGGGCAAGGGACAGAGCAAGGCACAGGGCGAGTGACAGGGCGAGTGACAGGGCAAGGGACAGGGTAAGCGACAGGGCAAGGGACAGGGTAAGCGACAGGGCAAGGTGCATGAGCTGAAACAGTGAAAGGTAACATAATGTAAGAGCATGATGGTCACACACAGACATAATCAGGCAAATCAGGGATTCAAACTCATAATCAGCAAATCCTGCCACCGAAGGGACACAACTCTGCAAGCCGTTGTGGCACCTGTGACCACTGGGCCATCTGCGTCCCCACTATGAACTGAAATATGTGATGGTGAGATACCTGTAGTGTGTCCTACACCCACAGCTTGTCAGATAGGAATAATCGCCCTGTGATTCCCAAGTCCACAAGACTTTGCTACCAATGTCCACAAGAGCCCAGATGACCATGCACACCAAGCCATCACAAGCATGAAAAAAGAGTGTCACAGAGATAGGACCAAAAGAACATGTAAGAGAACTTGCAAGTATTGAGTACAAAAGGGCCCATTCAGTTTAAGCTCAAGAGCCCTGCATGCACACATGCTCAAGAGAAAAGAGCATAGAGCAGGCACTGCAAGACACTATCATGAGTCTGGAGAAGAAAGCATAGAGCAGGCACTGCAAGACACTGTCAAGAGTCTGGAGAAGAAAGCATAGAGCAGGCACTGCAAGACACTGTCAAGAGTCTGGAGAACACAGGGCAGGCACTGCATGACACTGTCATGAGTCAAGAGAAATATGGCAGGCACAGCATGACAGTGTCAAGAGTCTGGAGAACATAGGGCAGGCACTGCATGACACTGTCATGAGTCAAGAGACATATGGCAGGCACAGCATGACACTATCATGAGTCAAGAGAACATAGGACAGGCACAGCATGACACTGTCATGAGTCAAGAGAACATAGGGCAGGCACTGCATGAAAGTATCATAATATCATCAACAACTTGCAGAAAGCAAGGAATCAAATAATTTTCAATGTCCTTGCCAAAAAATAAGCAATTCACTGAGAAAATCTGTTATCATCAGTTACCATGAAAACCTGGTAAATGCATATGTAGCAGTCACAGCATGTCAGTTCTTGTCATATTTGTTACAAATCATCTAATCATGTATCTCATATCATGTAATACGTATCATGTATCACATATCACATATTACAAGTCTTGCTATTCTCATCATGCTCATGTCGTGAGTATTGTGTTATAGTATAATGTTATACTATTGTGATATCATGTTATGCTAGTGTTGTCACATTAGCGTTGTTGTCCATGGAAGTGTTGTGGCATATATGTGTCACAAATTGGTATTAAGACAGACATGACAGTGTCATGTTAAATTAATGTCATGTTTAGTACCATGTCATGTTAGTCCGATGTTAAGCAAATGTGTCACATTAGTATCATGTCCTGTTAGCATGTCAATCTAGTGGCATGTCCTGTCAGTATGTCATGCATGTGTCATGTCAATCTAGTGACATGTCTGGTCAGTATGTCATGCATGTGTCATGTCAATCTAGTGGCATGTCCTGTCAGTATGTCATGAATGTGTCATGTCAATCTAAGTGACATGTCTGGTCAGTATGTCATGCATGTGTCATGTCCTGTCAGTATGTCATGAATGTGTCATGTCAATCTAAGTGACATGTCTGGTCAGTATGTCATGCATGTGTCATGTCAATCTAGTGGCATGTCCTGTCAGTATGTCATGATGTGTCATGTCAATCTAAGTGACATGTCTGGTCAGTATGTCATGCATGTGTCATGTCAATCTAGTGGCATATGCTGTCAGTATGTTATGCATGTGTAATGTCAATCTAGTGGCATGTCCTGTTATTATGTTATGCATGTGCCATGTCAATCTCATGGCATTTGCTGTCAGTATGTCATGCATGTGACATGTCAATCGAGTGGCATGTCTGTTCAGTATGTCATGCATGTGTCATGTCAATCTAGTGGCATGTCCTGTCAGTATGTCATGCATGTGACATGTCAATCTAGTGGCATGTCCTGTTAGTATGTTATGCATGTGTCATGTCAATCTAATGGCATGTCTGGTCAGTATGTCATGCATGTGCCATGTCAATCTAGTGGCATGTCTGGTCAGTATGTCATGCATGTGCCATGTCAATCTAGTGGCATGTCTGGTCAGTATGTCATGCATGTGCCATGTCAATCTAGTGGCATGTCTGGTCAGCATGTTATGCATGTGCCATGTCAATCTAGTGGCATGTCCTGTCAGTATGTCATGCATGTGCCATGTCAATCTAGTGGCATGTCCTGTTAGTATATCATGCATGTGCCATGTCAATCTAGTGGCATGTCTGGTCAGTATGTCATGCATGTGTAGTGTCAATCTAGTGGCATGTCCTGTTAGTATGTCATGCATGTGCCATGTCAATCTAGTGGCATGTCCGGTCAGTATGTCATGCATGTGGCATGTCAATCTAATGGCATGTCCTGTTAGTATGTCATGCATGTGCCATGTCAATCTAGTGGCATGTCTGGTCAGCATGTTATGCATGTGTAGTGTCAATCTAGTGGCATGTCTGGTCAGTATGTCATGCATGTGCCATGTCAATCTAGTGGCATGTCCTGTCAGTATGTTATGCATATGTCATGTCAATCTAGTGGCATGTCTGGTCAGTATGTCATGCATGTGCCATGTCAATCTAGTGGCATGTCTGGTCAGTGTGTCATGCATGTGACATGTCAATCTAGTGGCATGTCTGGTCAGTATGTAATGCATGTGTAGTGTCAATCTAGTGGCATGTCCTGTTAGTATGTCATGCATGTGCCATGTCAATCTAGTGGCATGTCCTGATAGTATGTCATGCATGTGTCATGTCAATCTAGTGGCATGTCTGGTCAGTATGTCATGCATGTGCCATGTCAATCTAGTGGCATGTCCTGCCAGGAGGTCATGAATGTGTCATGTCAATCTAGTGGCATGTCCGGTCAGTATGTCATGCATGTGTCATGTCAATCTAGTGGCATGTCTGGTCAGTATGTCATGCATGTGCCATGTCAATCGAGTGGCATGTCTAGTCAGCATGTTATGCATGTGTAGTGTCAATCTAGTGGCATGTCCTGTTAGTATATCATGCATGTGCCATGTCAATCTAGTGGCATGTCTTGTCAGTATGTCATGCATGTGCCATGTCAATCTAGTGGCATGTCCTGTCAGTATGTTATGCAAATGTCATGTCAATCTAGTGGCATGTCTGGTCAGTATGTCATGCATGTGCCATGTCAATCTAGTGGCATGTCCGGTCAGTATGTCATGCATGTGCCATGTCAATCTAGTGGCATGTCTGGTCAGCATGTGATGCATGTGCCATGTCAATCTAGTGGCATGTCCTGTCAGTATATCATGCATGTGCCATGTCAATCTAGTGGCATGTCTGGTCAGCATGTCATGCATGTGTAGTGTCAATCTAGTGGCATGTCCTGTCAGTATGTCATGCATGTGTCATGTCAATCGAGTGTCATGTCTGGTCAGTTTGTCATGCATGTGCCATGTCAATCTAGTGGCATGTCTGGTCAGTATGTCATGCATGTGACATGTCAATCGAGTGGCATGTCCTGATAGTATGTCATGCATGTGTCATGTCAATCTAGTGGCATGTCCTGTTAGTATGTCATGCATGTGTCATGTCAATCTAGTGGCATGTCCTGTTAGTATGTCATGCATGTGCCATGTCAATCTAGTGTCATGTCCTGCCAGGAGGTCATGCATGTGCCATGTCAATCTAGTGGCATGTCCTGATAGTATGTCATGCATGTGTCATGTCAATCTAGTGGCATGTCTGGTCAGTATGTCATGCATGTGCCATGTCAATCTAGTGGCATGTCCTGATAGTATGTCATGCATGTGTCATGTCAATCTAGTGGCATGTCCTGTCAGTATGTCATGCATGTGTCATGTCAATCTAGTGGCATGTCTGGTCAGTATGTCATGCATGTGCCATGTCAATCTAGTGGCATGTCCTGATAGTATGTTATGCATGTGTCATGTCAATCTAGTGGCATGTCCGGTCAGTATGTCATGCATGTGTCATGTCAATCTAGTGGCATGTCCTGTTAGTATGTCATGCATGTGTCATGTCAATCTAGTGGCATGTCTGGGCAGTATGTCATGCATGTGTCATGTCAATCTAGAGGCATGTCTTGTCATTATGTCATGCATGTGTCATGTCAATCGAGTGTCATGTCTGGTCAGTTTGTCATGCATGTGCAATGTCAATCTAGTGGCATGTCTGGTCAGTATGTCATGCATGTGTCATGTCAATCTAGTGGCATGTCCTGCCAGGAGGTCATGCATGTGCCATGTCAATCTAGTGGCATGTCCTGTCAGTATGTCATGCATGTGTCATGTCAATCTAGTGGCATGTCTGGCCAGTATGTCATGCATGTGTCATGTCAATCTAGTGGCATGTCCTGTCAGTATGTCATGCATGTGCCATGTCAATCTAGTGGCATGTCTGGTCAGTATGTCATGCATGTGTCATGTCAATCTAGTGGCAGTCCGATCAGCATATTATGCATGTGTCATGTCAATCTAGTGGCATGTCTGGTCAGTATGTCATGCATGTGTAGTGTCAATCTAGTGGCATGTCTGGTCATCATGTCATGCATGTGCCCTGTCATGCTTGGGGTATTTCTTCCTCTTCAAGTTAACGTGGTAACACTTGCATGCTGTGTTAGTGTCATGGTAACCATGGCAATAATGGTAACATTATGAAGTGTGTCATGAGAGTGTCATGTCACATGACCTTCAGTGTTAGGATCACAGCAACCAACTCAAGCAGGACAGCACACCTCTATATGTACATGATAGGGTGATTATACCTTTAACCACTGGGGCAGGCTTGGTGGTTTTGGACTGGGCACCTGTCTTAGTGGCAGTGACCTTGGCCTTGTTACGAGCTGGTGAACAGGTAGTGGAGGTCAAACACAGAAACATCAAAGAGATGAAAGAAATGCTGACACAGACAAAAAGTGATAAAAAATGTACAACATTTGGAAGATCCTGCAGTTTTGAGGTTTACACTCAAAGTTTGCGAATCTAGGAGCCCTGACGGTTGAACTTCTGACATTAGTGTTGTGACAGGTATCCCTTGATGTCAATGGTTTAATTCAAACCCTGAATATATCTTCACAATTCGTACACAACATTAAGACAAAGGAATTCAAAATTACCAGAATCAAGTTGAATGGCTATTTTCATTGTTATAATGTTAATTATGATAGTTCATTATCTTCTCACACATGTAACATAACAATGAAACTATTTGGTATTTCATTTCATTTCAAAAAGAAACTTGTTTCTTGAGATGCTTATCAGTGGTGATATAGGATATTGCAAACAGAAATAAGAATATCTATAATGGCAAATTAGATATTTACAAAATATCACGACTGCTGTGTAGAATCTTCTCAATTTCTTTCCCTCTGCAGGGTTTAAACTACAGACAGATCTATTACAACATGTGGTGCCACCTGTAACACCCACTTCAGAGCTCACAGTCATAAAACTAGTTGTTGAGAAACAAGTACATCTATATGTAGCCAGTTGTATGAGAATAGTACCAAGTGTATGAGAGAACACTTTGCATCCCACCTGTCAGTGTGAGGGTTTATGACAGCAAGAGGCAGTTAGTTGTGTACTTGATGCAGGCAGTAAGAACTGAAGACTGCCTGCTAGACCAGCTGCTAGACTTCAAACACAACTTCACAAATGCAGGCAGCATATCCTGACCAATCAGGAAGCTGGGAACAACACCAACAAATCAGACATAGGCAGGCCATAAAGGAAATCAAACTGACCAATCAGGGACAAGCAGGTAATAATGGAAATCAAACTGACCAATGAGGGTAAAGCAGGTATTAAAGGAAATATCAAACTGACCAATCAGACTAAAGCAGGTATTAATGGGAATCAAACTAACCAATCAGGGTAAAGCAGCTAATAAGAAATATCAAACTGACCAATCAGGGTAAAGCAGGTATTGGAAATGAAACAGGTCAATCAGGGATAAGTAAGTAATAAATAAAGGTGACAGAACCATTTCCATAACTGCAAGAAGTTTCAGCTAAAAGCAGATTCCATTGCACAATTCAATTCAGACTATATCATAAGCATGTGTTTATGAATCACTATAAAATGGTGATGACACCAGGTGTTTGTGAAAAGGTGAGTGTATCCTGCCCCACCGATGGCACCCATCACCATCTTATGGAAATCAAACTGACCAATAAGGGAAAAGCAGGTACAGTAAACTACGGTTATAATGAACACATTTATAACGAACTGACCGATAAGACGAACTTATTTTTTAGTTCCGGTCATTTGTTGTATATATGCTGTATATATGCTTATAACGAACTACGTTATAACGAACCAAATTTAGTGGTCCCTTTGAGTTGGTTATAACCGTAGTTTACTGTATTAATGGGGATCAAACTCAAAAATCACAAATTGAGGAAAAGAAAAACTCATTCAAGCTGAATACTTCAGGTAAAAATAGAAAATATACTACATTAAGTACACAGAAAGCGAAAGAAGGTATGGCAGGCACATTTCTGATGGGAAAGTGAGGAAGGATTGGAGAAACTGTGTGATGAATCTGCTTGAAGATAGCGACATGTAGGTCAGTGATGGGACACCACGGCAGACTGAACTTTGTGAGAGAATTGGATAAGGGATCTGATGATGTTTGCACATGAAACCAATGAAGCTACAACAGCTGTTACGTAACATGAGTCTGGCCTGTGGGAGATACGAAACATACAAGAGCTTGGTGATGTGATCCTGCTTAAACATGAGTGTGGCTTACAGGAGATATGAAATATATATACTAGAGGTAGGTGAAGTGATCCTGCTTAAATATGAGTCCGGGCTATGGGAGATACTATAGGAGATACGAAACATAAGCCTAATTTGGTTCATCTAAAGTAACTTACAAATAGCAAAGGGAAATAGCCAAACATGCAGACATAAATCAACAGACAAAATAATTTCACAGATCAAGAATTGCATTCTTTACATTCTTTCTTTTTTACAAGAAACATCTACAGGCAAAATTCTGCAAAACTCCAAAAAGTTGTTGCCGTCAGTTTTCTTCCCAATTTTTAAATTTATTCAGTCTCTATTCGTCATGATCATCTGTATGTGAAAACCTTAAACAGGAAGAATATTAATAATAAAAAAGACGTCTTCAGGTTTCCAAATGAACCCCAAGACGGTCATGTGAACAACGGACAGGCTGATCACCATGGTCACCCGAACAATGACACACATTGAGTCAAGTATGATAAAACCAATCCAGAATGTTGGTTATTTCAAAAAGAAGTCTGGATTCAGAAGAGAGGCCTCTTGAAGAAACCACAAAAGGACCCAAAGAACAGCACAAGTGTAAACTTCTGCCAATATTGTACCTTGGATCTGACAGACAGTTATTAGAACAACACATTGAATACCATGCTTTAGTAAACAGCAATGAACCACAGCGGACACACGTTTCTCTTGCGAAACTTGAAAGTTAGTTGGGTCAGCTGACCCTGTCTTCTCATGCGGACAGACACGGAGCATTCTATACCTGGTAGCGGCAACGTCTTTGACCTTGACCCGTCTGGCACACTCAGACTCCGTGCGTATCCCTTCGTCGGAGTCGTAGCAGGTTTCGGACTTTTAATATTTCTCTTTGTCATTGCAGGAGATCCGTTAAACACCGGGGTCTTTGCCCCTATTCGGGAACTGTCATCACGTGACTTGGGACCCGATTCAGCAGCATGGACACTACTGCGTCCATATGAACGTGGCAGAGTGGAGTATTTCTCATGAGGAATACGAGAAGAATCGGGTGGTATACGTTTTTTCTCGGCCAGTTGCCTCCGTCTGACCGAGGGAGATGGAGCCGGGGAAGGGGAGGGGGAAGTGGGCGTGTTCCCAGCACTGCGACACTTGTCAAATAACGGGAACGGTTCCAAGAACAGGCACGGTCTGGGAACATTGTCTAGTGGATCTGGAGAGGGGAGATCAGTGTTGATGAAAAATTTACCTGTTTGTTGAGAGGGGGACTGTGAAATACTGGTGTGCGGTGTGAGATTCAGCCCCTGGGGGGGTCCTGGGGGCACCTGCAAGGCAGCCTGTGGGGCAGCCTGTGGGGTGGCTTGAGAGGGGTGGGGATGAGCATTATCCTGAGATGTGATGGGTGATGTTTGAGGCACTATGGGGGATGATGTGGTAGGCAAGACTTTAGGCGTGCTCGTTTTCAATCCTGCGTGAAGCAAAAACAAAATTAACACAACACCAGCCACAACTGACAACTGCAAAATAAAGAGACTTAATAAATATACGCTGACAACAACATAATATATATACTTGTACACAACAACATCTTATACCAATGGTTTTTGAACAGAGTAAATTCGCAGTTTATTTTTGGATATGATCCACACTGGTACATACATCCTACATGGATGAAGTTAAAGAACTCCTGATTCTTGTATATTACTAATATGAAAGAATTGGGGGTTCCTTGACTTTGGATGAGCAGTACATACATAATATAACGTCATGAAATAAGTTTACAGCAACATTACAGTCATTAAATCAACCTGAGCTACTATATTATCTTACTAGCAGACAGCCTCTGTACATATCATCAGACACAGACATGCTTTCACCATTGTTCATGAACAAACTGCCTCATGAATAGAATATCAAATGTTCTATACGGTACACATTCACAGGCTCGCTGATCTATCACTCAGGGGGACCCTTAATAGAAAAAAAATCTGAAAAAATATGTCAAGTTCATGCCAAGTTGTATGAAGATTTAAACATAATAAAAATAACATGGATAGCTACTAAGGCCTTAGAAAGACCTTGTATACACCAAGGCCTGTATGTATTATACTCCAGGGCCCTGTTTCCTAAAGCCATCATACTGTTACGACTGTCGTAAGTCCATGTTAAACTATAGGAGTTACGATAGCCGTAGCGTTACGATAGCCGTAGTGTTACGATCACTTTGTGAAACTGGGCCCTGGACATGTATGTATGTATGTATACATTAGGTCCCACTTGCACAAAGCGATCTTAGTACTAAGATGATCATAACTCCTATACTTTAACATAGGCTACGATAATCTCAGTGCTAAGATGGCTTTGTGCAAGTGGGCCCAGGGTAATCAGCTCCTGATGAAGCACTTCAGCTACACACGGTTTAAAACGAGCTCCAAGGGTTCTTGAGGTTCGCTCCCCCTAAATCATTAACTCTTAACATCAGTGTTACAGGGTTTGATATTCCTTGCATGAAAGTGCCAATGGCATGGTTAAAATCATAACCATGATAACAGCACTGTCAAAAATAAGTTCCCCATGTTCCCTGATCCTTCTGTTTCCTTCAAGTTTCTTGTGAAGATTTACATGATGTAAAGCCAGTGAACTGGACAGACACAGGGAATACTAGGAATATGCTAACACACTCAATTGATAATTTTTTTCTTTGAAAAAACTACATTTCTAACACTGTGGTAGGACCTTTTGACCTTTCTGCTTAATTCCACACTGACATGGCAATCAGCTATCAATGGAACTCTTTAATTACAGCTATTAAGGCATCAGCTTGTTGTCACATTTACACATGTGGCCATCGGCTATCAATGACACTCTTCTATTACAGATCCTACACATAGATCGGCCTTGAGAGGCCATCAAAGCACTGTGGACGGGGACCTCGATGGGTCATACTGACATGCACAAACAACAGTGTCTAAATTAGTGTCAAAATATTACTGTAAAAGTTTAACATAAAAACAATGATGACATAGTGCTGAGTACAAACATTACTTCTTATGAAAGTCTTGGTCCAACTAGGTTTAGGCAGCATTGTTTTTAATGCTAATACTCAAATACTACTAGCTTTCAGTGACAGCCCTTTTAACATGGAAATATCTAGAAATAATAATAATATATGACTCAAGGCCGTGAATATTACAGCAATCTGCCTAAAGGCCCTGAATATTACAGCCATCTAATTAAAGGCCCTGAAAATTACTGCCATCTGACTAAAGGCCCTGAATATTACTGCCATCTGACTAAAGGCCCTGAATATTACTGCCATCTGACCAAAGGCCCTGATTATTATGGCCATCTGACTAAAGGCCCTGAATATTACGGCCTACTGACTCCTGACCACCCATGAGGACCCTCGTCCTTTAGCCATCAGTGCCAGCATGGCAATAGATACAGTGACATGATGCTTGCACCAAGCTATAGATTGCCGCTACTCCATCTGTGTCTGAATCAATAACACAATATTCTCAGTATCAATATTTGGACTGGAGAGAAACATGTTTCTATTTTATTACCAATCCTGTGGTCAGTTGTCAAGTGTGGCTGGTGGCCAACGTCAGATAAATAGCATCATAGTAACTATGTTATAATGAGTTGATAATCAGCATGGCGAAGGCAAACAAAAAGCACAGGGATGTATCTGGACCTGCCCAGAAGCCGACAATTCAAACCGATGTCGGAAGCAAAAATTCCTTAACTGAACAATAAAATTCACTATTCATGATGTTTTAATTCTAGTAATGGCTTCACCAGTGTTCATAGAGGAGACTTGTATTTCATCGACAACACTGTCAGCAGGTTCAAAAAAGAGTTTTACATTATAATCATTCTAAATTTAAGAAATCTGTTGAACAAAATACTAATTTTTCCCTGCTTGCTTGGTAAGGGCACATAGTTGGGGCTCGCAGATAAATCCCTCCGCCAGTTCCAAACAAGGTGGAGAAAGATACTGATGCATACATCACATTCAGTGATACAGTACACGGGTACAATATCGTATCGTGATACAAGTAAGTCACATACAAATCATCAATTTCCAATGACAATCGCAATGAAAACAGTGCTTACTTTTACATTATAAACACATTCAATAATCAAAAAATAAATGAACACTTATCGTTAAGTTCCTAAATCGGAGAAAAGAAACATTCTGATTGGATACAAAGGAAGAAAAAATATTTTGGAAGATGAGTCCCTGAGAGAGTATGAGAGGAAGTCCCTGTTGGCATTAAAGGAATGCTATACTAAAATCATTAGGCAAATTCTTGTATTGATGTTTGTTTGTTGTTGTGTAATGTTGCATTCTGCAATATTCAAACCATAGGACTACAACCTGTAAATAATCAAGTTTGGACCAGACAATCCTGTGACTGATATTGTGATACACACCTAAACAAATGATATATCAAGGATATATGAAGACTGTATTGTGACCAATGTATCGCAATATGTATCGTATACCTCATGTACCACTATACAAAACTGATATACAAGAATTTATGCTATACAGTGATATTACCGTCATAAAGCACATCTATATGACTGGAGAGTGATTCATGCACGACATTCTACACTGCAGTGTTCAAGCACAGCCAATGTATTATCATGATGAGTACAACATCAAAGGACAAGTTATGAAAAATACCCCATGATTCAAGGATGTCACGGCGCCATTGTGCGACGCCATGTTCACGCCTCTGATTCTCAACATCTGTTCCCCATTCCCCAGTCCCAAGGCAAGTGTTGGTGCACAAATCCATGTCACAACTAATCTTGAGTCACGAACCTCGTGATTTTAAAAATCTTAAACCGAAACAAGATACTATTAAATAACATGAGATAATACTAAAAATGCAAACTCCAACATGTAACAGTGGTGAACAACAACATCAGCTTCAAGTCGCAAACTACCTGCTGCCACCGGCACCTACCTGGATCTCCAGCTATCCTGGGTGTGTCCCCCCCAATCTGGGGAAAGGCGGGGGTCTGGGGGTCATCATTGTAGCGGTTGTCAACCAAGAGATGCTGCTGCTTGCTCTCAATCTCCTGCAGCTCCTTCTGGTAGATCATGCGCTGCTTCTCCTGTAACCATGGCAACCACAGAGTGAGACCCTCGGATTCAGTGTTACAGTGAATAATATACATAACGATGCTGCAATTTGTGATTTTGTAAAAAGTCTGATTACTGTTTGTCGTAAGCCAGTCAAAATGATGATATGGGGTAAAAGTTTATATTTTTACCATGTTTACTAATCTATCAAATGGATAGTGGTCAAACCATTGTAAAAATTTACAATTTTTAATCTATGAGTGAGTCTAATAAAAATAATCTATCTATAGGGGTTCAGACAGACAAATCCCTAAACCAAAAATAAGAGAATGAAAAGAAGAAAATGAGAGTAACCCCTTACTCCTCTGGTCCACCAAAGATACACCAGTTCAACCTGATCAATAGTGTCCACTAACCTGCCTCCCAACTCCCCCACCCATACCTCCTCCCCCTTCCCCTACCCTGCACCCTACCTTTCCTTTACACCTTTCCCTCCCCTACCCTGGTCGCACTCCCTCTATCCTTCCCTCCCTCCCTCTACCCTTCACTCCTCCCCCTCCCCTGCCTCTTCCCTTCCCTCTATCCCTGCCCTCCCCTGCCTCTATCATTCCCTATATCCCTGCTATCACCCCCTGCCTCTATCCTTCCCTCCCTCCCTCTACCCTTCACTCCTCCCCCTCCCCTGCCTCTTCCCTTCCCTCTATCCCTGCCCTCCCCTGCCTCTATCATTCCCTATATCCCTGCTATCACCCCTGCCTCTATCCTTCCCTCCCTCCCTCTACCCTTCACCCCTCCACTCCCCTGCCTCTTCCCTTTCCTCTATCCCTGCTTTCACCCCTGCCTCTTTCCTTCCCTCTATCCCTGACCTCCCCTCCATCCCTCTACCCCTGCCTCCTCCCCTCCCTCTATCACTGTTATTCCAACCTGCCTCCACCCTTGCAGTGCACCCACCTGCAGTTCGAGCTGGTCCTGCAGGAGCTGTCTCTGCCTCTGGTACTCCTTGTACAGCTCATTGCTGGAGTCATGCACCGAGTTGCCCTGCACACGCGGGGACGTCCGGGACTCCATGGTCACACTCTGTGACGGCGACATTGATCTAGGGGGGACAACTGATGATCCTGGTTGAACCTGACCTTGAACTTGACCTCTGGGTGAAGCAGACGGAGGTGTTGAGCTTCTCGCAGGTGGTTTCCCTGGCGGAATACGCAGTGGTGATTTGATTTCATCAGATATAGAAGTGTGAGTGTCTACAATTTCACCAGTGGCAAACAGTTTGTCAACAGACATCAGCATCGGATTCTTCAAAGAGTTGTTGAGATTGGTTCCTGGGGCCATAGATCTGGAGAGGATGTTGAAGTCGTTAGAAGTGGACATGCTGTCCTTCCGCCCCTGGAACAGCCCACTGGTCAGGCCATCAAACTGCGGGTTCAGTGAGCGAGTCATGATCTCTGCTGACCGGGGTCTCACTGATGGAATAGCGGAGTGAGGAAACATCTTCGGCTTGATGGGAGTCACAAGGATCTGCTCAGACCAAGAAGCTTCCAGCGAAGGTCTAACAAAGGGTCGAATGTCTACATTCAGGGGTTTCTGTTCAAAGGGACAGGAGAAGGTATCGTATGGGATGCTCTGTAACCACGACAATAAACTAAGATCAGCATCATTGAATCCAGTGTCACTCAGAACAGACGAGAACTTGATCTCGCTTTCATCGTTAGTTGCCTGCTGTTGGCAGTATTCAACACAGGATTCGTACAGGAGTCCCTTCAGCACGAGCTGGATGAGTCGGTCATTCTGGGCCGTGGTGTTCTTCAAGTCCCTTCTGTCCACAGGGAGGAACTTCTCCACCAGTGGCACGATGTCATTAAAGCACTGAACTCGGGCATTGCTGGGGTTCCAGTTCTGGAACTCAACGTGGTCCGAGAGTTTGGGGAGAGACAGAAGGAAACACAGGTTGCTGTACTCCTCCTTGTTGGGACAGAACTCCTCGAGGGAGTTCAAACACTTCACCACCTCCTCCACGGTGAACTCGTAATTCTGCATCACATTAGGTTCAGATTTAATGCACAACAATTCCAGATACTTATGTTTCATGATGATGAACTGGAACCCCTTCATGTCAAAGTTGTCGACGGTGACGAGGGGCTGGATAAACTCAATGACATCGTCCCACTGTCCATCGAGGATGAGTTGTCTCAGGAACAGCATGTCGTCGGAGAAGAAGCCATTGATGATTCCTGTTTCCCGCTCCATAGACAACATGGAGATGTTGAGCTGTCTGTTGTGGAGGAACTCACAGATGAGTTTGACCACGTCCACTTCATTCATGACGAGATTCGCTGATGGCATTGTCAACTACAGAAAAAGAACAGCTAGTCTTCTACTCCTCAAGCAGATCTATGTCCGAACTCTTATACATCCAGTCTTTGCAACATAGTAAACTCCATTAATTCTGAAATCATAAATAATAACATGTATAATCAGGGTTACATGTAAATTATTAATACGATTTTATTACAAAGATGTTGAGAGGACATCGCTGATTTCTGTTCAATAACTAACTGATCAACTAGTAACTAACTTATGAAAATGGAAAAGAAAAATGTTTCCTGTACAATTTTGAAAAGTCTTGTCATGTTAGTCACTTAATATATGTATTTGCTAAAATAAATATTTTGTTTTTAAATTTAAATTTTGTGTCTATGTGACCAACTGATCGCAGCAGTAGGACTGTCATAACTCCAATTATCTTACTCAAGACCTACGGTAGTCATAGCATTAGGACTGTCATTACTCCAATTATCTAACTCAAGACCTACGGTAGTCATAGCATTTGGACTGTCATTACTCCAATTATCTAACTCAAGACCTATGGTAGTCATAGCATTAGGACTGTCATAACTCCAATTATCTAACTCAAGACCTACGGTAGTCATAGCATTAGGACTGTCATTACTCCAATTATCTAACTCAAGACCTAAGGTAGTCATAGCATTAGGACTGTCATTACTCCAATTATCTAACTCAAGACCTAAGGTAGTCATAGCATTAGGACTGTCATTACTCCAATTATCTAACTCAAGACCTATGGTAGTCATAGCATTAAGACTGTCATTACTCCAATTATCTAACTCAAGACCTACGGTAGTCATAGCATTAGGACTGTCATTACTCCAATTATCTAACTCAAGACCTACGATAGTCATAGCATTAGGACTGTCATAACTCCAATTATCTAACTCAAGACCTACGATAGTCATAGCATTAGGACTGTCATAACTCCAATTATCTAACTCAAGACCTACGATAGTCATAGCATTAGGACTGTCATTACTCCAATTATCTAACTCAAGACCTACGATAGTCATAGCATTAGGACTGTCATAACTCCAATTATCTAACTCAAGACCTACGATAGTCATAGCATTAGGACTGTCATAACTCCAATTATCTAACTCAAGACCTACGATAGTCATAGCATTAGGACTGTCATTACTCCAATTATCTAACTCAAGACCTACGGTAGTCATAGCATTAGGACTGTCATTACTCCAATTATCTAACTCAAGACCTACGATAGTCAAAGCATTAGGACTGTCATTACTCCAATTATCTAACTCAAGACCTACGATAGTCATAGCATTAGGACTGTCATTACTCCAATTATCTAACTCAAGACCTACAATAGTCATAGCATTAGGACTGTCATAACTCCAATTATCTAACTCAAGACCTACGATAGTCATAGCAATAGGACTGTCATTACTCCAATTATCTAACTCAAGACCAACATTAGTCATAGCATTAGAACTGTCATTACTCCAATTATCTAACTCAAGACCTACGGTAGTCATAGCATTAGGACTGTCATAACTCCAATTATCTAACTCAAGACCTACGGTAGTCATAGCATTAGGACTGTCATTACTCCGATTATCTAACTCAAGACCTACGGTAGTCATAGCATTAGGACTGTCATTACTCCAATTATCTTACTCAAGACCTACGGTAGTCATAGCATTAGGACTGACATTACTCCAATTATCTAACTCAAGACCTACATTAGTCATAGCATTAGAACTGTCATTACTCCAATTATCTAACTCAAGACCTACGTTAGTCATAGCATTAGGACTGTCATTACTCCAATTATCTAACTCAAGACTTATGGTAGTCATAGCATTAGGACTGTCATTACTCCAATTATCTAACTCAAGACCTACGGTAGTCATAGCATTAGGACTGTCATTACTCCAATTATCTAATGATGTTGGATGATAAATAAAATCTCACCCTCATGTCTTTCGATATCGAATATATCAACACTCGTTGATAAAAGTGGAAAAAATCCTCAGCAAATCCTTGTGTTGATATATTTGATATCAAAAGACACTTGGGTGAGATTCTCTATATAACAATGTCATTCAAACAATAGGAATTACACAATGGGCATCCGGTCAGTTATCACTGCTGGGATCAAGAGTCCTACCCACTCATGTCAAGCTTGTTGACACCTTCTCCACATACCAATCACTGAATGGTGTTGGTTCAATTATTTTATTGCCTTTGAAGTTCCTTAATGCCATTCAACAGAGTCAACATATAAACTGTGTGGTTTTTTTAGGAAAACACTGTTTATTGTAATAAATGTTATATTTGGGATAACACTTTCTTAGTAAAGTACAGATTCTCGTCCGGGATTCGAACCCACACTGCCAGAGTGAGGCACCTAATCGCCAGCACACAAAGTCAGTGATATAACCCACTCAGCCACTGAGGTTTCCACAAAAATGAAAGTCCGACAACTGGTAGTCTAAATCACGTACTTTGGGTACCCCACTGACAAGTGTAAATTGACACGGCTCCCATGGCCGAAAGTTATAGCCAAATTTGTACCCAAAACAACAGTTATTGTATTGTTTTGATAATGTAATAGAAAAGTGATAGTAAAGTAACTTCAGGATACTAAAATCAGGGTTAGAACTTAATACCTCCAATACCGGTACTAGCCCGCCAGCGTGGGGCTAAACAACTTTCCCCATTGTTTTAACATTACAACAGCATCATATCTTTACCAAGGCAAGTAAAGCTTTTGGGTTTAGTTTTAACCCTGTAAATTTAATTTACATTTTAGAAACTGATGCAAAACATTTTGGGTAAAAAATCACAGACAGGTTTGAGGATAAAATCAAAAGAAATTTGGGGTACAAAATAACCACATCCATTAATAAGTGACAGAAAGGCTATTTTTTGGATTTACTAATTGGTTTACAGTTTCTGCTGGCATCTACAATAAAAAACAGTTCGAAATTTATTTCTAGATACCCCCTTCTACAACACGTTTACCATGTTTACTGGGGTAGACAGTACTGGCACTGGTCATATCCAAATAGTAGTATTTAACTAGATAAAATAACCAGATTGTGGTAAAAATCTCTCTAATGTTTCACCAGGCCTAGTCTGGGAGAGTTTATCCCTGTGTCTACTACCATCGATGGAGTAGCATTGTTTACTAAGGTAGCAGCAGCAGTTGCTACACATGCAGAACCTCAGAACAAAGTGTAATCGGTTTCATTGAGTAATAAAGTGTCCAATACCAACAAGTTATATGTCTGCATTGAAACTGTATTTCATTAGCCTGCCGAACAGGGGTGAGAAAAGTGACAATAATATTTTTTTGTCTTTTGAAAGTACACATCAGACATGTTTCATATAGTGTGCACACATAGATACTGGAGTTCGTACCTACAGTTGAGTTTGTACCGACAGAACATCTACCGCAATATTTGAATGGTGAATCATTGTAAGAAGAGAAATACCAGAGAGCATGCAACTGGATGATGCATGTTTCTGCTTGAAGGCGTCAGTATTTTTTTCATGTTTACTGGCTCGTGTTCTTGTTCAAAAGTACAAAATAAAAGAATTCTCTTTCAAAACCTCTAAGGAAACGAAGGTAGTATGTGAGTAATACTTACAAATCCTGTCGGTCACCATGAGGCCATAAGAAACCAAACATTGAGCATTGTAATCCATCTGACAGATATGCAGCCATTAATTTTGGCCGGAAGCTGTCAGCGCCGCAAGGGAGGTAAGTCAAGAAAGCGTACGTAAAATACAGCGACGGAACGTCACCATTCTGTTAAATATTGTGCAGTGTTGTGAAAATACATTATCCTTGGGAACTCGACATGGGCAAAGTTGGGGAGGGGGAAGGGCACATGAAGGCACATCGTAATAAAAAGGGAAAAAATTCAACATGATCATGATGTCTGATCGGAACATCTTTACAGTCATGTTGATCTAAGAGTTTCAACCCTTTTATAAACCATTGCAATACATCAAGGATGAACATATATCATTCGTCTAATGTACTACAACTTGCTGAAAACCGTGTCAAATATTACAACAAACACAGTGTACTCAAATTATGACATATTTACTATCAAACTACAATCCATACATATTTTCATTGACAGCTGAGTTTCAAATATGTAGCATCTTTTGCAGATGTTAAAATGCGTAAGAACACCAATAGAGAACACTTCACAACACACTGAGAAGATAAGCACAGAGGAAATCCCGTTCAATCCGTCCCAGTCACTGTAATGTTTGTAAGTCTCTCAGACAATGTCGTCAGTGAGGCCAGTGTTCGCATTACATTCTGGAATGTCTTGCCATGAGGCTCACAGAAAACATTTTCTCTCGCGTCATCTAGAAGGGTTTGTCAAGCAAAATGCCATTATTCAACTCGATTTATCTCCTTTTCATCTGACGCAACCGTGCGCTCATGCTCCTCGTGACGGGGGTGCGGGGAGTCGACTCCGCGAACAAAGACCTTGATGATTTATTTCGTGAATATCGCCGGTACCTCTTCCTCCACAGCTTGTATACAGCACTTAGGAGGATGCAAGATGCTAATGATGTCCACAAAGCTGGTTTCAAGGCGGCGAACTTGGAGATGCTATAACTGACAGTGGTGCGAATGATGCACGGTAGAGATGCATAGAGGGGGTTCCACATGTAGAAGATGAGGATAATTGGCGATGTAAGGTACACGAGGACGCTCAGGACATCCCTTAGGAACACTCGACTTAGAATCCTGTAAATATTGGAACTCTTCAACAGCCATTCCATGACAAGAATGCACAAGGATGACATTAAACAGACAAGTGCACTCTTTACCTCCAAATGAGAAGCAAGGATCTCCTTTTGGAAATATCCCACAACAAACGACCACAGGAGGAAAGTCTCTGCGCTCAGCAACGACGAAATACGTCCCACGGATGTTGCAATGACTCTGAAAGGCGCCATTAAGAACTTTGCACCGAAGTGCGAGTACATAACGAGTGTTGGATTCATTGCAAAGACCACCTTTTCACGGCTATCTAAAAAACGGTCCTTTGAACGTTGATATGACGCATGACGTCACAGATAGCGTGATGTCAGAATTTCTCTATCACGTGACGTCATTGTTTTCAGCATGACGTCATAAGTCATTGTTCTAATAATTCGATTACATTGAAAGAATGGATATGACGTGCACTATCGCATTATGATAGTGCACGTCGTATCCATTCTTTCAATGTAATCGAATTATTTCGTAAAGATTAACGTGATCTCAAAGATGAAACGAAACACTCTCTTAGTAACAGTTTAATGGGGCCAGCCTAGCTCCAGGCCAGCGGTATATGGTCTCTGGTTGTTTTGTTTGTTTGTTGTTTAACGCCGCACTCAGCAATATTCCAGCTATATGACGGCGGTCCGTAAATAATCGAGTCTGGACCAGACAATCTAGTGATTGACATCATGAGCATCGATGCGATGGGATCGATGACATACATCAACCAAGTCAGCGAACCTGACCACCCAATCCCGCCAGTCGCCTTTTACGACAAGCATAGTCGCCTTTTAGAGCAAGCATGGGTTGCTGAGGACCTATTCTACCCGAAACGTCAGGTCTCTGGTTGTAATGAAACATATGCACTATTACCCAATTCACAGTTGTTTTAGTTGTTTTATTGATTTATTTATTTTTTTAAATTTAGACATGACTCAATACAAATAATAGATCAATATAAACCAAAAACTAACAAGGGCGCCAGTGAACAAAATTGTTTTGCCTCAAATACAAACATAACGTCTCATCCAACTTTACCATTATATACGTGTTGGTATATGGTCTGAAACGTCTTAAACAAGTGTTTTTCTCCCTTAAATCGCCTTAACGCGGAAACAAAAGTGTAGCGAATTCACAAAACACTACTGTATTTCAGTGAAGAACCGGCTTATTTGCGTTAATAAGGGTTTTTTTAGATATCAGGGGCACAGTCGCGCAGTCAGCGGATGCGTAAAGGGGGATAACTCGTGTTGTGGCGGAATATACATTGAGTCACTTTCACATGATGCCGACATGGCGTTTCTAAGAAGGTGAAGCGACTCGACAGGTCGCACGAGGACTGAGATGTGTCGGCTTTAAATTACTTCCTGATTGTAATTATATATCGCGGCTTTGATGATAGGCTGATCATATAAACAAAAGGTAAGCATATACCATGCATGAGAATAGTAGAGATGTTGGAGCGAGCCCATAGAGAGCCGTGTTTACACATGCAAGGCGTGCGACAACTTGCCCGGCACAGCGGCGCTCGCCAGACTAACCTGGCTTGCCCCAAATATTGCTGTTTCATAAGGCTAGTTCAAGCTGATAGTTAATTGCAGTTGACATTATAACGAGAGAAGTCTAGCATGATATTTAGATAGCCGTTTGCTGTAGACCCGTACACACAAACAACATGGCGGATTGTTGGGCCTGTCTAATTCAGTCTTTAGCGATCGAGCGCTCGGGATAACAGGTGGTGAGGTGAAATGGGGTTTAACATGGCGTCCAAGATTATTGCACTTATATAGCGACGTGCATGTACGTGTGTGTGTGTTTGTGTGGCTGCTTGTACTAGTACTGATGTCGATTTATAGTGCAAGCTCACTGAGATACCATGCCGCAGTTCAACATGAATACCCCACTCAGACACAGTATACTGACTCCGAGCCGCCCAGTCCTTGTTTTGGCCCCTAATGCCGAGCGCCAGACAGGGTAACAACAAGTACCATCTTTTAACCTCTTTTGGTATGACGCGGCCGGGGAACCCCGGACCTTCCGGTCTCCGGGCGGACGCTCTACCACTAGACTACGGAGGCGGTCCCTCGGAATAACACTTACCGTTTTATTCGCAATATAATTGCAGACATTATCAATCTAAAAATAAGTTTGTTTATGATAAATATAACATATTGTAGTTAATATATTATTAACCATTTGGGTTGCAGAGCGAATATCTGGTGGATAGAGCGTCTGTCCCTTTAAGGCCAGTACGATCTCCTGGCCGCGTCACACTAAAACACGTTCAGGGTGGTACTTGTTGTTACCTTGCCTGATGTTCGGCATAAAGGGATAAAACATGGAGTGGTCGGTTTGGTCTCATGTTAAAACTGCGATATGGTATATCTCAGTGTGCTATCGCTGTAAAACTGGCATACGCCTGGACGAGTACAAGCAGTCACACACATATGCGCGTGCAAACATGTCGCTATATAAGTGCAATAATCTTGAACGGGATGTTAAACCACATTTCGACTCACCTCAAGCATGAATCGAACTAGTTGTAGTCATCTTTAAAAAATAAGACAATTTTAGTGATAATGTTAATATGATGTACCAACAGCCATACACGTTTGAGGCACTTGTCAAATGTCCTTTCTTGGTTGAATGAGACAAAACTGTGTCCTGTCTGCTCCAGACCATTTCTCCAAGGGTTCTTCAACCTTCGTCACTTCAAGGCTTCCTCCAACACTCAATGGACACCGAAACACCGTCCACTGTGGCGTTAAACCCCCAAATCACTGTTGCGTTAACCCCATAATCACTGTTGCGTTAAACCCCCAAATCACTGTGGCGTTAAACCCCTAATCACTAACCCACTTTAGGAAACGGGTGGCCCAATCGCTTAAGGCGCCGCAATTCGCTGTGCAGAGTTGCGTCCCTTCGGCACGTCAGAAACCTATCATTGGTTCGAATCCTGGTTTGCCTGAGTACGTTTTTAGGTTTGTCAGCACCATAATCGTGCTCGTGGGTTTCACCAAAATGGTAAACGTCTGAGACCTGCATCACTTAGGGCTTTCCTCCAACGCCATGAGATATACTGGAAAACTGTTCAAAGCAGCGTTAAACCCAACTCACTCACTAATTAACTCAGGCTCTTTCTGTAACCTGATCAATGTTTCAGGTGTTCATACTGTCCCGAATCTTTCGTCCTTTTAAAAGCTACAAATGTTTCTTATTGTGATCTACATTGATATATTCGTTCTATCTGTTTCAGGCAAACAAGCCTCCAAAGTTCCTTGAAGTGTTAGTTACTATTGCGCTGTACTGCATAACATCAGAAAAACAGAAATAAAGGACATGCGAATCTTTGCCTGGCTAACTCAGTTGAGAAGAATCTCTAGGAGCTATATTGGGCGATACGTATAAAGAATAACTCCCGCTGACTTATCTAAGGATAAACGTAGAGCTATGGAGACGGACACGGAGCAGAGATGTCCAGGTGTTTCGCAACCAGTGTCATGTTCTAGTTCCCCCTGGGCAGTCGTACTGAACCAAGACCAGTCTACTTCCGACTCCAGTGATGACGGGGACTCTGCTACCCAGGCCGCCCAAATATCCACGGCTGATGAGCACCAACAAGATGACTGCAGCAGAATAAAACCAGAACATGTTGAAAAATCGAACACCTCGAAAAGAAGGCCAATTGGTCTCCCTGAAGAACATGCTCCCAGAAGAGCTGGGGACCTTGAAGGCGCAGGTAGGTCTGACGATGAAGACTTCATGATTGACACTTTCGATGATGTGGTGGAGAAACCTGATGACCCTGATGATAAACCTCCAGAGGACAGGCTTGTATCAGACCGAGTCCTGAGGCACCGCAGATGTCATAGGCTGCAGTGCAATCAGTGTGGTATGTATATCGAGGAGAAGTGCTTCAAGCACCATGTGACTACAGCCCACCTGAGACAGAAGACTAACTTTCTGTGTAAAGACTGTGGAAAAGGGTTCAACTTTAAAAGCGGTTTAATTCTTCATAGGGCTAAACATCACGGTGGGAAACTGCTTAAGAGGACAATGATATCAGCATCACCACGTTCTGAGTCAAAGAAGATTAAAAAATCAGACAAAAATGTGAAATTATTCTGTGACGTTTGTGGAAAGACTTTTAAGCATATCACGTCCCTTTCTATCCACTTGGAGAAACATGCTCTGCCAGAAATATTTGAATGTGGAATTTGTAATAAACCATTCGTTACCAAGGTAACGTATGAAGAGCATAGGGAATTCCATGAGGGTCTTCAGGTGAACCAGTGTTATATATGTGGGAAACTATGTGGCCGAAAGAAGCACTCACATGAAGCTCAATATGAATGTGATAAATGCTCAAAGATGTTCTTTGAGGCGACGCATCTCGCCATCCACATGGTGACTCACGCCCAACATGGTGGCATCCAGTGCAGCGTCTGCAAGCTTAAGTTCCCGTGTAAAACTGACTATGATCAGCATGTGAAGCAGCACACGGAAGGAGATGAACCCAAGAGATGTGAAATCTGTGGTAAGAGCTTTCCAACGAAGAGCCTTCTGAAGGGCCATGTCAGCATGGTTCACCTAGGGAAGAAGGGTCATCCGTGTAACATCTGCGGTGAGGAGTTCTTCAAACTGAAGCACCTTCAGGCTCACCATCGGGATCACGCCGTCAAGAAGGTCATCGCGTGTAACATTTGTGGAGAGTCTTTTGCCTTGAGGTCGAGTTTGAGGACACATATGCGAGTTCACCAGAATGATGTCATCTATAAATGTGTCGTGTGTCCAAAACAGGTTACAGATATGGATGCTCTGAAGGTTCATGTTGACGGTCATGGAGACGAGGACAGTCTGGACTGCTGTGTGTGTGGGATGCAGCTGGCAGACTGTGACGAGGTGATGGCGCACATCCGGAAACACAGGGGTGGTCAGCTGACGATGACAGAGGAAGAGTACAAATCCAAGAAGAGGCATGGATGCTCTGGAGAATCAGAGACCGGGGAACAGAAGGAGAGAGTGTCGGTGAAATGTACCGTCTGTCACAAGACCTTCCACTTTGTGTCCAGCCTCCAGTCACACATGCGCATTCACCAGACAGATCAGCTACTGAACTGCCACATCTGTCGTGAAGCGTGGCCTGGAGTCAAGGTGCTGAGAGAACACATCAAGGCCCACAGAAAGGACCTGAAGAACAACCCTGAAGATCCTCCTGACATAGCTGACCCTTCCACAGATGCTGGTCCCCCTAAGTCCTCCGAGGTCGGGAAGAAGAAGAGGCATCGCTGTGACATCTGCCTTCAGAAGTTTGTGAGCTATTATGGTTGTAAGACACACAGGCTTCTCCACACAGGCGAGAAGCCTTTCCGCTGTGATGTATGTGGTCAGAGCTATGTCCTCGCGGGGTCACTGAAGGTGCACATGCTGTCTCATACTAACGAGAGGCCACATGTCTGTGAGATCTGCGGAAAGAGCTTCAAGCAGCCGTATATCCTCCGCGAGCACCAGATGTCCCACACGGGCAAGAAGCCGTTTCTGTGTGATCTCTGTGGCAAAAGTTTCGTGAACAAAAAGAAACTTAAGCTGCATACTTTTGTTCATACCCGTGAGACCCCCTTCAACTGTAAAGTTTGTGGGAGAGGCTTCAGGGCCTTTGTGACGAGACAGAAGCACAAGTGTGAAGGCCGCCCAACACCACAAGACCCTTCAGCAGATGCTTCAGAAGTCAGATCCAGGGATGTGGGACTTGTGGCTGTTGCAAGACCCCACACACAGCAGGTACAGCTGCCACACGAATATCCGGCCTCGATGCCTAGCTATGGGGATTACGCGTACACTTCAGTTCCAGGACCGGAATACAACGTCAGTAACCTTGGTTACAAACACCAAACAGGGCAGCATCTTTATGGACAGGATCCCTACCAACCAACTCATAGATCAATGGCTGGGCAGATGTTGCCCGTCTTGACCCGGGACTACATGCCGCCAGCGTCTCGGTACATCGATCCGAGGAACCCCCCTCCCCCGGTGCCCACCCCAGTTCCTCAACAACCACAGCCATCACTGAACTGGCAGGGATCTCCCCCCGGTGCGTCATGCACAGAAGGACTTCCGGGGGAGAGGGGGCATAGTCATGACAACCAGCAGTATCCGGTTGGAGCGACCAGGATCGACTTAGGATGGAAAGTGTCTGACAGAGATGGGTGAAACATGCCGGTCTCGTGAATTGAAACACTTGCTGAAGGTGATATCCTATTGCAGGTGCTGCATGTCCCAACCGTCGACGAGCCTTTAACCAATCTAGGTCTCGACGATGATTTCATTTAATCTGGGAAGGGCTGCCAATTGGTCCCGGTCTAGTCAAAACTGAATGCATATTTTTCAGTGGATAAATATATTCGTCGTTGCCTAGGACACTAATATTTCAACTCAGACTCTCCGCTGATAATAAATAAGAAGTGAGATTGTTGACTTTTTGTTTGCAAAATCTTTCACAATTTAGTTGCACAAGAAGAAGGGTGCAGTTGGCGAGTTGCGTCCCTTGACTTCGAGGAACAGGCTGCTTAATAGTCATATGATACTTGGATTCAATGATTGACGGGCCTCGTCTGTTCTTGATAATTAATGAATGATTTTTTCTAAAAAGTTTTCGGGATATGTTATTTCAAAGAGTTTGTAAGCAGATGTCGTTCCGACATTACACACTTCTTTGGTTGAAAGCGAACTGCATGCAGATGGCTAAAACAATCATGTCCAAACAGTGAGTGAGTTGGGTTTAACGCCGCTTTTAACAGTATTCCAGTTATATCACAGCGTGTCAGCTTAATGTGGGAGGAAAGCCCGAAGTGATGCAGGTCTCAGACGTTTACCACTTCGGTGAAACCCACGAGCACGGGTATGGTGCTGACAAACCTAGAAACATAATCGCGGCGAACCGGGATTCGAACCCACAATCATAGGTTTCTGGCGTGCCCAAGGGACGCAACTCTACACAGCGAATCGCGGCGCCTTAGACGACTGGCTACACGTGCCCCCTGTCCAAACAGGTCAGCATGTTTGATTGTTGATTGTTTGTTGTATAACTCCTCACTCAGCAATATTCCAGCTATATGTAGGCGGCCTGTAAGTTATCGAATCTGGACAAGACATTCCAGTGATTGACATCATGAATATCGATCTACGCAATTTGGTACGATGACATGCATCGACCAAGTCAGCGAGCCTGACCACCCGATCCCGTTTGTCGACCAGCTTAGGTTGCTAGGGGCCTATATTCTCCCCCTGATGCCTCATGGGTAATTGGCCAGGGATTATACAGAAGGTACTTTACTTATACATTATAGTCATGTAATGCAAGGAAACAGTTTACATGTAAATTCAGATTTCGATAACAGGAGGGGCGGTCGGGTAGCCCAGTAATTAAAGCGTTCTCTCGTCACGCCGAAGACCCGGGTTCGATTCCCCCCATGGGTACAATGTGTGAAGCCCATTTCTGGTGTCTCCCGCCGTGATATTGCTGGAATATTGCTAAAAGCGGTGTAAAACCAACTCGCTCAGAACAAATCGCATGTGATCTGAGGCGAGTTCAAGTCTAGATTGTCTCAACTCGGGGCTTTATTTATGTTGTAGATATATATGTTTCGGTAAAATTACTTTATTCCTGCGGCTACATGTTAGTCTACCCTCGCCCGCAACAAATGATTCCTGAAAAGTCACTTTTCTCGCAGAGCTTGGATACAGTAGACCTCAGAGTGTGTTTTCCTACAGCAGTATCAGCACGCTAAACATTGTGTCTCATGTAGTGGAGGGGTGCAGTTAGAGGGTGTTGTATTTACCTTTCCTGAGCCTAAAGAATTTTTAAAAAGTTATAAATATTCAGAAGCAGTATTTTGCAAGAAATATGGGAATTTTTAGAAATGTAACTATGTGAATGATAACTCAGTATCGCGTATACAAGTTATTCCATAATTCCATACTATTGCCTGTAATTATTCAATGTTACGAAGTGATATATTCATTTCAATATATGTCAATATTAAGACAGATATACGGATGACATAGGCATATCGATAGAAACATTCGTTAGTGAGTTGGGTTTAACACCACTTAGATGAAACCCACGAGTACTTGTATGGTGCTGACAAACCTAGAAAACACAATCATGACTAACCGGGATTCGAACCCAGGGTCATAGGTTTATTGCGTGCCCAAGGGACAGACAGACAAAACCCCGCACAGAGAATTGCGGCGCCTAAGACGACTGGGCCACCTGTGCCTCGATAGCGACATAGACAGACAACTCTTTGTGATGCCTCAAGACATTCTGAATCACTTCCAGAGAAATCAACGTTCAACAGATCACTATTACATACAATGCAGGGTTAGAAACTGACAGTTTTTGTCCACTAGTCCTTATAATGATAACATATAACAAAAAAACTTAAATTTGGCCAATTTCTACTGGTCCTTAGGATACCTTTACTATTAGGCAGTTTGGTAAGGACTACGGGATTAGCGCCAATTTCTAACGCTGCAATGGTTTCGAGCCCTGCTTAGTAACTGTGATGTATTGATAGTTTCTATCAATTTGTTGTCTTCCAGTCATTTCCAAATTATATCTCTTGTATTGTGAAAGAAAATATAACGGCATTTTGACGATCTCAAGCAAAGACATAATTATAAAATATTTAAATTATGGGGGCCAAACTGTAGTATTAGACAGGTTTACAAGCGGTTACCTGGTGAAAATCTGTATAATATGTATAGCTTGTTAGATTGTCCAAGAACCTTTTTACATTCTAACACAATAGTGTTTTGTGCAGTGCATTGAAAGGGCTAAGATGGTTCTGGGGTGTCTCTGCGCGACGTCTCATTGATATGAAGAGACGGAGCCCAGCTCGCAGGCAGGGGAATCACATTTTCGCAAAGACGTGTCATGACTATTTGATAGTGATTCAAAACATGATCATGATATAGTCGAAATCGTACAATCGACTGCTTTGAGCTGATATTTCTTATGAAAAAGGAAAGTGTTCTGTCGCTTTTATTCACACTCCGTCGCAGTGGTGACTCAGCATAACACCACTGCCACAGGCTAATTTGCATATCACGTGACCGGACTTTTCTCTTGTTTGTAAACAAACGCGCTTTTTCAGAAATCAGTATAGAACAGACTAATGCAAGTATTTGGGGGCGCTTCACATATTGTTTTGCATAACTATATAGATATGCTACTACAACTGCGACAGTGAGTTGCATGACAATATATATTTATGCATCAAAGTGACCGTGTCGCTAGCTCTCCGTTGGGCTTCGATGACAGCACGTGGAGCCGTACAACCAATGTAAACATAGGATAACTACGCAAAAACAAGTAGATTTTTACGTATTTGCATACTTTCTCAATGAAAGTTAACCATTCTTTGACATTTGTTTATGAAAATGTGTAGACTTGTCAAACATGAAACGGATGAAAAGCATATGCAATATCTTGAATGGACTGTGAAAGATGTGACGAATCGTCACATGGCGCTGGCCTGTGGCAGAGGTACTATGCTAGCTGGCTGCCGGCCGCATGGAACTCTGGGTAGGAGAGTGATTGAAAGCTAAACTATGACGTCACATGAGAACGTCATCCCATTGTTTTCGTTTGGCTGTTTATGACGTCATGATGAGTATCATTCATTTATACTGAGCGGCAACGTCGTTGGAGCAGGCTGTTCATGCGAAACATCACAAGGCATTAAGATGAAAGAAACGCGCGTCGGTGAGTATATATTTAATCCGTATTAGATACAATGGTATGCCGTTGCTCGAAGTTTATGCCTGAAGTATATATATCGATATCATTGTTGCGTAATGCCGAACAGTGTGTTCATGTTTGTCAACCAGCCTAAATGCCCACAGCTTTCTGTATTATTTCAGCGTATCATAAAAAGTCATGCTTTATTTTCTGTGCCAAAATTGATGAGGGTTTGTTTGGAAAAACGAATAATTCAATGTTATTTAGATTGTATGGAAATATGGAAAGAATTAGTAGGAGATAAACTGTTTTCCAATTAGGGAACATAGATGCGAAACGGAACGCCCCAGGTCGCCGTTTTTCAAGTAAAGCAAGTTTATCATATAATGGGTAGGTTTCTCGGCAGGATAAAGCCAACGGAAAAAAACGATATCCGTTGGGGTCATATGCGGATAGAGATGCAAACATCAAAGGTCAAGAAGGGACTTCTTTCACTGTTTATAAACAAACATGGCGTCGGCCTCGTCATTCGGCGATCGAGTCAGAATTAACCATCGGAATCTGGATAAACTACAGGGATAATTGCTATCATTATCAAAAGAACAGTCTAATATACTGAAAATCAGTGTCTAACTGTGACGAAGCTAAGGCATTTTAAAAGTTTTGGCAACTTTGGAGATATAAATTTCGAAACAATCTTGCGAGGGCACGAGGCCTAGCCAAGCGGGATCAGTAGCTATATCCGTGCTTGTAGACCTCTGCGGCTTGAAACCTTCTCCACAAATTAAAATAGTTGGATTTGGCCGAAATATGTTTGAATTGTTACCTTGTTTCGTTTTGTCGATGTGTGTACATCTGACTACACTTCTTAACGTTATGACAGGACAGACCGACTGTCAACAACGTCTAACCGTGGCCGTGACGTCTCATAGACTAGAGTTAGAGTAGCTTCCCTTTGACAAAGGGCAGTAACTCTAGCGGACAGACCGATGGATTGCCGCGAAACAACTGTTGTTTTGCGTATATGTTGCTTCGCCACTGTATAAGAAACAGATTTCAATTTGAACTATATTGGCTACTGTCACTTTCCGACTGACACATCACTTACCCTGTGACGTAATAATATTAATGCGCGCATTCCAGGAAAACTCGCAATGTTTCGGTAAAGTTTGTAAGAGAGGGAAAGCGATTTTGAAGCACAGAATTTAAGAATGACATTATATGATAAAGAGGTTATCACGCTTGTGTGTTTGGGGATGGTAAATATCCTGTATTAGGAATAAACACTATGTATTTAGCTCGCCAAGGCTCGCTAAATACAATGTTTGTTTATTCCTAATGCAGGATATTTACCATCCCCAAACACACTCGCGTGATAACCTCTATGTAGCTAATTTTAAGCTTTATCGCCCTATGTTTCAAATAGTGACGCTGTCGCGTGTGCTATCTGCTCATGTATATCTTAGCAATACTAGTAGACACGGGCCTGTAAATACTGCATCACATAACTTTAAATAACTTTAAAAAGATGCTACGCATGAAGATCAGGGTTCAAATTGATCTCCAGCATCCCATGCTTGTAAGAGGCGACGGCTAAAATACAGAATACCGAATGTCTAGTTAAGTAAAGATCTCTTTTAAAACTCTCATAATATACAGGGGTGGTGGGGTAGCGAAGTGGTTAATTTCTAGTGTCTCCGCCGTGGTATAGTTTGAATATTGCTAAAAAAAAAGGCGTAAAATCCAACTCACTCACTATCACTCAGAATATATAAATGTATGTTGTTTGAGGAATGACGTCAACTGTTGTGTTTGTGTTGTACAGCGTGGAAGGACATGTGGCAGTACTGGCCGCTGCCGGCAGATTCAGACGACGAGCTCAAACCTCCAAATCTGGTCAGTAGTTGATCAGCTGGTAGCACGTGCGTCCTTAGTGGTACAATGACGTCTCATTTCACAGGACATGGTAGAATGTTGTTTAGAGCTACATACATAAATATTCCAGCCACATGGCGGCCTGGATATAGATTATCGAGTCTGGACCAGACGAACCAGTGACTGAACACATGAGCACCCAACTCCGCCGCCGGGCTACGATGACATGCAGTCACGCGATTATATCAGATCCGGAACCCCCTGGGACACCAGTACACAAAGCAGTAAACTGTCTACAAACTGCCATCTTCCCGCGGCAAGGGAGTTAACTCACTGTAAAATTCCAGGTTGATGATTGATGATCATTAAAAGGTTTTATTGGTGTTCGGGCATTTACACCTTGCCTATAATTAGGTTTTCTAAGTACCTAGATATTTTATAAAGTATCAAAACTGCCACATGCTTTAATATACGCGAGAATGACATTCTGAACATCATGGCGAACAATATTCCTAGAACATAAAATGCCAGACAATGAGAAGTCAATTTTGAGAACTTTTAGAGACTCCACCATTGCCTTACGCTGATTAACATACTTTTGGCAATGCAATAGAAAATGAGCTACATTACCAAGCTGATTACACACTGTACAATGTGCAGAAATGTCTCTATTTATAACATTAAGATAAGCACCAAGACCACAATGCCCAAGACGAAGTCGAGAGAACCTCCCCTCTCCGATTATTTCTAGATATGTGTAATTTAGTGATAAAAGAATCGATGCCATAAAGATGACGTCCTTTTAAGGATGATGCCCATCTCTGCTGCCCTTTTGTTTTAGCATGGGTCATACTGACGGTGCCTAAATTAAATAAAATTATTTCAACCTGTTTTGAGTCATCAAATTCTAGTGCAGCTTTTGCCAATTTATCAGCTTTCTCATTTCCAAGTAATCCAACATGAGCAGGGATCCATGAAAATTCAACTTTACTTAAGCCATTATAAAGGACGAGAATAACCAAAGTCCAGGACTTTTCCAGTCAGTTAACTCCCTTGCCTCGGGAAGATGATATGCTGCACGTAGCAGTATTCTCGTGGTTCACAGTACTAAACAAACATTGGGATTTTAATACGTGTATTTGTACAAATATCCACCGAGAAAGGGGACCCGTGAAGATCCGATTAAAATAGGGCTTCAGCAACCCATGCTTGTCGTAAGAGGCGTAAGAGGATCGGGTAGTCAGGCTCGCTGACTTTGTTGATGCATGTCCTCGTATCACAAACGCTTAGGATCGATGCTCATGATATCAATCACTGGATCGTCTGGTCCAGACAAGATGTTTTACAGACCGCGTCAAATAGCTGGAATATTGCTGAGTGCGGTGTAAAACAACAAACAAACAAGAAATGGTCATGTATCACTTGTTCATATAAGGCGACTATGCTTGTCGTAAAAGGCGACTTACGGGATCGGGTGGTCAGGCTCGCTGACTTGGTTGATGCATGTCATCGATCCCAAATGCGTGGATTGATGTTCATGATATCAATCACTGGATTGTCTGGTCCAGACTCGATTATTTACAGACCGCCGTCATATAGCTGGAATATTGCTGAGTGCGGTGTTCAACAACAAACCAACCAACAAACCAACCAACCAACCAACCAACTTGTTCATATAAGACACTAGACAACACATACTGGCGACTGTCTTGGCACCAAGATTGGTTTGTTAGTTATTTGAGGACGCTATGGTTAACAAGAATGGTATTGAAGGCCCCATTATTCTTCTATTGTTGAGAAATGGCGATTTGTAAGCATTCGGTGATCTGTTTACAAACTCTCTAAAGACATTTCTGTTGATTCCGTGCACGGGGTTCCTGGAATATTGCAGACGTGGCGTTAAACAACAAAACAAACAAACCCTTCCGCGTTCATTATTTTAGGCAGTTGAAGTGGATACAGTTGAAGTTCGAATTTGTACACTGGTGTATAGTGTAGATATTTTTTTCTCTTCTTCTGAGCATACAAATATCAAGCCCCCTTTCTGTTCATCGTATTGTTTTGTAAATCGTGACATGAAAACGCGTTGAGTAATGCAAACCATGCATCTATTTATTATTTTTCTGTGTTTGATTCAAGCCACGCCCCTCCCGTCCGGTCGTGCAGATGAACCGACCCTCACCTGCAGTGAGAGCCAAGCTCCGCCCTTACGCTCCCTGTAGCGAGTCAGCATTTATTTCCCCTTGGGTGTCGGACGACCGGCGCGCCGTCACGTACATGCTGTATGCGTCCCTGGAAGAAACTCGTCTGCTCAGCACTCTGTTCCGCAGAAAGGCCACAAATGCCACTATTAAGAAAGCCCTGGGTGACCTGAGAAGACTGAAAGATCAGTTACACACTGACGCCATGTGCGGCATCGCATCAGCGGTCGAAAACCAGCCTCTGCTCAGATCAGACAGAGAGACGTCCCCCAGTTCGTCGAGATCCGATTCCTCGTTCTCTGACACGCCTCTCCATCGCTGCCTGGCCAAGACAAGTGTCAGGGTAGGGTACGGGTACGCCACGCCCCCTTGCGCCAGGGACGACGGGGCGACCGGGGACGCTGATTTCAGATACAGGTACGACATGGACGACGACAGTGGCTTGGACACAAGCAGCAGCAGCAGCAGCAGCAGCAGCAGCCTTCAGATCAGAACATCGCCTACCGCAGCGAATCCGTTCAGTCGCCTGTCTCCCCGCCGCCAGTCTAGCATCAGGAAGTTCATCGACAGGGTCAGCCGTTTTTTCCGCACACGACGTCATTCCGCCAGCCGTGTTGCTGACGTCATATGCTAGATGAACAACAACGTTGCCTCCGTAACATCATTGGCATAAAAATGACTTTTTTTAAATGGATCACAATAAAGATTCAGATATTTTTTTAGGTTGCTTGTTTAACATGGTGTCTGGCTTACATTTATGTTGACACACATTTCTATTTACAGTACACCAAACGTGTATTTATACAGATTTATAAAGGAAACGCATTTGAGATATATTTTTGCTATCAGAGATTATATATGCAATTTAGATCATTATTATGTTATATTTATTATAATAATATTATATAGCTCATAAAGGTTGTACATAATACAACCGTCAGTTCTATAATAATTATGATCTCGTGTTACATACACGTTGTTTTCACATATACATTCATTGTGTTCTCAAATAAACTGATATTGCAATGTAATGTTTTTGTCTTGCTTTTGATCAGTTAGAATAGGTCTTCAGCAACCCATGCTTGCCGTAAAAGGCGACTATGCTTGTCGTAAGAGACGACCAACGGGATCAGGCAGTCAGGCTCGCTGACTTGGTTGATGCATGTCATCGTATCCAATTGTGTAGATGATGCTCATATTAATCACTGGATTTTCTGGTCCAGACTCGATTATTTACAGACCGCCGTCATATAGCTGGAATATTGCTGAGTGCGGCGTTAAACAACAAACCAACCAACCAACAAACCATTGCGTAGATTGATGCTCATGATATCAATCACTGGATTGTCTGGTCCAGACTCGATTATTTACAGACCGACGTCACACAGCTGGAATATTGCGGAATACGGCGGTAAACAACAAACAGTACATGTGCTCGTGCTCACTTTGGGCTTTCCTGACAACTTGAGACGCTTTAACCCAGCTCACTCACTCACTCACTGACTATCACTGTGCTGGTGTGTGTTCCCTTGGCTGTGCCCCGACGTTGTGCCCCAGTGACCGAACCCGTACATCCATGGCCCACTGGGGCGGTCGGGTAGCCTAGTGGTTAAAGCGTTCGCTCGTCACGCCGAAGACCCGGGTTCGATTCCCGACATGGGTACAATGTGTGAAGCCCATTTGTGGTGTCCCCCGCCGTGATATTGCTGGAATATTGCTAAAAGCGGCGTAAAACCATACTCACTCACTCACTCACTCCATGGCCCACTGGCACAAAGGTATATATAGCAGCTCAGCTGTATCGTAAGGGAGTTACGATAAATGTTGCGCCACAACTGCTTTGTGCAAATGGGACCTGGCACTGATAGGACTAAACCTTAAGATGCTTCTGGGTGTCAACACTTGAAACTTTTCTGTAGACATTAATAATCGGTGAACGTTGGTCGTTCACGTGTCTTGAGGATACATGATGTTGTTGACGTCACCATACTCTGTACAGTATAGCATCAGCTAGGCATCCAGCAACACTACTTAGAGACCCTCAAACAAGGATGGCGGGGAAAGTGATGTATTCATAAATAATACAAGAGAACGAGTTTCGAGACATATCACTGGAATCCGTAGGGATTTCCTGTACGGGTCCATTATCTTTTAAAGAGGGGGGTAGTTGCCCAGTTCTGAATCGCAGTTTGCGGAGAGTGTTCCGTCAGTAACAGCACACCCAAAACCTATATTTGTCAACATTTATTGATGACCTTTACTTGGCATATAAGTTTAAAAAGGTTATGTTTTAAAATGAAGGTTTCAAACAATAAACAAACTGTTAATATAAATAAATGAATATAGTTAAGACTAACCCAAAAAAATATAGTTGAATAAATATGGATATATGTGTTGTCCCCCCAATTTATATATGTTTTTGTTTTAAAGGCCGATTATTTTACTTTTATGCAAAATAGATACCAACTATAGATACATAATGAATGCTTGTGATACCAGCTTTCATTTGATATCTAATATGATATGGTTTTTAAAAAATGAAACAAACATTTTCGGGCTTTTTCATATTGATTCATCCCCTAAAGATCTTTACCAAACTAAACAATTTTCCCCAACTTAGATTTTTACAATGTTGTAAGGGGATGCCTTCTGTACATGGAACAGGAGAAATAATTTCTGCAGCAACTTGTGCCGGGTTTGGTGGGATTTGACACTATAATTGACCGGACTACCAGTGTAGGTTGCCATTATAAACCTCCGGGGTCGCTATCCTATTGTTCTCCAGAGGGGTTAAAACTCACAAACAGTGATGTTATATAATATGTAATAATATCCCAGGGATTTTACATAATATCCCAAAGATTTATTTTACACCTCAGGTATTTTAATAATACAACTTCCGTTTATACTGAAACATATGAACGTTTCTCGGTAGAAATTTATTTTGCATTTGAACACAATGAATTGATATGTGAAATCAAATGACAAATGCTCTCTTTATATTCCCGCGGATCGAACATGCAACCTTCATATCTGTAGCCCAGTGAGTGAGTGAGTGAGTGAGTGTACCACGAGGCTACAGAGGCGCTGATAAATCACAATGCTTTGATGAATGTCTTCAAGTACCGAACGTCAGCAACAGATATTTTACGCCCGTTTCCTAAGGTTCATGGAAAGTATGTTTGAAACAAAAATGTTGATAAATGTTTTGTTTTTTAAGTTTCCCTTTTAAGTTTATAAGCGTGATAAAACATTTACGCCCTTCGGTTTTATCCCTTGGATTCTTGTTTTAAATCACCTAAAAACCCTCGGACGTGTTTTATCCCTTGGATTCTTGTTTTAAACCACCTAAAAACCCTCGGACGTGTTTTATCCTATACACAAACAAGCGCACCGCCCACTGCCCCGAGTCCCGAGTGTCATAACAAGCTAAGCTGGTTGAAAAATAAATTTAATGCCCCCCACTTTCGAGTTATCTGCCCTTGTGCACACGAACACGACAGGCTTGACCGGTGTCCTAGAATGCTGGCTGTACCTATATAACAGCGATTTGAGGGTTTTTTCGACCCAACGTTTTTCCATCTATTGGCAAAGTGCGATCTGGATACAATTTGGAAACACCCAGCTTCCAATATTTATGAGGTCACATGTGTTACTTGTTGTATTGCATGATTGCCGTAAAAGGCGAATATCCTTGTCGTAAGAGCCGACTAACGGGATTGGGTGATCAGACTCATCGACTTGGTTGACGCATGTCATCGTATCCCATTTGCGTGGATCGATGCTCATGTCAATCACTGGATTGTCTGGTCCAGACTCGATTATTTACAGACCACCGTCATATTGCTGAGTACAGCGTTAAACAACAAACAAAAACTTGTTGTATTGGCTGTACAACTGTAACCGTGTTCAAAAATAATATATTTTTTAGTAATTGATCCTGTGTTGGTCATTGACAGTTTGGTTATGGGTACACGTTTCTGAGCTAAGCTCTACGTTTCAGTTTAGAAACCGCCTTTTAACACTGTAACATGTATGGTGAACCAAGGACCACAATGGAGGTGAAGCTGGGATCCAAACCTCAAACCCAAAATAATTATTCTTGCTGGCCTCTGTGGCCCTTTTACCCGATGCTTGTTCCAAGATCAGAGGAACCAGAGTTAGGTCCCCTACACAGTACACACAACTGCTTCTCACAAGACGTCACTAATTTGGATCAAGTGGTAACATTCGGTTGTTTGCGTGTCATCACCACACAGGACATATCTCATAATTTTGTCCCATGCTTGCGGTAAAATGCGACCATGCTTGTCATAAGAGGCGACCAACAGGATCAGGTGGTCAGGCTCATCGACTTAGTTGATGAATGTCATTGTCATTGTCATTGTGTGGATCGATGCGCATGATGTCAATCACTGGATTGTCTGGACTCGATTATTTACAGACCGCTGTCACATAGCTGCAACATTGCAGAGTGTAGCGTTAAAAACAAAAAAAAATCATTTAGTCTACTTGTACCTGACCTGGACTCGATTTTTCTTCCAGGTCACTCTGATGTAGCTGCAATCATCCGACTTTTGTATAGAACAAACATATTCCTTAAAGATGTTATGTCTGACATCTCTTCCCTAGCCATCTTAATGAAATTGTAACAAGTGTCATCACTAGACAACATATTCCCTTGATCACGCGCAATTCGCAAATGGATTTAGACTACTTTGGGTTTATTGCCATAGGATACCTTAAGTTCAGTGAAGAAAAATATAATGCTGTTCAGTATTTTTCAATATCCCAAATCATCAAAAGGCACCAGTTCACCACTAGACTGATCTATAGCAAGTTTCATCCAGAAATATATTCCATGTTTTTTTACTTCTGCTCTGGAAACAAGCACGCAACTTGTCATGAAAACAAAAATAACAAGTGTATAGTTGACAAAGTCATCTATATCCCCCGCCCATTTTAACACGTTATGGTCCCAAACCAGGTAACTGACCCAACATTTCTCTTAGCCCATGTCAAAATAGCTGCAATGGAAATTCTAAAATAAACATTTCTAAAACTCCATAATATAAAATGGCACTAGTTCAGTATGCGCTTTATATATAGACATGCAATGTTTGGCAAGGAAATATTTAACAGTTTATTCGTTATACTCCATAAGTATGCACACGCACACACACGGAACCCATTTCTATATCCCCCGCCAACTTTGTTTGGGCGGGGGATAAATATAAGAAAACAAAAATTCTAAATCAACAAAGGTCAGCAGTTCACCACAAAAATGATTCAAAGCAAATTTCAACAAGAAATATTCAAGGTTCAGTAGTTTTGCTCCAGAAACTGAAAACAGATGGAAAACATACAGCCTGACAGACATGCTGATAGCGATATCCTCTGTTTTGAAAAAAGACTGACTAGAAACAATATTTTCACTTTTTTTTTTATTCCCCACCAAATAGACATTTAAGCTTTGACTGCATACTTTCGGGTAGGGTACAGGCGCTCTCTCTTCTGTTCCTTCTTTGTCTTGATAGAGCGTTCAAACTTGCTGAGGGCACGCCTCATGGCTCTTGTCTTCTTGGGGCGGAGATCCTTGGGCTTAAAGCGCTTTGTCTTGTAGAATTTCCTCAAGTTCTCCTTTTGTGTCTGATTGATGACTGTCAGGACTCTAGCGATAGATTTCCTCACTGAGCATCTGCAGCAAAAGAACAATAGCATCAGAAATCAATTCATGAATATACAACGTAATACTAAACTCAACTATATAATAAACACAATACGCTTAAAGATTTTGGGTGTTTAAGACCAAGATTATGATTTGATAATAAACAAATCATGATTGTGTCCAATAGAAACTAATTGTGAAAAACTGGGTGCCAAAGTAATGGTTGAAGGAATATAGTGATATCTGCCCAATCCTCATTTCAGGCTATGAGTAGTGTGGACCTACTCTTTTCCTTTTGGTAAAAAATATTTTGATCACAACCCAGCAGATTTACTTGGCACCTATTCTGTCTCAGCCAGTTTGCTTACATCTTAGCCAACTTTGAGGCAGCTCCTCCGGTAACCTTGGCAACACGAAGACCAGCAAGTTCCTGAAATTAGGAAAGTCATTGGTCAGATAATTCACTGGGCATCAGGTCTATTTGTTTCTTTGTTGTTTAACGCTGCACTCAGCAATATTCCAGCTACATGACGACGTTCTGTAAATAATCAAGTCTGGACCACGTAATTGGGATAAGATGACATGCATCAACCAAGTCAGCGAGCCTGACCTGTTAGTCGTCTCTTACTACAAGCAGTCACCTTTTACGGCAAGCATGGGTTGCTGAATGGGAATTTCCACATACATCTATAACTATTAAAGTTTGTGGCCTCTAATACTGCAGCTTATATCCAAGATGACTTCCGCATTAGTACTCAAGTACTCAGGCTTAACGCAAGTACAACAGAGGACACAAGTATACAATAGACTTGTAAAACAACTTATGAACCAATCAAATTACGGGTAGTCTCCTTGCCTTACATTACTTTGTTCAATGCCACACTCAACAATATTCCAGCTATATGCGTGAGTGAGTGAGCGAGTTGGGTTTAACACCACTTTTAACATTCCAGTTATATCACGGCATGTCAGCTTAATGTGGGAGGAAAGCCCGAAGTGATGCAGGTCTCAGACAGTTACCACTTCGGTGAAACCCACGAGCACGGGCATGGTGCTGACAAACCTAGAAACATAATCGGGGCGAACCGGGATTTGAACCCACAATCTTAGGTTTCTGGTGTGCCCAAGGGACGCAACTCTGCACAGCGAATTGCGACACCTTAGACTGCCACCTCCAGTTGTATGACAGAGGTCTGTAAATAATCAAATCTTTAACAGACAATCCAGCAATTGACATCAATCCATTGATCTACACAACAGGGGTACAATGACATGCATCAACCAATTCAGCAAGTCTTGACTACCCAGTCCCTTTAGTAGCTTCTTACAACAATCATGTGTTGCTTAAAACTAATTCTAACCCAGACCATCACGTTTTTCACATCAATGTCTTTACCGAGTCTGAACAAGGGAAAACTGAGCTCGGTTGAGAGCAGAGCTGAACACCGCCTTGAACAGTATTTTATGTCATCATTTATTAGGGCTGGGACGATACACCAACTGTGTGATCCGATACGTATCATGATACTTGTCTGTGCTCTCATCTGTGGTCCCTAAGTCAATGGTTTCATACACAGGATGACCAAATACCTGGCACACTGATGATTCACAGTTGTCAGTGTCATGTATGTCACAATGGATATTAATTACGTTTTCACCACAAATGTTTACCAATTAGTATTTGGTTAAACAGTTATCAAAGCAAACACTGAAGGTAAGAATCGATATGTTTACATAGTGTGCGACTGTAATGGATACTTGTATTGAGAAGTAAAAAACCATGATCCACTGATGCATCAGTGTATCAACCCATCACTATCATTTATCATGGGGGAGGAAAGCAAAATGTCTGGACTCCAGATAACTTGTTAAGCTATTGAGTATTTACTGACATGGTACATTATGATTTACATTTGTTGATAGTTCTCTTTGGGTTTTCAAATATTCTTACTCCCTTGGGTTCAGTCTATTGGGGAATATTACACAAATGAGTAGACAACCTAAAAAAATAATACTGCTTGTTATGTTTTAGGCGACTTCAAATATGTATCTGTATTTGTGCTGCAACAAGTGGATAACTCGCAACAGTAATAAGCATGATAAGTTATATGCACGTCTAATTAATAAGCGAAACATAGCGCCTTTTTTATGCATTATTCAATGCAGTCAAGTTCATGTATGTGTGTTGCCTGCACTCCATCAGAAAATATATATCTGTGAAGAAATACATGTACAGTAATTAAGTTGAAAAGGATACATTGGGTAATTATGTACAGTGTTGTAATACCATATTGTTTGCATTATGCAATTATGGCATTTATTTTGCACATCATATGCAAATACTCAGCTTAAATGGAGCTATGAAAACTTAATAGACGTTCATCAAGTCAAACCAAGGATAATCATTGTGTTGACAGTGAATATTATCCCAGTCAGCATGTACAAACATAGTTAGCAGGCCATTGTGATCCTCAGATGTACAAGCAAGGGTCACAGGGGTGTGGCCTGACACCACAGAGTTTCCATGGTTACTGACCTCCTGCAGGTCTTGGAGCTGCTTGGTAAGATCTTCCTTCTTCTTGCCGCGGAGATCCTTAGCCTTTACTTTGGCCTGCAATATGTAATGATACTCATTCACTTTCTGCCAATTTCCAGTGTTAGTCAAGTCATCCTAATATTGTGAAGAATACTAAGTATCTTCAGGGTTTGAAATAAATATTTTGTACACTCAGTAAGTCAGGACTAGCTCTTTAACAATGAATGATTTAACAAGTGAAATAGTCTTCATTTAAAAATTATTACGGTTTCCAAGTTATGCTCCGTAAACGACAGACAAGTGGACAGACAGAGAGCGAGAGAGAGAATAAAAACTACAGCAACTGAAACAGTTCTCACAAGCAAACTCTTCTCCAAGCTCTGTTATGTAATGATTCCTGGCAGGGTTCTAAATGTCTTGGGCTGAAGTGTATTTTTACGTAGAAATCTCTATTTCATAAATGGCAAATAATGATAAACCACATATGGCCAGTCAAAGCTGCAGGATGCTGTTTTGACCCCCCAAAATCTATACTATTATTCATTATGGTAACATTATATTCCGTAACTATATCATATACTGATATTGCAAGTCAAGCTCCTAAGACTATACAATTTTACCCTAGCTGAGGTCTTTTGTTTGACCACGTGTCACACATTAATGCAGTGTATGTGCATAAAACAATCGTGTCAACGATTCTGATCTTGGCCTATAATAGTTGGTAGGCTACTTAGAAGTTTAAGAACACCCGATGTTTTCACAAGACTTAAGTTAATCTGTCATAGATCGCAGGTATTGAAACAGCCGGCCTTCAAATTGTGGATATTTTATTTTTTAACATATTTTGGATAGTATATAATACTGCAAAAGAAACACCGAACTAAAGCAAATCGTTTCAGAAGTGGTTTTGTTTATGGATGGGCATCGCGATTCACAAGTGAACAATTTCGATCATAACACCCCTAAACACAAAATGATAGCTTATCCATGTACTTTAAACATTGTTTGTGTATAACGTATGTCGAATGGTTTCACATAAGCAGTGAGGGACACGGGATTGAAGAGATTGCAAAAGAATCATGTTGTATGTACCATGTTGGAAGATGTCAGAATAGTAAAGGCCGGAACGAGGTTCTGTGAGCATTCACTTCCGGTACAATGTCGTTACGGCAAATTGGTTTCAATATTCATCACACAACAAATTAAATTTAATATTCATCTTTCTGTTGATAATATTAACAAGAAAATATATCTCGGTTTCCATGACGAATCTGTTCTTAAATGCGGAACTGTGGCAAGTACTTGTCGTTATCTGTCAAAACGAGGCAAGATCATTCTACTTCCGGGGTGTGATTGTGTCGGTGCTAAAGACATCAGTTTCCTGGAATTATTAGCAGCTATGTCGAAAAATACTGGTGCTAGCAAGTTCAGGAGGGTAGATGTTGATCAATATGACGACGATCGCTTCCAAGACGAAGATAACGATGTTACCGAGCAGGGGCCAAACGAGGGGGAAGTGACAACACTCCTTACACAATATCCTTTGCAAATACTAATAGTTCATTTCTGAGTCACGAAATTCTGTATCTTATTCAGGAAAGAAATGTGACCAACCGTTTAAATCTTATTCGAACCTAAGTCTCTTGAGACAAAATATTTTATTGAAACATTTTGATCAGGAAGCAGCTAAGAATTTCACATCCTCAATGCTGTCTAATTAATGATGCCTCTAGGCAAAAATGAGTTCTCAACTCTGAGGTGTTATCAGAGACCCTATACTAGACTATATGGTCTCCGGTGTAATGTTATTTATTTTGTTGAAACATAACTACTAGAAACAAATATCTGTAGCATATTTGGAAGAAATGATGTTTCAAAATTCTAATCACATGTATTTAAGGGTCATTGGGGAAGATATTTATTACACGTTTGCATGTTTGTTATCTATGGGGTTCAAGGAACCAGGTTAAGACATTAAACTCCATACAAAGCACATGCGCTATGCTTTTCAGCACTAATGTTATGTTACTGACATCATTGCAATCTCATTAAAATGAGATATTTAACTCTGATACCACCCTGTATGGTTTGTTTGTTTGTTTGTTTGTTGTTTAACGCCGCACTCCGCAACATTCCAGCTATATGGTGGGTGTTTGTTAATAATCAAGTCTGGCCCCGACAATCCAGTGATTGACATCATGAACATCGATCCGCGCAATTGGGATTGATGACAAGCATCAACAAGTCAGCGAGTCTGAGCACCCGATCCCGTTAGCCGCCTCTTACGACAAGCATTGTCACCTTTTATGGCAAGCATGGGTTGCTGAAGATCTATTTTACCCCAGATCTTCACGGGTCCCACCCTGTATAAAGATCTGAAGACACCTCCATAGGAGGTCGTGTCCGGTGAACTTTCTAGTCTACTAGTCAGTGCCAAGGATGCTAACTTCTCGGTATGAGTGATCTAAGCCTTGAGACCTCCATATCTGATCTTTGTATCACGAAAAAAAAGTTAATCCTCTTGTTCCGAATGTAAATGATACATGCCCTTATGTTGTTATGTAGTATTATGTTTACCATATCGTCTCTGGGCGCCATGGTATCTACCCCAAAAGGGAGAAGTTTGGTTCTTTTGCTAAAATCAAAATTCCTGAATTGAGGTGGTGAAATGAAGCTAAATCATGTTAGAAAGCTGAACTCTGATTGGCCGAGGAACCCTTCATGCTTCCTTCATTTGAGTGTGCTGTAAAAAGCAACCTTCTATGGCAGTATGGGGATGTCCAAGATCTTCACACACAGAGGCATCATATCCCAGTTAAGGATCTGACTTTAATGAGATTGGAAAACATTGTTGATGTGCAGGAGGTAATTAAGTACATATGTTTTGGTTTGGGAATTAAATACACCTGAGCTGTTTAGTTGAAACCAAAATGTTTTTGTCAAGTTAGTAACAACTTAGTTGACAAGAAATTCATTGGGAAATCCGATAAAGATCCACATTTTACATACTTTTTTCTAGATGATAAAAGTGATCCCGCTATTGATGAGTACATTAACTCAGAACTAATGTTACTTTTGAACCTGGCTGATCATATTTACTTATCTATAATCAGGGCCACAGCATCTTCATGTGACTCTATTTATCCATGTGACATTGATTGAAAAATGAATATTTGTCCGTTATTATTTGCTTCTTGCATGCCCCATTTTGGCAAATTTTGCTTAACTTTAGATACAGGAAAAAATGCAGATGCCCTAAGATTAGTGTTGAGTAGCGCTCCAGTCACCACAAAGAACCAGAATGTGAAGGTGAGAACGACTCCATGGAGGGATCAGACAATTATATACATTTAAACTTGCATGTGTTCAACACTGAGGGTAGTGCTGAGGTTGGCTGCTGTAGTGTTTGAATTGAGGGCTCCCTTAAGAATGCTTAATTTTCAACTTTTAGCAATTGTGTTATGACAAGGACATCCAGACTTTCATGCTTTTTTTTACATATCAAAAACATTTACATACAATAGCTATCTTTTTTTTAGAAGATTTGCCCAGTGGTCTGCGTTGCTGCAGCATGATGTGCAGGGTTGTGTCCCTTTGTTGTTAGGATCTTTTTGAAATCCAGATTTGCCCTGATTATGATTCTTGGTTTGGCAGCACTATTCCACTGCCAGGGGACCTCCCACATTATGCTGATCCACCGTCATCAAACTGAAATACTGTTCATAGCTGCATCAAGCAGTGAATCATCAGTCACTCTGAGCCACTTGTTTGTCTGCTCCACTAAGCCGATAAACTGGATCAGGTGGCCAGACTCAATGGCATGGTGTCATCGTACACTGATTCCTCCCTTGAGACCTAGGTTAAAGTAGATCCCCATCACAGGAGACCCAGGTTAAAGTAGATCCCCATCACAGGAGACCCAGGTTAAAGTAGATCCCCATCACAGGAGACCTAGGTTAAAGTAGATCCACATCACAGGAGACCCAGGTTAAAGTAGATCCCCATCACAGGAGACCCAGGTTAAAGTAGATCCCCATCACAGGAGACCCAGTTTAAAGTAGATCCCCATCACTGGAGACCCAGGTTAAAGGAGATCCCCATCACTGGAGACCCAGTTTAAAGTAGATCCCCTCACTGGAGACTCAGGTTAAAGGAGACTCCCCTAACTGGAGACCCAGGTTAAAGTAGATCCCCATCACCGGTGACCCAGGTTAAAGGAGATCCCCCTAACTGCAGACCCAGGTTAAAGTAGATCCCCATCACCGGTGACCCAGGTTAAAGGAGATCCCCCTAACTGCAGACCCAGGTTAAAGGAGATCCCCCTAACTGGAGACCCAGGTTAAAGTAGATTCCCATCACCGGTGACCCAGGTTAAAGTTGATCCCCTCACTGGAGACTCAGGTTAAAGGGAGAATCCCCCCACAGGAGACCCAGATTAAAGGAGACCCCCCTAACTGGAGACCCAGGTTAAAGGAGACCCCCCCCCCCCCCCCCCCTAACTGGAGACACAGGTTAAAGGGAGATCCCCCCCTAACTGGAGACCCAGGTTGAAGGAGATCCCCATCACTGGAGACCCAGGTTAAAGGGAGATCCCCCTCACAGGAGACCCAGGTTAAAGGAGATCCCCATCACTGGAGACCCACCATAAAGTAGTTCCCCATCACTGGAGACCCAGTTTAAAGTAGATCCCCTCACTGGAGACTCAGGTTAAAGGAGATCCCCCCCTCACTGGAGACCCAGGTTAAAGGAGATCCCCCCTAACTGGAGACACACCATAAAGTAGTTCCCCATCACTGGAGACCCAGTTTAAAGTAGATCCCCTCACTGGAGACCCAGGTTAAAGGAGACCCCCCCCCCCTAACTGGAGACCCAGGTTAAAGGAGATCCCCCCCTAACTGGAGACCCAGTATAAAGGAGATCCCCATCACTAGAGACCCTGTTTAACGGGTTCGTGACATAACTGATATAGTTCCATCATACACTGCTGACTTCGGCGTTATCACCCAACCCACTTACTCCCAGCCTGGCTGACTTCACCCTTGTTCAGACTGTGTGTGTATTTGTAGGAGCGTGCCAGCCAGATAGTTGTGCGGGTGCTGACATCCTTCAAGTCCAGTGAGGTGGAAAAAGCTGTGAAGTCACTAGATGCAAGGTCAATAGATGTGCTGATGAAATATATCTACCGTGGATTTGAGAATCCATCTGAAGGCAGCAGTGCCGTCCTCCTCACCTGGCATGAAAAGGTTGGTGAAGTGAAGAACGTTTAATGTGTTTGCGAGTTCAGCCACCATTCCAAACCCTGAGTCCAGTAAAGCGTATTTGTGTCCAGTGAGATCAGCAGATACTTGTCCATAGACTGAAATTAACTGTAAATAATGCTGTTCAGGCTAACAGATTCAAAGTTTTATGGCATAGGCTGTGTTTGATGGGATTCAGTCCCAACCTCTTGAGGCTATGGCAGAGGGGCATAGGCGACCCAGTCAACGAAGGTGCCGCAATTTGCTGTGAAACCCATGATCGTGGGTTTGAATACCGATTCGCCATGGGATTCATGGTTTCAGGAATGCCCATGTAAAAAACAATCTCATTTAAGTCAGATGTAAGTTCTCGCTACCGCTAAACAAAGATCTGAGGACGTCCCATTACGGCTCACATCAGAACGACCTTTTGCAGACTTTGACCGACCACTGAAATGACTAACAAGAAGTAGTCATCAGCCAATTAGAAAGCAGCTTTCTTAAGCTTTATGGCACTCGTTTCAACCTGGCGACTTCCATTTCAGACTAAAATATGTTGAAACAGTTTTCTATCAAAATTTTTAAAACTGAACAACGAACATTCAAGAATGTCTAATACTGTATATGGTTTAGATTGTATGGCAGTGCTTCCCACGTACTATGTAATGCCTCCTCCGTTCTAATGTTTATCCCACGAAGGCGTGAAACAGACGATAATGTTGACGGAATCAGTTGAACGGGCCGTAACTGTCGTTCGGAATACAACGTTTTTGAGGTTGCATGATTAGAAAAGACATTCCGACTGTCACTTTCATGATCTGGTAAGCGATGCTTTGATTGGTCGGATGAAAGGTCGTTCTGATGTGAACCATGATGGGATGTCCTCAGATCTGGTTTTGATGGGATTGATGAAAAACAAGCAAGACAGCGCCGTAGACGACCAGGGAACCTGTGTCCCCATCCATTACTTGAGGTCCCCAGGCTTGATGTGGCTGGGATATTGATAAGAGCAATTTAAAACCTGCTCACCCAGTGACCCTAGGTATGCATCCAGTGCAAAATCATTGATTGTTTTGTAATTAGTTTGAAGAGTATGTTAGGGGTAAAGCTCTTCCTACGAAAGAACACCTCCACATTAGGGCTGCAACGAATACACTATAAGGCGAATACAATTCGTATAGTGCATATAGGGTACCGAATACGAATATTTATTCACGAATACAATAACAAGTCAGCAGTTGATGTATTATTTATGATATTCAGTGAAACAATAACAAAATCAATTATTTGACATGGCTTGTAAATTCTTAATTTATTATACATTAATATACTTCACTTATCCAGGTACTAGTGTCTGCTCAAATGCGACAATGACCAGTGACTAAAATACTGTCACTCAAGAAATCTATGCATATAATATGTTCTTATGGATATTTTAAGGGTCAGGGTATGTAAATGCACATGACTGCATATTCATGAATATTCGATTCTAGTGACCACGAATAACGAATTTAATTCATGAATGGATACGGTTTGATTCACCGAAAATACGCGAGTGAATCGTAACAGCCCTACTCATCATTGTCCCCTCTTTTATCTGTTGCAGACGTTTGCCGTGGGAGGTTTGGGAAGTATAGTCCGAGTTATGACTGACAGGAAGAAAGTCTGAAGGAGGCGTCATCTGTCTGTGTCCGATCACTTGTCTGACCATGTCTTGACACAATGTGTCTACATTTGCATGTACAGTACACACTACACACGTAAAGGATTCTGCTTGTATAACTATATACACCAAGATACTCTGAAATAACAAAAACAGGTTTTATCATGAAAACATATTTTACAATGGTCGGTTTTGTTATCTAAACTTGTACAATTTTGTATCAAAGCTTACAAAGACTGTAAACTTTTATTTTAGAAATAAAACCTCATCCAAAAATGCTGCTATTCTTTCTGTTCTCATAATTTGCTCAATATATTACTTACTGAAGGTTCAAAAAGAAGAACGTGGGACTCAGTTTGATAAATTGATATATTTTATAGGATTATTGTAAGATTTACCAAAAAGGGCGAAGCCTATGTCCAGGTTTTGATCTGGTTCCAACTTGGTGAAGAAAATGACCAATCAAGAAACAATCATGAAAATGACCTAAGGAACTTCTTTTGTTCCAAGGTTTATGGGGGCGGTCGGGTAGCCTAGTGGTTAAAGCGTTCGCTCGTCACGCCGAAGACCCGGGTTCGATTCCCGACATGGGTACAATGTGTGAAGCCCATTTCTGGTGTCCCCCGCCGTGATATTGCTGGAATATTGCTAAAAGCGGCGTAAAACTGTACTCACTCACTCACTCACTCCAAGGTTTATGAGCAAAGTTGCTTTCAAATAGTTGACAGTGTTAAGGTCATGTTTGAAGGTAGGACCCTGAATTCCTCAGTGAATATTTAGAGCAAATGTTCCTTGATAAAGTATTTTCCAAATCTGTTTTTCACATTCGCTTTTCTTGCAGTTATTATTTTTGAGGAGCAGACAAATTTCCTCAGCTGTCAGATTAAGTTTACCTCAAATATCGTAAACTGCGAGTCTGTACAGTTTGCTTTCAAACATGTATTCCAAGCTATTGAACAAACACAATGATAGTTACAATGTGTTAGAATTGTTAACCATCTTGTTTCACCTGTGAAAGGTGAGATTGTACAAACAAATACATGTCACTATTAATGCTTTTGATTATCACATTCTGTTTGTTTTATTACCTGTTTTTCGGATCACCCAATAAAAATGTAATGTAAAATGAAATAGAAAATGTTATTTTTTTATCATTTCAAAATGAACAAAGATTGATATGGGAAGGGACGTACATCGCCGAATTATCAACAAGATACATTTGTTTTCACCAAAATGATAAAACAAAAATGATATTGAAATGCAGCAACTGAAATCAATTGTTATGTGATATTATATTCAAATTGTGACCTTGAAACCTGAAAAATCTGAAACTACTGTTTTTCCATTCCACATGTTCATCACTGATATAAATGCTTTTATTAATTGATTCTGCCATATAATTGTTTTTACCCCAAACTCCCCAAACCAAATACTGATTATGAAGGTCGCAGTATATTCATCGTGGCTCGTTTACTGTCAGGGACGGTCGGGTAGCCTGGTGGTTAAAGCGTTCACTCGTCACGCCAAGGACCCAGGCTTGATTCCCGATATGGGTACAATGTGTGAAGCCCATTTCTGGTGTCCCCCGCCGTGATATTGCTGGAATATTGCTAAAAGCGGCGTAAAACCATACTCACTCACTTATAATAAGCGTGTCAGCAACTCCGCATCCTATGATGAACTCAAAGTTTCTTCAGCCAAATAACTTCTTCTTCATATTCACTTGCCAAGTTTGCAGGCCGTGGAGTAGCCAAGTGGTTCTCTTGTCACGCCAAATGCCTGGGTTCATTTACCTACTGGGTACAATATGTACAGCCCATTTTCCTCCGTGATTTTACTGGAATATTGATGACAGTGGCATAAAACCATACTCACTCACTCACTCACAGATTTGCATACACTACGGTTTATCTCTGGCTATAGAAACTGGTGAAGTATTGAGGCTTGTAGGACAGTGTAAGATGTAGATCTAACTACAACTAGGGATAATCCTTGTTCCACTGACATCCATTCTGTGTAGAACAACAAAGTTTGTTTTCCCACTGACTTGTCACAGCTAGGTCTGTGCCCATCTTCATCATGTGATGTCAAGTTTATCACAGAATGATTTTATATTCATGTTTTCCATATATCTGAATAAAATGATATGTATTCATATTAAGTCCTGTTTATTGTCAGCCATGCATGACTTACAGATGTGGTTGTGCAGACCACTGCATCTGGGGAACCTGACGAATCTGAGAAACGGGATATTCTTGATTATTTACAGGATGCCGTCATATAGCTTGAATAATCCTGAGTGCCTATAAAAAATGACAAAATGATGTAGGAGGAAAGACTGAAGTGATGCAGGTCGTGGAGGTTAACACATTTGCATGGGTATGGTGCTGACAAACCTAGAAACAATCTGGGTGAATCTGGGATTCGAACCATAGATTTCTGCCACACCTAGGAGACGCAACATGCCTCTCCTGGGATTCAACCCATAGATTTCTGCCATGCCTAAGAGAAACAAAATGCCTCCCCCTGGGGCATTCGAAAACAACCAGTGCATCCTTAGCAGCAGATGGAGCTCCTTAGGAATTCTGTCTTGGAAATGGTGGGTGAATTTCATTTTACACTTGGGAGGGATGTCACGACTACCATAGGTTGTGGATGCCACGTGTATGGTGTGGACAAACATAGGGTCATAATTGGGGCTAACAGGGATCCAACCCTGATCACCACACTGCCGAGGAACTAAACGATGCTTGGATCAGCATGAACATAGGATGTAGTAAATCCCACAAGACCAGTGAAGATCCAGGGTAGAAAAGGTCTTCAGCAACCCATGCTTGTCAAAAGAGGCGACTAACGGGATCGGGTGGTCAGGCTTCTCGACTTGGTTGAAGCATGTCATCGTATCCCAATTGATTCTCATGATGTCAATCACTGGAATGTCTGGTCCAGACTTAATTATTTACAGACCGCCATCATATAGCTGGAATATTGCTGATTGCGGTGTTACACAACAAACAAACATACCACAATGATGAAGCCACTGCAACAGTTTGGGAAGGTAGAATGCCTTCCAGCTACCGGTTCTTGGCATGGAAGCCCATCTTATCCTTCACTCAACTGATGAAGACAAACCAGGTGAATACAGGTGATAATTTATTAGTTAAAACAGAAAAACAATTATAAATTTTTTTTCAAAAATGGTTAAAGTCAGAGGATGTGAGCAGTATTTGTTGTTTCACGATTGTCACTGGATGGGTGCGGGGCGGTCGGGTAGCCTAGTGGTTAAAACGTTAGTCCGTAATGCCGAAGACCCAGGTTCGATTCCCGACATGGACACAATGTGTGAAGCCCATTTCTGGTATTCCCTGCCGTGATATTGCTGGAATATTGCTAAAAGCGGCGTAAAACCATACTCACTCACTGGATGGGTGCACAGAGAGTTGGAGGGAATGGGTTACATTCCAGTTATGTCAGGGCGACCTGGCGACCCACCAAGGCAAAACTAGTGAGCAACAATATTATGACAGATAGTAAGCCAGGCCATTCCACTACAATAGGGGTTAGATAACCAACAAGACCTACTCAGTAGATTGGAGACAATAAGGAGGGAGTGAGTTGGGTTGAATGTCACTTTTAACAGTACAGTGATTCCTGGATATACCGCTGTCATGGGGGTCCAAGATCCCGATCCCACGTTCTAGGAAAGAGCGTTGTACAGATATTCATTGCTGATGGTCACACTACGTAATGTTGGTAGTGAATAGAACAGTGGCGCAGTTATTTCACAGTGGCATGCGACCTGTAGATCTATGTAATACTGATTGTGGATGATGATTCAAAATGCGTGCGTATAAAAATAAAAATGCTTCTTAGGGTACCAACAGGACTACGGAACCTGTGGTCAGTCACATGATGTATTGTTTAATGACAAAACCTATCTAAACCTCTATGGTTATACTTCAAGTCACTAATATTCCCATTTCTTTCTGACAATGCACCCATTCCTTCTGACTTTTATATGTTTGAATAAAGATAAAACTTCATGGAGAAAACTTCAGTGTATGCAAGACCAGATTATTTTATACGAGTATCTAATACATTTTACCAGGGCTACGGTCAAACTTTTCCCAATCGGACAGTTTGTACCCATCTCTTGAGATCTACAGTGGATACCCGGGTAGGGTCGGGTAGTAGGGGGTTGGGTACCAAGGTAGTAAATTTGGACTCATCCCAGCCCTAGAATCCACATGGAGTGAATGCTTCCGACTGTCATAGGCCATAATCAGGAGCGATACAGACTTTCAACCAAGGCCAGATTTAAGGCAAGCAACTGCAATTACCGTATTCGACGTAATAAGCGCCCAAGGCGCTCTCAAAATGAGAAAGAGGGGTAAATTTTGTGGTTTAGGCTTACAGCCTGAAATGATACAAAAGAAAAGTCTGTGCGTATTAGACACGCCAGATATATTTTTCCAGAATTTAATTAAGGGTGCATATAACACACGAAGGGTGCTAATTGGGATTGTTCACTAGCCAATATATAAGCAAATATCGCCGTGGGCGCTTATTAGAGCGGGGTGCTTATTACGTCAAATACGGTAAGTTATATAGGATGTGGATTTACTATTGACATAAATATGGGGGAGATCAAGCTCATTTAAATTAGATCTTTTGCACCGATACAATATCTCTGCGTGATGATGTGCTAAACCCTCCATAGGAAGTCGCGTCAGGTGAACTTTCTGATCAGCCAATCACAATCAAGGCCGCTAAATTCTTGGAATGAGTGAGTGAAACGTTCAGAGCAGCATTTCCAAGTTTGTGTATGGAAATGAGGTGTCACTGGACGAAATGAAATGGACCCAAGTTACAGAGGTGTCACTGGACTAAATAAAACGGACCCGAGTTACAGAGGTGTCACTGGACTAAATGAAACGGACCCGAGTTACAGAGGTGTCACTAAGGGAAAAAACAGACCTGGAGTTAAAGAGGTTAATAAGGTTTAACAGTTGTGGATTAACCAGACCTTGAGTTAAAGAGGTTGATAAAGTTTGAATGTTGTGGATTGAACAGACCTAGAGTTAAAGAGGTTAATATTGTTTCACTGAAGTGGATTAACCAGACCTGGAGTTAAAGAGGTTAATAAAGTTTCACTGGTGTAGATTAACCAGACCTGGAGTTAAAGAGGTTAATAAAGTTTCACTGGTGTAGATTAACCAGACCTGGAGTTAAAGAGGTTAATAAAGTTTCACTGGTGTGGATAAACCAGACCTGGAGTTAAAGAGGTTAATATTGTTTCACTGGTGTGGATTAACCAGACCTGGAGTTAAAGAGGTTAATAAAGTTTCACTGGTGTGGATTAACCAGACCTTGAGTTAAAGAGGTTGATAAAGTTTGAATGTTGTGGATTGAACAGACCTAGAGTTAAAGAGGTTAATATTGTTTCACTCAAGTGGATTAACCAGACCTGGAGTTAAAGAGGTTGATAAAGTTTGAATGTTGTGGATTGAACAGACCTAGAGTTAAAGAGGTTAATATTGTTTCACTCATGTGGATTAACCAGACCTGGAGTTAGAGAGGTTAATAAAGTTTCACTGGTGTGGATTAACCAGGCCTAGAGTTAAAGAGGTTAATATTGTTTCCCTCAAGTGGATTAACCAGACCTGGAGTTAAAGAGGTTAATAAAGTATCACTGTAGCGGATTAACCAGGCCTAGAGTTGGAAAGGTTTCACTGTAGTGAATTAATAGACGAGGCCACAGGTAGGCAGCAACGCATGACATCATTGCACCATGTAAACACAAACAACAAACAATATCTGTCACATTAATTAATCACAACATGCTTCCCAGACCAGTTCAACCTTAAACTATGCTATAACAATATTTATTCCAGTGGGCATAACAAACACAGTATCAGTAAACACTGCTTAATGATCAATTCTACCACGCAGTCCTTCGTGGTCACAAGAAGATCGTCAAGGTACCCACCATGTATTATGTTAAGTAGTATGCAAACAATTGCATTTCAATTCTAAAATCAGGCTTGGTCAGTTGTTGACATTACACTTACATCAGGAAGAGAATTTATGGATTTCAACTTCTTTATTATGAGGAACACATGGTTTCGGAGTATATGCTTACTCCTTCATCAGGTGAATGAATGCTATGAGGCAGAGAGCATGTATGTACAGGTAAGAACAACAAAAGTAATAACTTGAGATAACAAAAGGTGGAAACTTAACGGACTAAGCATATACTCCAAAACGTTGTATTCCTCATAATAAAGAAGTTGACATCCATAAATTCTCTTCCTTTGGCTATAAAAAGTAACCAGACTATTTTTCTTTTTAGCCTTATGTGTATCACTTCCTAATGCCTTTTAAAGACTTTATTACACTTACTGTAAACTACATTCATCACTAACACACTTATAACGAATTGACCTATATAACAAACCTATTTCACAGTCCACTTGCTGTATATATGCTGTATATATGCTTATAACGAACTACGGTTATTACAAACTAAAATTAGTGGGCCCTTTGAATTCGTTCTAGTTGGTTGGTTGGTTGGTTTAACGTCGCACTCAGCAATATTCCAGCCATATGACAGTTGTCTGTAAATAATTGAATCTGGACCAGACAATCCAGTTGTTAATATCATGAGCATCGATCCACGCAATTGGGATCGATGACATGCATCAACCAAGTCAACGAGCCTGACCACCCGATCCTGTTAGTCGCCTCTTATGACAAAAATAAAGTTTGTTTTAACCGTAGTTTACTGTACTTTAAAAAGAAAACCTTTGTGATGTAGAGTGTTAATATTCATAATTGTTTTGTTTTTTTCTGAATATTATGGCCACATATAAAAGTTGAGTTAGGTCCTGGGAATCAAAACTAGCATCAGTTCTCAACACTAGAATGTGCTGGCAGTTACACTAAGCCGTCAATGGTTAACAGTTAAAGGTCAAGGCTTTACGTCTCACAAGTTCAGGGTCACCTCTTCATGATAATTTTTCCCGATGACAAAAGACTAAGAGGGCAGTGTTGTAGTTCTATCTTGTAATAGCTGCCTGCAATCAAGGTGACATGTTTTCAGTTTCATTTAATTTCTAAGGTCCACCGAGTCCTCACTTTGCTTTGCAAATAACAGTAATTTTCTTAGTGGTATGCAATTGTGCGCATCTCACAGGAAGTGCAAGTCAAAACATGGGGCAACAGCAATGGGCACCTTGCAGGTTGTCTGCTTACATTGTATGCTTTATTTCATCAAAACATCAGCTGTCCATGGTATAAGTTTGTATATTTCATTGTCAGGAATCTTAAGAAAATGTTTTTGGTGTATAACAACCTATATTTTGAGGTAAAACAGTAAGTCAAAATGTACTTCAGGGATTTCTCTTAAAAAATGTCCTAGAAAAACCTGGAAAACATAAATTTGTCCCAAAAATGTTCGTTGGACATGCTGGATGTCCTGACAAAAATATGTGTTTTAAAAACAATTAAATGGTTGGTTTCCTCCACAGAAAGAAAGGAATAGGACCTTATGATTAAACTTGATAAAAAAAAGTGTCTGACCATCAGCATGATTAGGATAACAGTCAGACAATGACCAGGGAACATACTGGTAAATCAGTCTAAAACCCTGTGTAACCATGTTAACACTAATGACTCAGATTATTCATACAAACTTAAGAGACATGAAATCACCAACATTTACAAAATGACAGGAAAACAAATCATAGGTTATGTCTTTGGCATAATGTAATAACAGACTTCTTTGTTTCTTTGTTTGTTGTTTAACGCCGCACTCAGCAATATTCCAGCTATATAGCGACGGTCTGTAAATAATCGAGTCTGGACAAGACAACCCAGTGATTGACATCATGAGCATCGATCTTCACAATTGGGATACGATGACATGCATCAACCAAGTCAGCGAGCCGGACAACCCAGCAAGCCTGACAACCCGATCCTTTTAGTTTCCTGACATGACAAGTATGGGTTGCTGAAGATCAATTCTAACCCGGATCTTCACTGGAGGTTCAGTCCTTCAGTCAGGGTATCTCAGTTCATCATGTGTGGTGTGACCTTCACTGTTCCACTTGTGAAACATACGCGACTCAAAGTATGATACTTCATTCCAAACACAGCCAAATAATACATCACACTAGGGTCGGCTGGGTAACCATAGTCTAAAACAGATATTGTCACCAGTTATGTTTGCCTTTAGGTAGCCAAGTGGTGAGCAGGAGATAAATTCAGGTCACCAATCATAGATGTAAGTAGCATTTGGCCACCAAAAATGGTCGTTTCTTAGAGCCAAGTCAAGTCAGGAGAGTTTCTGCTCGACCCTCTACTGTAGCACATACAAGTCAGGAGAACATCTTGCTACGTCCTGAAGCCATCTTGCTGTCCACCTGTCTTTGCTCGACCCTCTACTGTAGCACAGACAAGTCAGGAGAACATCTTGCTACGTCCTGAAGCCATCTTGCTGTCCACCTGTCTTTGCTCGACCCTCTACTGTAGCACAGACAAGTCAGGAGAACATCTTGCTAAGTCCTGAAGCCATCTTGCTGTCCACCTGTCTTTGCTCGACCCTCTACTGTAGCACATACAAGTCAGGAGAACATCTTGCTACGTCCTGAAGCCATCTTGCTGTCCACCTGTCTTTGCTTGACCCTCAACTGTAACACAGCCAAGTCAGGAGAACATCTTGCTAAGTCCTGAAGCCATCTTTCTGTCCACCTGTCTCTGCTCGACCCTCTACTGTAGCACAGACAAGTCAGGAGAACATCTTGCTACGTCCTGAAGCCATCTTGCTGTCCACCTGTCTCTGCTCGACCCTCTACTGTAGCACAGACAAGTCAGGAGAACATCTTGCTAACTCCTGAAGCCATCTTGCTGTCCACCTGTCTTTGCTCGACCCTCAACTGTAGCACAGACAAGTCAGGAGAACATCTTGCTAAGTCCTGAAGCCATCTTGCTGTGCACCTGTCTTTGCTCAACCCTCAACTGTAACACAGCCAAGTCAGGAGAACATCTTGCGAAGTCCTGAAGCCATCTTGCTGTCCACCTGTCTTTGCTCGACCCTCTACTGTAGCACAGAAAGTCAGGAGAACATCTTGCTACGTCCTGAAGCCATCTTGCTGTCCACCTGTCTTTGACCCTTAACTGTAACACATCCAAGTGAGGAGTGAGTATGGTTTTACGCCTCTCTTAGCAATATTCCAGCAATATCATGGTGGGGACACCAGAAATTGGCTTCACAGCCAAGTCAGGAGAACATCTTGCTAAGTCCTGAAGCCCTCGTGCTGTCCACCTGTCTCTGCTCGACCCTCAACTGTAACACAGCCAAGTCAGGAGAACATCTTGCTAAGTCCTGAAGCCATCTTGCTGTCCACCTGTCTTTGCTCCACCCTCAAATGTAACACAGCCAAGTCAGGAGAACATCTTGCTAAGTCCTGAAGCCATCTTGCTGTCCACCTGTCTTTGTTTGACCTGCAGCTGGCCTAGTAGCTGTAGCACAGCCTTGTTCTGGGGTTCAAGAGAGGCCACCATCTCCAGGTCTGATCTCGCTGAATCTGTGTCGTTAAAGAAAAGATAAGCTTGTCCTCGGCGATACAGTGCCTTAACATTCTTCGGTTCAATTTCTATAGCCTTAGAGCAATTCTGTACAACCTCACTGAACATATTCAACTTCATCTGACAAGCAGCTAAGTTGGAGTAACACTGACATTTTAACTTGCAGTATGTTTCGAGCAGGTGCTCTGGAATACAGTCTTGTGGATGGCAACACACGAGATATTTCAACGCTTTGCTAAATCTCCTGAAGGCAAACTCTATGTTCCCGAGCTGAAATAACACAGTTCCCTTCTCTTTGTGATGAGCAGCACGGCTGATCTTTTCTTCTGGAAGCAGTTGCCATGACAACACAGACTCTTGAAACGACATCAAATGGATTCTAAAAGAACATGTATCACAGACACCAGTTTGGTCATTGAGTGAGTTGATTTGTATCTGAATATCACACACCTCCCCTTCTTTCATTGTCTGTAGGCAGAGGTCGAGCTGTCGAGCGATATCAGTATCCCCCTCACCCACCATTATCACAATGTTATCCCCTATGCCATACCCAAGTTGTTCAGTTGTTAATATACATGAATTCAAAACTACAATATTAACATTGCAAAGAGTTCCATCTTTTGGCACCAGCAGACCAGTTCCAGGAGACAGGATTAGTTTGGAGAATGTTTGGTAGTTCCTGACTGTTCCTGGCAGACACACGGCAGGGGGGACAGCACTGAAGCCGTTGACATCATTATGGCTGTTGTCCGGATGAAGCACACTGCTGCCATTACCATTAACACATCCACCATCACTGGCTTCCGACATGTCTCTGTTTTCTGTTGCCATGGCCACGGAAATGCCATCTTTTGGTAAGAAGCCAGTAAGGGGAGAAGCTAGGTCACAGTCTGGGTAGGTGGGAACATCTGTTGCCATGGATTCCTCTGCCATCTCACCATCCATGAATTGACATGGATCTTCCTCCTCTGCATCTACATCCATCGTGTCGAGTCACTCCTCAACCTGCCACAACGACATGGAAACTCATTTTACAACTTGATACAATGGATTCTTGTCTTACAGATTTAACATGTTTAATGTGCATACATTCTTACAGGCATGATAGGAAGTAAAGTTGGTTGGTTGTTTTGTTGTTTCACGCCGCACTCAGCAATATTCCAATTATATGACGGCGGTCTGTAAATAATCGAGTCTTGACCAGACAATCCAGTGATTGACATCATGAGCATCGATCCATGCTCTTGGGATCGATGACATGCATCAACCAAGTCAGCAAGCCTGACCACGCGATCCCGTTAGTCGCCTTTTACGACAAGCAAAGTCACCTTTTACAGCAAGCATAGGTTGCTTGTTTTACGCTGCACTCAGCAATATTCCAGCTATATGACGGCAGTCTGTAAATAATCGAGTCTGGACCAGACAATCCAGTGATTAATTGGTATAAGATGACATGCATCAACCAAGTCAGCGAATCTGACCACCCGATCACGTAAGTTGCCTCTTACGACAAACAACATGGTGTTGTTTCCATTGGGTGCAGATGATGAAGGTAATCTTACTTATTTTCATTAGTCGCGCCGAGTAAAAGCCGGGCCTCGCGCTCAGTTTGACAAGGGAGAGAACTCCATCATATAGCTGTACAGGGAAAAATTTGGTATGGAGGTCCGAATTGGACTAAAACTGGACATAATTCTACCTACCACTAAGTATGGCCCTTGTGATCTCCTAATAGATACTGGCCACATAGCAGGGAAAATGTGCAGATGACGTTAGTCCCGTTAAGTTATTAGTCACCATGAATATGCAGATGATCTAGTTCAGGTCGATAGAAAGGTTACTTCGGAAACTGCAGGTTATATCGTAGTCCATTGATATATGGGGGTAAGGCAATATTAAAAAGATGCCGGAAGGAAGTATCAATGCGTTAATAAAATAAATCCTTACTTACAGCAGACGGTACATTCCGATGAAATTGAAATTGTTTACTAAGCGAGCACTTGCTGGTCACTGATTTTCATTAATAGACAGCCGCTAAGTGTCCAGGGTGAACTACCGGAAATCACAAAGGCGATGAATGCCGCGATACTATGAATGCAGTATATAGATTGTTCATGACCCATGTGTACTACTCATTTCATACATGGGTAAAAAAACAACATACTTTTACTTGTATACAGCAACAAATGAGTGAAGAAGGGACGCAACTGATTGAACAAATTTGGCAAACTAGATACATACAAGCTGCGTTACTGACTGAGGTCATCAGGAGTGAAACAAACAGCTCATATCTGGGCCAGCTGATAATCCGGGTGGACTATGACCAGTGTCCAACATAAATAATGAAAGCAAGAAGCTATTATTAAGCGATGCAGAACAGGTGCGGAGAGAAGGTGACATATGAATCATGACAAAATCTTACGCAAACAATCCAAACAATAGAGTATTTTATCATTGACTGGCAACAAATATTTGTTTGGAAACCTCTCAGAACCGGTGATCTCCCTTGTTTGTTTAAAAGATGAAACGTGTTTCAAACGAAACATGAAGACTATTAATTCAAAAGATTCCTTTTCTGATATGTTGTTCATTTCAATCATTTCAGCTTTTATAATACAATATTTGAACTATATAAAGACTGATGAAGTATGTTTCATCCACAAATGTCACCTTTGGTTCACATTATTATTACCGTATTTCGGAAATGTTTACCTATTCAACAAAGATGAAATCATTTCCGGTTATCTGTCATGGCCGACTTGTTGAAGTTCCTGCCAGGCTGGCCAGATTTTTGAGGAATATGTCACAGTTAGGATTAATTCTTTGAAGTGTTATTCACATTTAGTTGCAAAAAAAATACAGAGTGTGTATATATTGTTGACTCGATCCAACACAAAATCTATGATCAACAGGCGTCTTGCAAACTAGGCAAACCGGTAGATTCTTCGGTGGAACAAGGAACGCCATCGCATTTGATGTAGTCTATATGTCTCTGTCATTCATCTAAGAATCAGGTACTTATTTATATAAGCATTATCTGTGTATATGTAATATTTTATCATTGATTCAATTCTATGTTTTTCGGAGTTATTCCATTTAATTTAATTACACCTCTTGCTTCATCAACATGATCAATATTCTTGCAATTGATAGGCCTAGTTTAATGTGTTAGCGTTCATTACCAGGGAAACTTACCTCAACTATATTGGCAGTCCTCGCAAGTTTGATTTAAGTTAATTAAAAAATAGTGGCAACAATGCAGTTTACCGGGCACAGCCCGAGCTCCACCATCCGCTCAATTACCTCGCTATAGCGTTACCATGGCTCATGCTCCAGTGACCCTCGCTTCATGATCTAATGTCCATTTTCTGTCCTTAGGGTTAGCTTGCTTAGGGCAAGGGTTAGCAGTAAATTCATATTTTTCAAGCGTTAATCAAGTTTATCTGATTGGTTGGTCATGTTGACAAAAACATTGGCGGGTGTGGTTTCAAGAAAAGATGAATTGGAGAGCAGACCGTGACATCACACATATGGGCAATTCATTGTTTACTTAATCACTCATGCTTGTTAATGGGGTGCTAATGACCCGTTAAACGAGCACTGATTACAGGTGATAGCGCTTGTGGTCCAGTGGTAGAGCTGATGAGCCGGCAAAGCCGTTTGAGCCCCCACAGCGCTCATTGGATCTGAAAAAGTGTGCCCGGTAAAGTGCACTACTCCCAAAATAGTGCTCATTTACCTCTTCTTTAACTCTCAATAAACTTAATTAACTCACATATGCACAGATGTTAACAATCATGTGCACGAGAGGTAGTCATATCTTCTCTCAAAACTCAAACTAAAAAAAGACATACATATTTACCTTTGGAACAAGGTAAAATGTGCCCCGAGCAAAGTACAGTTATGATGAACTCTAAGGGACCACTGATTTTAGTTTGTTATAACCGCACAATAAACAGCATTTCAACTGTCAGACATAAATATTTTCCTCACTCTAGTTGTCACATTGTATAGACAAATATATCCACTTCAAAAGAAATGTGTACTCCCCTATGGAGGAATAAAAGCATATATAGCTTAATCACTGGTTTATTAGTGTTAATTAAGGGTGTAATTTACTGTAAATTGAGGACAAGTTGTGTCACTTGCCTTCAATTGTTTGTTGCCACCTTGAACAGATGTGCAAGGCCACGGAGGTTTTGACACTTGAACAGCTCAGAGATTTACAGTTCGTTAAAAACATAAACATTGTCATTGACAGAATACACACTGTACCATAAAGAGAGTTTAATATTACTTTATCCATTATTTCCCTATAGGCATGTTTATATATCCATCAAGTTTATATGATAAAATATACAGCAAATATCCGGGACAATAAACAAAACAGTTCGTTATATCTGTCAGTTTGTTGTAAGCGTGTTGATTATAAACGTAGTTGACTATGGCACATTATTGCTGTGCCAAGTAAAGTGCAGTCATTTTGAGTATTTCTTTCTGGATTATGGGGATTAAATGATGTAATTTATCTTAAATGTTATCCTGAGTCCTCATTAAGGAGCACCAGATTCTGGCTTCTTCCCCAATATCTGAGAAGGGCCTCCTCATTTTGCCACCACCTATTGTTAAGACTACTGTCTGATACTGTCTACTAATTTGCTGGCTTACATAATTGAGTGTGAGGAGAGACCGGGCTACTGTCTGGAAGGACAGTTTAATTCGACTTTGAGGCAAAAGCCTCACATTTCTGAACGATGATTGTTTACTGCAGACTATGTTTCTTTATGTCAAAAGGCACATATTAATTTCTTCAACCGAGATAAATTCTAATCTGCTGCAGAATGTAACAGCTAGCCATGGTAATGCATGGTTTAAAATGTATAGAAATTCTCTTCCCTAATGACTGGCACACCCTTCCATAGTCCAACATATGCATGGTCTATATGCTAAAACAGTATACATATGTTTGTGAGTGTCTGTCAGTTTTAGAAATATTCAGTATGATCCTGCATATGAAGCCCCCACCGTAAACACTTACAATGTAACTATTAAATTGTATTTCTCATATATCTCCTGATTAAGGTCTAACTTGGGCCTTGATAGTTACTGTCAGTCTAGTCATCCTGGTGACAGTTATAATGGTTCCATAGCTAGTCAATGGTCACTGAGGAAGTGGGATGGCCTTGTGCTTAAGGTATCTTAAACTAATATAGTTTACATTATTATATTATGTCAGCTTGACCCCTCTGACCAGGAAAATTAACACGCTACAAGAATCTATATTGTCTCAAGCCTTTGCAAGACCCTTAAAAAACAATATCTTCTCTGACAGAAGTAAATTCTTGATCATTATACTGTAAAATATTCACCCTGCTTTTGAAACATGCTTGAAACAAAATCAGCATTTATTTCATGTACTTTTGTCCAACTGATCCAAAGAGCATAAAGCCAAATTTATATTCAGGATACTGTGTTAAACAAATGTATATTATTTTAACCTACCCAAGTTAACTTGTTGGGAAAACCTCTATAAACCAGACAATGAAAGAGTGTGTTTTAATGATGCTAAACTTATTTGCTGATATTACTGAAATGAAATGTTGTTTTCCTTTCCTTACTTTCAGAAGGACAGATAAGACACCAGAATGTTTGCAAAGTTGAAGAAAAAGATCAAGGATGAAAGCGGAAGTGTTGTGGACGGAGATAAAACCTTCCTGCCACCACCCTTTCCAGGACATGCCAGTCCAATAAGGCGAAGTTCATGTAAGTTATTCATTCTTGCCAAAAAGTAACCATGGCAACGTGTTGCAGTAAAACTACATATCCTATTGATGACTGATCTATAACCAAAACTTCTTACATTTTAATGCAAGTTGTTTCTTTTCAAATTCATATGGTTTGTACCCTTTCTTGTTTGAGATGAATCAATTATTAAGTTGTTTTTCCTCCCCCAAGCAGGTTATTGTTCCCTTTTGTTAAGTTTCATCGGGATCGGATGGTCGGGTTCACTGACTTGGTTGATGCATGTCATTGCAGAGCTCCAGATAAGCTACGTATCTGCGTAAAATACGCATCAGAAATGCAGAAATACGCAGTAAAATAAAATCCAAGCGTATCAGATACACAACGAACATTACAGTTACGCTACAAAAATAAAACTTGTGCGTATCATGAAAATATTGTGAAGTAACCCTGTGTATTCGATGAGCAAATCAGCAACTTATTTTGAAATTATAAACGGACATTCCGTCAACCTTGCCAAACTCCATGATCACAGTTACATCATGATCATTTGCCATCACACTTTCTTGTGGAAGTATCGTGGTATTTTTGAGTCCTATAAAGCTCTCGAACCCACACGACGCCAGTTTGCAGGGACTAGATGAATAATGTTTTTAAATATTTAACTTAAATACCCACATGTGTAAAAACTAGTGGGTAACAGAAATTTGAATACCCAGATACAATTACTGATACCCAATGATTTTAAAATGCATGGGTAAAATACCCACAACACCAAAAGCTTATCTGGAGCTCTGTCATTGTATCCCAATTGTGTAGATCGATGCTCATGAAGTCAATCACTGTATTGTCTGGTCTTGATCCCTGTCATATAGCTGGAATATTGCTAGGTACAGCGTTAAACAACAAACAAACAAGCTTCATCGTGCAACCTTTGACATGAGTGTGCTGTTCTGGAAATGACATGATTTGACTTATCTCCCCTTCAGCCACGGCGACCTTGACCCAGAGTTTCAACAGGGATCCCTTCATGTCCGGAGACTCTGGAATGAGTGGAGCTGCATCCCCTGCCAGTCAGTCCAGCGAAGACTGTCCGGTAGGAAATACACTGTTAACTTACTTCAGTGGTTTCAGTATGACGAGGGTGTTTGAGGTTGTCTGCTGTAGTGTGCAAATCAGGGGACCCCCTATGTCTTTACTATCTGACATTATGGCTCTGACAAGGTAGTCTCTCATTCAGATCCTGGACATACACTGTCCAAAAACTATAAGCCAAGTCTACCATACTATGTCAAGTTGAAATCTCTTCAGTATCTGAAAAGGAGATATCTCTGGGCTCTTTTGTGTGAGGGGCGGTCGGGTAGCCTAGTGGTTAAAGCGTTCGCTCGTCATGCCGAAAACCTGGGTTCAATTCCCGATATGGGTACAATGTGTGAAGCCCATTTCTGGTGTCCCCCGCCGTGATATTGCTGGAATATTGCTAAAAGCGGCGTAAAACTGTACTCACTCACTCACTCTTTTGTGAGACATACAGGGTTTAAAGCGACGCAGAAATGTGTGTCCAGTAAGCACAAATGTATAGAATGGATGCAGAAAGAAATATATATTGCATCTCAAGGGATGCACAATAATATTAACTGGACTAAATTCTTGACAACAAATATAAAGTTTCTGTAATTAAAGTAATTATTGAATCTTACACAACAGCATGCGTCACCATTTCATTACTTTACAGGACCCTCATATATCTGATAAGGACACTTGAAATTAGTAACTGGGGTTTCCCTGGACCCCAAGTACATATTAAAAGACAAATTTAACAGTGTCATTGCAGACACTTAATGACTGTGTATTTATGCTTGAGGTCAAACACCAGTGGTGATGAGGATAATTTCTGTGTGTAGGGGAGGCTATTGAGTAGGCTGTTGTCATGGTGACAAGTTCCATGGGTCTGCTTCAGATGCCAGACTTGTCGCGGGAGGAGGTGGTGATGATACTTTCTGTGTGTCGGGGGAGGTTATTGAGTAGGCTGTTGTCATGGTGACATATTCCATGGGTCTGCTTCAGATGCCAGACTTGTCGCTGGAGGAGGTGTTGATGATACTTTCTGTGTGTCGGGGGAGGTTATTGAGTAGGCTGTTGTCATGGTGACATATTCCATGGGTCTGCTTCAGATGCCAGACTTGTCGCTGGAGGAGGTGTTGATGATACTTTCTGTGTGTCGGGGGAGGTTATTGAGTAGGCTGTTGTCATGGTGACATATTCCATGGGTCTGCTTCAGATGCCAGACTTGTCGCTGGAGGAGGTGTTGATGATACTTTCTGTGTGTCGGGGGAGGTTATTGAGTAGGCTGTTGTCATGGTGACATATTCCATGGGTCTGCTTCAGATGCCAGACTTGTCGCTGGAGGAGGTGTTGATGATACTTTCTGTGTGTCGGGGGAGGTTATTGAGTAGGCTGTTGTCATGGTGACATATTCCATGGGTCTGCTTCAGATGCCAGACTTGTCGCTGGAGGAGGTGTTGATGATACTTTCTGTGTGTCGGGGGAGGTTATTGAGTAGGCTGTTGTCATGGTGACATATTCCATGGGTCTGCTTCAGATGCCAGACTCGTCACGGGAGGAGGTGGTGATGATGCTGTTGAAGCGGACGGAGCAGTGCAAGAAGATGGAGTCTAAGATCAGTGGTCAGTAGGAGAAGTTGCACATTTTACACATATCACTTAGCATTATTAATCAGTAGACGTGCATTTTATCAGATAGCTGTCTACCTTTTTTGTTTGATGCTGCTAATATAGGTCTCATTGGTTACCCCCATAGGCAGCACATTTCAATCAACATATGGTATTTTTCTCAACCCTGTCAGTATAATTTGTCTGAGTGGGATATCCATGAATCTCTAACTGTGATACTGGCACAAATCCGGACAAGTACAAGTCACCACATACACACATGCATGCATGTCACTATGTATGTGAAGTAATCATGGAGCGTGACCTTAAACCCCATTTCACCTCACCTCACCTCACCTCACCTCACCTCACCTCACTGCACCTCACTGAACATTACCTCACCCCACCTCACCTCACCTCACCTCACCTCACCTCACATCAGACTCGATTATTTACAGACCGCCATCATGTAGCTGGAATATTGCTGAGTGCTGCCTTAAACAACAAACAAACAAAAATAACCGAGTTCCTAAAAAACATATGTGGACTAGTGCAAATATCACCAGTGTATTGTTGGCGCCATCCGGTCTGCATTGTTGAATTTATTCGAATGTTACTGTGACGTAAGATCAGAATGACATCACACTGGAAATACTCCCTAGACCAAGTAATAAACAATAAACGTAAGTGCCACCATGTTCAGAGTACTCGCAGTTCTCCCAACAGTTGGGGTGGAGTCTGTTCATCATTTCGGACCAGTTTTCTGGACACCCATACAGAACAGTCCTTCATCACCATGTAGACAGATATGTAACCATGGTAACTGTATCCTCACAGAGTATGCAGCCCTCATTAAGGAGAAGAACAAGGCCATCGACCGGCTGGAGACTGAAGCGGAGAAACAGCAGGAAGGTAATGTCTGCCCCACAGTTAACTCTGCAGGCTGTCAGGTGGTACCTTCTGTCACAGGTCTCCTTTGGTGAAGCTTTGGATTCATGACCCGCAAAGATCCGGGTGAGAGTAGGCCTTCAGCAACCCATGCTTGCTGTAAAAGGCGACTAACAGGATCGGGTGTTCAGGCTCACTGACCTGGTTGATGCATGTCGTCAGATCCCAATTGCATGGATCAATGCTCATGATGTCAATCACTGGATTGTGTGGTCCACACTCGATGATTTACAGACCTTTGTCATATAGTTGTAATTTTGAAGCAGGATTGTGCAGTGTTAAACAAAAAACAAATAATTCACAGGTTGAAAATATGATTTTCTTTATATTATATTTTGGCCATGTCCCAAAATTGTGTGTCAGAGGTTTCCTTTTTACGTTCTGAGTGATGCTCCACGACATGCCCCGCGACATGCTCCGTGACATGCCCCGTGACATGCCCCGCGACATGCTCCGTGACATGCTCCGCGACATGCTCCGTGACATGCTCCGCGACATGCTCCGTGACATGCTCCGCGACATGCTCCGTGACATGCCCCGTGACATGCTCCGTGACATGCTCCGCGACATGCTCCGCGACATGCTCCGTGACATGCTCCACGACATGCTCCGTGACATGCTCCGCGACATGCTCTGCGACATGCTCCGTGACATGCTCCAGGACATGCTCCAGGACATGCTCCAGGACATGCTCCACGACATGCTCCGCGACATGCTCCGCAACATGCTCCATGACATGTTCCGTGACATGCTTTGTGACATGCTCCGCGACATGCTCCGTGACATGCTCCGCGACATGCTCCAGGACATGCTCCAGGACATGCTCCAGGACATGCTCCGTGACATGCTCTGTGACATGCTCCGCAACATGCTCCATGACATGTTCCGTGACATGCTTTGTGACATGCTCCGTGACATGCTCCGCGACATGCAAGGGACATGTTTCAAATTCAGCATCAGGGAAACACAGTGGTTTAGTCAGAGCTAAGAATTAAGATAAGCCATTAGTAGGACACTTAGTATTATTGTGCATAACTACCCAATGTAACCTGCAGACACATGTGTCTTTAGGATCTTTTTCTCGTCGTTTATGGACTCGACGGCAGAGAATAATTCAAAGATGTGCAACATCCTGCTTGCTGTAACTTAGATATGTACAGGTATCACTGTTATGAGGTTCTGAGACATATGACTCACTCAAGGCAGCATACAAACACATGCTAATTAGACATGATTAGAAGTTACCTGAAACAGCATAAAGTAGAATTATTTTCAAAAAGTCTACTCATTGGTTTGCAAAACCCAATAGACTCGACCCAAGAGAGTGAAAATATATTGAACACCCACTGAAAGCTATCAATACCCAATGGTTGAAAACAATGTCTGGAGCCCTTTTGTCTTTGCATTATCTGACTTACCTCCCCTGCCAATATGCTGCGTTCAGTGTCATGTGTTACCCTGTCCTTGCATCTTCATCTATATTTCTCCTGTGACAGTGACCAATCAGAAGCTAGATGAGCAGAGCCAGGAACTTAAGGCCAAGTTTGCTGAGTTTGTTGAGGCCCACAAAAAGGAGCTGGCCGAGAAAGACGAGGTCAGTGTGGAGTTATCTCCCCTTGTGATGGCCACACGTCAACATTGTCTCTCGTATCTTAGTGAGATTGTAACAAAACAATAAAGTGTTTCCCCAGACATTATTCAGGCAAACTGTAATTGGGAAATTCTTTCGAATAAATTACAGAATGCATTTATTCTTCTCGTTATGGTATAACCATTGAGAGTGTTTGCAATAAGACATTTCTTATCATAGAATATTTTCACAACTGATTTATGCTGTATGTAACCATGGTAATCTTTAATTAATAACACACCAAGTGTTTTTTTTTACAGGAAATGAAAGAAAAAATTAATGCCTTAAATAAGGTATGTCTAATTTAACTATTTAACGTATTTGAAAAAATCCCCCATGTTTAGACAGGATACAGGAAATAGTGCAGAATGTCATAGCCCAGATAACCCAGTTATGTTTTGTTGTAAAGTTGGTATGTCAGAAATATGGAGAATGTTGTCTGATGTTGTATGCCACATGAATTAACTGTGTGTGTTGATGGGTATTACAGAGGAACACAGAGCTGGCAGCCAACCTTAAGCAAGAGGAAGATTACAAACACCGGCTGTTTCAGCGGGAGGAAGAACAGGATGAGGTGCAAGGTCTCACCACCCAGGAACTGGCCAAAGTCAAACACATGGTAGGTGTCCAAGACTCGCCACCCAGGAACTGGCCAAAGTCAAACACATGGAAGGTGTCCGAGACTCACCACCCAGGAACTGGCCAAAGTCAAACACATGGTAGGTGTCCGAGACTCACCACCCAGGAACTGGCCAAACTCAAACACATGGCATGTGTCAAAAACTCGCCACTCAGGAACTGGCCAAAGTCAAACACATGGTAGGTGTCTGTGACTCACTGTCTAGGAACTGGCCGAAGTCAAAGACATGGTAGGTGTCCAAGACTCGCCACCCAGGAACTGGCCAAAGTCAAACACATTGAAGGTGTCTGAAACTCGCCACCCAGGAACTGGCCAAAGTCAAACACATGGTAGGTGTCCAAAACTCGTCACCCAGGAACTGGCCAAAGTCAAACACATGGTAGGTGTCCAAAACTTTTACCTATGATCTGTCAATATGTTTTTGTATATGTTTGAAAGCTGAATGTGCTCTGTATTAAGACGGATGACGTGTTGTGTATTTGAACATATGACTTGTTGTTCTGAGAACAGATAGTGAGCTTTTGATGTTGCAGCTGCTGATCACGCAGGAGGATTTGTCCCAGTGTCGAGGCGAACTGACGTCAATCACAGACAAACATCGAGAAACGGAGAAATCTCTCAATGAAGCTCAGAATCAACTCACAAACCTTAAAACTAAAATGGAGGATCTGGAGAAAGAGAAGTGAGTTGTTGCCTGCTTCTCCATGGCTCATCACCTTGAGTTTTCAGTGTATGATGTCTCCATTCTATTTTGATGAACACCCTAGATCCATTTGGCACCATAGCTTCGTCTTGGGACGTCATCATCTCCTTCTCGAACCTGAACTTGAAACGAACAACCAGTCAAGCTCTTCTTACATTTTGTTAAAGCAGAAGACTTCATGCATGATCGTTTAGGTGCAAAATATGTTCTCCTTGTGGGGGATTTTGAAACCTTTTATCAACAAATGTTTATTTTTTCACAAATATCCTGATATTATTGTGTCCTTGATGTCTTTTGCAATGTGGGGGGAGTTCAACTCTGATGTTGTCTGCTTTGATATGGGTAGTATTGTTTGACACATACTCAGGGTAAATAACTTGCTACTTCACAGCACTTGTCCAAACAAGTATGATTAGGCATATTATTTATTGAGAGAAATTACTACATGCATTAAGGAGTTTACCGTGAATCCGTTTGTTTCCTTTCTCACTGTTTTCTGTCAATCTGCATCAGTACTCGTCTGACGGAAGTCAATGAGCAGCACATGAATGTGGTTGGTGTCATGACGACGGAGAAGGCCGTGTTTCAGAAGCGTCTGGATGAAGTGAACTCACAACTAACTGCGGTAGGTCAGTCTGTGCACGTGTGTAGCTGCAGCAGTGTATACACCATACATCTGTAGGTTTGGTGAATACATGAATATCTGTAGGGTTGGTGAATACATGAATATCTGTAGGGTTGGTGAATACATGAATATCTGTAGGTTTGGTGAATACATGAATATCTGTAGGGTTGGTGAATACATGAATATCTGTAGGGTTGGTGAATACATGAATATCTGTAGGTTTGGTGAATACATGAATATCTGTAGGGTTGGTGAATACATGAATATCTGTAGGATTGGTGAATACATGAATATCTGTAGGGTTGGTGAATACATGAATATCTGTAGGGTTGGTGAATACATGAATATCTGTAGGGTTGGTGAATACATGAATATCTGTAGGGTTGGTGAATACTTGAATATCTGTAGGGTTGGTGAATACATGTATATCTGTAGGTTTGGTGAATACATGAATATCTGTAGGGTTGGTGAATACATGAATATCTGTAGGTTTGGTGAATACATGAATATCTGTAGGGTTGGTGAATACATGAATATCTGTAGGGTTGGTGAATACATGAATATCTGTAGGTTTGGTGAATACATGAATATCTGTAGGTTTGGTGAATACATGAATATCTGTAGGGTTGGTGAATACATGAATATCTGTAGGGTTGGTGAATACATGAATATCTGTAGGGTTGGTGAATACATGAATATCTGTAGGTTTGGTGAATACATGAATATCTGTAGGTTTGGTGAATACATGAATATCTGTAGGGTTGGTGAATACATGAATATCTGTAGGTTTGGTGAATACATGAATATCTGTAGGGTTGGTGAATACATGAATATCTGTAGGTTTGGTGAATACATGAATATCTGTAGGGTTGGTGAATACATGAATATCTGTAGGGTTGGTGAATACATGAATATCTGTAGGGTTGGTGAATACATGAATATCTGTAGGGTTGGTAAATACTGCGAATGTATGTAGGGTTGGTAAATACATGAATATATGTAGGGTTGGTAAATACTGTGAATATATGTAGGGTTGGTAAATACTGTGAATATATGTAGGGTTGGTAAATACTGTGAATATATGTAGGGTTGGTAAATACTTAACTGCTTTTCCTGTCACTTGTGACTTTAATGATTTAATGACTTTGACTATCCACCTTGTTATTTCGGAACCTATTTATTACAGAAAATTAACCAGATGTCAAAACTGACTGCAGAATATTCCGAGCAGGAGAACGAGCACAAGGCTTTGCAAAGGAGCTCAGAAGTCCATAAGAACAAGGTGAGCTGGGTCTATGGAAGTTGTCTCCCTTCATTGCAAGGTGTTGTCTCCCTTCATTACAAGGTCTTGTCTCCCTTTGTTACAAGGTGTTGTCTCCCTTTGTTACAAGATGGGGCGGTCGGGTAGCCTAGTGGTTAAAGTGTTCGCTCGTCACGCCGAAGACCCGGGTTCTTCTTTTATTACAAGATGTTGTCTCCCTTTATTAGAAGGAGTTCTTCTTTGTGAACAATAGTTGACTTCTTCAGTTATCTGTTAACATATACTTAAATGCACTAAGGGCTAAAGGCAACCTCATACACAATAAAAACAATAAAATAACATACATGGTTCAGAGTGAAGCGTAACATATATGTCACAATGCCATGTCACCAGCCTATTATATATTTTTATTTTGTGTGAAAATTTATGTGAAATTTACCCATTCCATGGTATGATGTTTTTTGTGTATAGACCAGCAAGCTTATCTCTGAGAAGGATGACCACATTGAACAGCTACAGGAACGCATCAAGATGCTGGAACAGCGGTCACATGACCACACACTGTCGGGGGACGACAGGGTCAAGGCCATTGAAGTAGAGGTAGTTTTAATTTAAACATTTGTTGACAATATAATAGCCTTGACCATATGATAATCTCAACAATTAGGGGCACATGTGTCCCTGTTTCTAAGCTGCCACAAGTTGCAAAGCAGAGTTGCTCCCCTTAGTCATGCCAGAATCCGATAATCCCAGATTTGTGGTGATTATTCTTGGTTTGTATGCAGCAAACTCATATTGGGGTAAATGCCTAGCTGTAGGACCTGCATCACTTTGGGCTTGCCCCCCACACAACGCTGACATCCCATGATAGGACTGAAATACTGTTTAACTCACTGAACAATCACGTGTTGATCTCTCAGTTGTTCAGGCAACTGGATATTCCAAATTCAAAAGACCATATACAAAATTAATTTCAATTTGTTTGCAGCGTGACAGTTTGGAGCACAAGCTGACCGAGAGTCGTCAACAGCTGACCGACATCAAGTCAACGTGGAGTGACAAGATCACACATCTGGAGGAACAGGTGAGTCTTACCTGGGCATCACCACAGGTGGGAGCATCATCATCATCACTTACAACACTGATCTGGCTGTTGGAGCATCAGCACACACGTGACTAACACTCCAGAAGTATGGCAGGGAATGAGTATTTGGTGGTCACAATGCCTGCTCAGGTGGTCGGGGAAGATCAGCAGGTGCTTGTTCACTAGTCATTCTTCATACACAACAGGTGCTTGTTCACTAGTCATTCTTCATACACAACAGGTGCTTGTTCACTAGTCATTCTTCATACACAACAGGTGCTTGTTCTCTAGTACGTTCTTCATACACAACAGGTGCTTTTTCTCTAGTACGTTCTTCATACACAACAGGTGCTTGTTCTTTAGTACGTTCTTCATACACAACAGGTGCTTGGTCTCTAGTATGTTCTTCATACACAACAGGTGCTTGTTCTTTAGTACGTTCTTCATACACAACAGGTGCTTGTTCTCTAGTACGTTCTTCATACACAACAGGTGCTTGTTCTCTAGTACGTTCTTCATACACAACAGGTGCTTTTTCTCTAGTACGTTCTTCATACACAACAGGTGCTTTTTCTCTAGTATGTTCTTCATACACAACAGGTGCTTGTTCTTTAGTAAGTTCTTCATACACAACAGGTGCTTGTTCTCTAGTACGTTCTTCATACACAACAGGTGCTTGTTCTCTAGTACGTTCTTCATACACAACAGGTGCTTTTTCTCTAGTACGTTCTTCATACACAACAGGTGCTTTTTCTCTAGTATGTTCTTCATACACAACAGGTGCTTGTTCTTTAGTAAGTTCTTCATACACAACAGGTGCTTGTTCTCTAGTACGTTCTTCATACACAACAGGTGCTTGTTCTCTAGTACGTTCTTCATACACAACAGGTGCTTGTTCACTAGTCATTCTTCATACACAACAGGTGCTTGTTCTCTAGTACGTTCTTCATACACAACAGGTGCTTGTTCTCTAGTACGTTCTTCATACACAACAGGTGCTTTTTCTCTAGTACGTTCTTCATACACAACAGGTGCTTGTTCTCTAGTATGTTCTTCATACACAACAGGTGCTTGTTCTCTAGTATGTTCTTCATACACAACAGGTGCTTGTTCTTTAGTACGTTCTTCATACACAACAGGTGCTTGTTCTCTAGTACGTTCTTCATACACAACAGGTGCTTGTTCTCTAGTACGTTCTTCATACACAACAGGTGCTTGTTCTCTAGTATGTTCTTCATACACAACAGGTGCTTTTTCTCTAGTATGTTCTTCATACACAACAGGTGCTTGTTCTCTAGTACGTTCTTCATACACAACAGGTGCTTTTTCTCTAGTACGTTCTTCATACACAACAGGTGCTTGTTCTCTAGTACGTTCTTCATACACAACAGGTGCTTTTTCTCTAGTACGTTCTTCATACACAACAGGTGCTTGTTCTCTAGTACGTTCTTCATACACAACAGGTGCTTGTTCTCTAGTACGTTCTTCATACACAACAGGTGCTTGTTCTCTAGTACGTTCTTCATACACAACAGGTGCTTGTTCTCTAGTATGTTCTTCATACACAACAGGTGCTTGTTCTCTAGTACGTTCTTCATACACAACAGGTGCTTGTTCTCTAGTATGTTCTTCATACACAACAGGTGCTTGTTCTCTAGTACGTTCTTCATACACAACAGGTGCTTGTTCTCTAGTACGTTCTTCATACACAACAGGTGCTTGTTCTCTAGTACGTTCTTCATACACAACAGGTGCTTGTTCTCTAGTACGTTCTTCATACACAACAGGTGCTTGTTCTCTAGTATGTTCTTCATACACAACATGTGCTTGTTCTCTAGTATGTTCTTCATACAAAACAGGGGGCGGTCGGGTAGCCTAGTGGTTAAAGCGTTCGCTCGTCACGCCGAAAACCTGGGTTCGATTCCAGACATGGGTACAATGTGTGAAGCCCATTTCTGGTGTCCCTCGCCGTGATATTGCTGGAATATTGCTAAAAGCGGCGTAAAACCATACTCACTCACTCACTCACTCATACAAAACACGTGCTTGTTCACTGGTAAGAGTTTCATGCAATACAGGTGATTGGTCATTAACATGTGTTTGGAAACATGTGTTAGGTGTCACAGGGAATAGATTATTCTCCAGTGCTGTATTTCACCCAGGGGAGGTAACTAACAACTCACTTGTCCTATTATGATGTGACAAATATTTCACTGAATACTACATGTACTAGTTGGCCAATAACACTGGTAGCCATGGTAATTGATGGATGTCAGTCCAAGTCCAGCTTGCATGTGTCCCTGTGTGTGTTGCAGTAGTCTCACGTGTAGCATGTGCTGACAGTCCTCCACGTCCAACACTCCCCCCTCACCCTCCACGACATCCAGCTCCCATCTCAGCTACTCCAGAGATGTTGGTTAAAGTTCATCACCAGTCCTGATGATAACTTATATTTTGTACATTCAGATGTCACCCTAATCTCACCTTCAGAAGGTTTTCGTCTGAACGCTTTTGATTAAACATTTTAATTATTAAAGATAACGAACAATAAAAAATTCTTTGAACTTAAACAGTTTATTTCATTGTATCAGTATGATATTGTAATTGTACTTCCATGGTTCAATGATTGTTGTGAGGAGTGGTGCTGACAGGGGACTTGGAGGTGGCAGCTGCAGTTTAGCATTTTTCACCAGCTTTGTTAGTCCGCTTACATCATTTGTTGTTTGCTTATCTCCTTCATAATAAGTTAACCCCAAATGCTTTTTAACTTTGAATAACACCATTGTCATTTTGTTGTCTTCACCTTAAAAAAGCAGCATGATCAGTGTGAGTTTGTTTTCTTATAACAAGTAGTTGTGTTACAAGTAACATGCTGTATTTCTGTTTGCATTTAGTTGTGTGACATGCAGTATTTCTGTTTGCATATAGTTGTGTGACATGTAGTATTTCTGTTTGCATATAGTTGTGTGAATATAACTGCAGTTTGATGATTTTCCACTTTGTTGACATTCCTACGTAACACAGTTCACTGTCCTAGCACTAGCGAGGTTGTATGTTTCAGCATGATGTAACAACTTGTTTTGTTTTAAACATTTACGATTTTTGTTAAACTGCTAATAACTTGCATGACCCATCAATACGATCATTGTATCAAGTCCCTGTTCAACACCAGGTTGTCTGATTGCATAGTTGGTGTTCAACACGGGGTGGTCTCCTTGCACAATAGCGAGATGGTCTGCATCATTGCCATGTTTGGAACCAGGTGGGGGGATGGTCTGTTATGGCTGTAGTCGACACCAGGTGATCTGATTGTATAATGGCTATGTTGAACACCAGGTGGTGAGTTGGCTCTATCATTGCCATGTTTGACACCAGGTGGTGGGATGGTCTGTTATGGCTGTATTTGACACCAGGTGGTCTGATTGTATAATGGCTATGTTGAACACCAGGTGGTGAGTTGGCTCTATCATTGCCATCTTTGACACCAGGTGGTGGGATGGTCTGTTATGGCTGTAGTTGACACCAGGTGGTCTGATTGTGTAATGGCTATGTTGAACACCTGGTGGTGAGTTGGCTCTACATGGCCATGTTTGACACCAGGTGGTGGGATGGTCTGTTATGGCTGTATTGAAACCAGGTGATCTGATTGTATAATGGCTATGTTGAACACCTGGTGGTGAGTTGGCTCTATCATTGCCATGTTTGGAAACAGGTGGTGGGATGGTCTGTTATGGCTGTAGCTGACACCAGGTGGTCTGATTGTATAATGGCTATGTTGAACACCAGGTGGTGAGTTGGCTCTATCATGGCCATGTTTGACACCAGGTGAAGGGATGGTCTGTTATGGCTGTATTTGACACCAGGTGGTCTGATTGTGTAACGGCTATGTTGAACACCAGGTGGTGAGTTGGCTCTATCATTGCCATCTTTGACACCAGGTGGTGGGATGGTCTGTTATGGCTGTATTTGACACCAGGTGGTCTGATTGTATAATGGCTATGTTGAACACCTGGTGGTGAGTTGGCTCTATCATGGCCATGTTTGACACCAGGTGGTGGGATGGTCTGTTATGGCTGTATTTGACACCAGGTGGTCTGATTGTATAATGGCTATGTTGAACACCTGGTGGTGAGTTGGCTCTGTCATTGCCATGTTTGACACCAGGTGGTGGGATGGTCTGTTATGGCTGTAGTTGACACCAGGTGGTCTGATTGTGTAATGGCTATGTTGAACACCTGGTGGTGAGTTGGCTCTACATGGCCATGTTTGACACCAGGTGGTTAGATGTCCAAGGTTATTGGACATGCCAGGGGTTTATCTTGACCATCTTGGAGGCCGATATTTGACACAAGTGTCACTTACGTTCCAAAATTAGAATTAAGCAAGTCATGCTACTAAAGTTCCAGCTTGTATTTTGGCTTTGTAGAGGAGACTTGTATTTCACTGTCAACAGGACCAGTATAGGGGAAGAGGCTTCATTAGCTTAACATCATTGCATTGAATGCAATGTTAAAATACCTGCAGTCCAGGATAATGAGAGCTTGTAAAAAACAACTTGTTTTGTTTTAAACATTTACGATTTTTGTTAAACTGCTAATAACTTGCATGACCCATCAATACGATCATTGTAACAAGTCCCTGTTCAACACCAGGTTGTCTGATTGCATAATGGGTGTTCAACACCGGTTGGTCTGATTGCATAGTTGGTGTTCAACACCGGGTGGTTTCCTTGCACAATATCGAGGTGGTCTGCATCATTGCCATGTTTGACACCAGGTGGTGGGATGGTCTGTCATGACTGTTTGACACCAGGTGATAGCAGCAAAACACCAGGTGGTGAGTTGGCTCTATCATGGCCATGTTTGACACCAGGTGGTTGGATGGTCTGGCATGGCTGTAGTTGACACCAGGTGGTCTGATTGTGTAACGGCTATGTTGAACACCAGGCGGTGAGTTGGCTCTATCATGGCCATGTTTGACACCAGGTGGTGGGATGGTCTGTTATGGCTGTATTTGACACCAGGTGGTCTGATTGTATAATGGCTATGTTGAACACCAGGTGGTGAGTTGGCTCTGTCATGGCCATGTTTGACACCAGGTGGTGGGATGGTCTGTTATGGCTGTATTTGACACCAGGTGGTCTGATTGTATAATGGCTATGTTGAACACCAGGTGGTGAGTTGGCTCTGTCATGGCCATGTTTGACACCAGGTGGTGGGATGGTCTGTTATGGCTGTATTTGACACCAGGTGGTCTGATTGTATAATAGCTATATTGAACACCTGGTGGTGAGTTGGCTCTATCATTGCCATTATTGACACCAGGTGGTGGGATGGCCTGTTATGGCTGTATTTGACACCAGGTGGTCTGATTGTGTAACGGCTATGTTAAACACCTGGTGGTGAGTTGGCTCTATCATGGCCATGTTTGACACCAGGTGGTTAGATGTCCAAGGTTATTGGACATGCCAGGGGTTTATCTGGACCTTCTTGGAGGCCGATATTTGACACAAGTGTCACTTACATTCCCAAATTAGAATTAAGCAAGTCATGCTACTAAAGTTCCAGCTTGTATTTTGGCTTTGTAGAGGGGATTTGTATTTCACTGTCAACAGGACCAGTATAGGGGAAGATGCTTCAGTAGTTTAACATTATTGCATTGAATCCAATGTTAAAATTCAATGTTAAAATACCTGCAGTCCAGGATAATGAGAACTTGTAAAAAATCCAAATTTTTAATAAAATGACAATTTTCCCGATTTGCCTGCCAAGGGGACTCAGTTTGAAATCCTGATCTACTACCTAAGATACAGCTACAGCTCCCTGCAAATGTGTGTTGTCTGTTTGTTTGTTGTTTAACACTGAACTCTGGACCAAACAATCCAGTGATTGACATCATGAGCATCGATCTACACAATGGGATACCATGACATGCATCAACCAAGTAAGCGAGTCTGACCACCTGTTCCTATTAGTCGCCCCTTATGGCAAGCATTGTCACCGGTTACGGCAAGTATGGTTTGCTGAAGACTTATTCTACCCCGGATCTTCACTGGAGCTGCAAGTGTGTAAACTGTAGAGCTCATTGACTGTCATGTAAGAACATTGTGGTATCGCCTGCCTGCACTATGCTGCATTAGAGATTGGGAGGACTAGTGGTCAAAGCTGCCTACATTCATGGCGCAGAGTTGTGTCCCTTAGCTGTGCCAGAATCGGATGATCATGGGTTTGAATCCAGATCTGCTGAGATTATGAGCCTTGGTTTGTCAGCTTCGAACCTTTGCCTGAGGGGGTCACCAGTGTGATAAATGTCAAAGAGTAAGCTCACACACCAGGATAGGTATGAAGAACAGTTCAAAGCAACTTTTAGCCCAATTCAGTCACTCATTTTGGGCTTTTCTCCCACATTAAGTTGATGCAATGTATAATAACTCAAATACTTCCAAAAGCCGTTAAACCAAACTCCATCCTTGTGGTACAACTGCAATGTTAACATTAAACTACAGTGTTAGAACTATAGCTTAATGTTGGTTTAAACCCTCACTTGTGAGGGTATGTCAAGTGAGGGTATGTTTCTGCTGTCGACTTCCGGTATGAGACTGTGAACTGTGTTATGTCCTGCTCTGTTATCTGCTGTCACACCACACTCCACAAGCTGACCACATGCTCACTGATTGCTGTAAACATCTGCTGTTCAACATTAACAGGAATCAGTCAGCAAATTATCGCTGTTTATTGAGCCCTCTCTTTTGTCTTGAAAGACAACAAAATACATATTTTACGTAAATATGATAGAAAGGATCGTTGAATACTCAACAGAAATATATATTTTTGATTTACCATATGCAGTTTTGGGTAAAAAACAGTTGCTCCCAGTCTTGGCTTTTAGCATCATTGCTGTATATTTTAGTGTTTTTGCATGGTCCAAACAAAATTTTATGAGACTCAGGCTTAGGACTAGTAGTTACAGATGCAGACAGTTGATGGACATTTTATGCCCTTGATATAATGGATCAGTGTTAGTATTCCCACCTGGCTACATCCATATTCCTGGTGTCCCCCGCCGTGATACTGCTGGAATATTGCTAAAAGCGGCGTAAAACCAAACTCACTCACTCACTCCATATAATTCTGTATTGTAATCAAGAACTTTACAAGAATCAGTGAACAATTCTTGGGCCTTTATAAAGTTGCTGTCACTTGACGTAAGGAGAAGTGTCACTGTACAGTTTGGGTCTGGACAAGCTGAGCATTAAATGAGCATTAAATGTCGATCATGTTCTGGGAGTAGTTAGGCTTTCAAATTGAAATGAAAACATCAATAATAAAACAGTATTAATTTTGTCAAATCCCGTGAGTGTGGTCACTTTGTGTGTAGTGTTTTCTTTCCCAATTACCCTGTTTGATCTTTGTCCACTGTTTCCACAAACTTGTATATAATGCAGGAATAATTAACATGATACAAAACATTAAATTATATTATGTCACGTTTTGAATCATGTTGAGAAATACAAATTCCAAGATTGCAGCCTGTTTGGTTCCTGGCAGTTCCTGTCACTGAGCAAGGTGTCTGTGAGGAAAGTAGTCCCAGTCACAAGATTCCACATTTATACAAGTTTGTGGTGATTAGTGTCAAACACAGCCTCTTGTATCTGGAAACTGTGCACGACTGACGTTCATTTCAGATTTCTCACCTCAACGTTAAAATAGTTGAGGATAATGAGGAGATGGCCAATCTACAACATGACTGTGAAAACATGCAAGAAAACTTTCATAAACAGGTTTGTCCCCAAACCTAATGTGTTTGGAAACAATGTTTGGTTAGATTTGTAGCATGGAGGTTTGTATATGTTGTAGATCCTGTAGTGTCATGTGCTGGTATGAATGGCCAACACCTCCCAGAGGTGCCTGATATCGTACCATTACTCATAGACCCTGCTCATGTTATTGATGATGTGTGCACTGGCAATGTCATATGGTATTTCAGATGTGTTTGCTGCCTGGTGTGGTTCCTGGTCTCACTGAGAACTTTGCCACTGTTCCCAGAACCATAAACACTGTTACATTGTTACAATGTAGGAATATCTGAGCTGATAACAGTAAAACTCCCCTTCAAGCTATTGCCTCTGTTACATTGTTACAATGTAGGAATACCTGGCCTATTAACGGTAAAACTCCCCTTCAAGCATTGCCTCTGTTACATTGTTACAATGTAGGAATATCTGAGCTGATAACAGTAAAACTCCCCTTCAAGCATTGCCTCTGTTACATTGTTACAATGTAGGAATATCTGAGCTGATAATATTAAAACTCCCTCACAAGCATTGCCTCTGTAACATTGTTACAATATGGGAATATCACTGCTGATAACAGCAAAACTCCAGTCTGTGAAATACATGCAGGTGTTCCCTGTCTGTGAGATGTATGCTGGTGCCCCCTGTCTGTGAGATGCATGCAGGTGCTCCCTGTCTGTGAGATGTATGCAGGTGCTCCCTGTCTGTGAGATGTATGCAGGTGCCCCCTGTCTGTGAGATGCATGCAGGTGTTGTCATGTGGTGCCCCCTGTCTGTGAGATGCTTGCAGGTGCACCCTGTCTGTGAGATGCTTGCAGGTGCCCCCTGTCTGTGAGATGCATGCAGGTGCCCCCTGTCTGTGAGATGCATGCAGGTGCACCCTGTCTGTGAGATGCATGCAGGTGCCCCCTGTCTGTGAGATGTATGCAGGTGCCCCCTGTCTGTGAGATGCATGCAGGTGCTCCCTGTCTGTGAGATGTATGCAGGTGCTCCCTGTCTGTGAGATGTATGCAGGTGCCCCCCTCTCTGTGAGATGTATGCAGGTGTTGTCATGTGGTGCCCCCTGTCTGTGAGATGCTTGCAGGTGCACCCTGTCTGTGAGATGCTTGCAGGTGCCCCCTGTCTGTGAGATGCATGCAGGTGCCCCCTGTCTGTGAGATGCATGCAGGTGCACCCTGTCTGTGAGATGCATGCAGGTGCACCCTGTCTGTGAGATGTATGCAGGTGCCCCCTGTCTGTGAGATGCATGCAGGTGCCCCTGTCTGTGAGATGCATGCATGTGATGTCATGTGGTGCCCCCTGTCTGTGAGATGCATGCAGGTGCCCCTGTCTGTGAGATGCATGCAGGTGCCCCCGGTCTGTGAGATGCATGCAGGTGCCCCTGTGTGTGAGATGCATGCAGGTACCCCCGTCTGTGAGATGCATGCAGATGCATACAAACCCTGAAGTCATACCCTCCATCTGTCCCTGCCTTCAGATAGAGGAGCTGCAACACAGTGTGGAGGATGCAGAGAAGCGGGCCTTTGAGAGCTGGGAGCTGGCCAGTCAGAAGGACAGGCAGTACGAGAAGCAGGTGGGCCTGGTACTCTGTATTTCTATCTACTGACAGTGTTCTACTTTGTTCTCCTGACACTGTGCCTAATACTGTATTCTGTCTACTGACTCTACTGTATTTCATTGTTCTTCTAACACTACAGTCTACTGATGCTGTGCCTGCTGACAGTGTCTACTGTCTACTGACACTGTATTTCTTTGTTTCTCTTTTCTATACTCTACTGACATTGCCTTCACTCTTCTCACACTGTTCACCGTCTACTCACACTGTCTACTCGTTGTTAAGCCCCGGTATGTAATACGGGGACATATAGTTATCAGCTTGTCTGTCCGTCCATAATAAAAAAAATTGTCATATCTCTAAAACTAGTACCGGTAGGTATTCTTTCATGAACTCTGCACACACAAAGACTAGGTTGTCAACTGGTGCCTTTTGCTATTTAGGGATTTATTAAATTTTATTTTTTCTGTTTTCATGCCAACACGTTTGACTTTGACTCTGACATAGCAAAATAAGATCCGAATCCCAATTCCATGTTATTGTTTTGATAGCTCAATAACTACTCTTGCATATGGATTAATAGAAATTTTCTAATCAAGTTGGACTTACTATAACAGTCAGATGATTTGTTCTTTCGAATCTGTGGGGGACAGATTTGTCATCTTCTACTGACTCTTGTTTGCTAACCCTGGGTACAGTCTAACAATTTCTACTCGCTGTCTCCAGAAGCATGAGCTTGAGGTGGAGCTCCAGAAGGCAAGGCTGAATGCAATTGACAGCGAGTCCGGACTCCGGGCCAAGATCACCGCCCTGGAGACCCAGCTGATGGAGATGGAGACAGCCAGAGACCATATGAAGAATGAAGCTGACCAGAAAATAGTTAGTTCAAAGACATCGGGGTCATGATAGGATGCAGAGAGTTACACTGAACTAAGCCAAAGTTTATCTTATCCTGAAGGAGTGCGAAACTAACTGTTGTTAACTGTCATATGTTGTTTAGCACCGTGGCTGTACTTTCTTATATGTTTTTTTGTAAGGATGCTGAGATGAGTCAGGTGACACATTTGATGAGTGACGTGTGGTGATGAGTGACATGTGGGGATGAGTGACGTGTGGTGATGAGTGACATATGGTGATGAGTGACATGTGATGATGAGTGACATGTGGTGATGAGTGACATGTGGGGATGAGTGACGTGTGGTGATGAGTGACATGTGGGGATGAGTGACGTGTGGTGATGAGTGACATATGGTGATGAGTGACATGTGATGATGAGTGACATGTGGTGATGAGTGACATGTGGCGATGAGTGACGTGTGGTGATGAGTGACACATGGTGATGAGTGACATGTGGTGATGAGTGACATGTGGTGATAAGTGACGTGTGGTGATGAGTGACATCTGGTGATGAGTGACATGTGGTGATAAACGACGTGTGGTGATGAGTGACATTTGGTGATGAGTGACATATGGTGATGAGTGACGTGTGGTGATGAGTGACACGTGATGATGACTGACGTGTGGTGATGAGTGACATGTGATGAGTGACATGTGGTGATGAGTGACATATGGTGATGAGTGACGTGTGGTGATGAGTGACACGTGATGATGACTGACGTGTGGTGATGAGTGACATGTGATGAGTGACATCTGGTGATGAGTGACATGTGGTGATAAACGACGTGTTGTGATGAGTGACATTTGGTGATGAGTGACATATGGTGATGAGTGACGTGTGGTGATGAGTGACACGTGATGATGACTGACGTGTGGTGATGAGTGACATGTGATGAGTGACATGTGGTGATGATTGACATATGGTGATGGGTGACACATGATGAGTGACATATGGTGATGAGTGACGTGTGGTGATGAGTGACACGTGATGATGACTGACGTGTGGTGATGAGTGACATGTGATGAGTGACATGTGGTGATGAGTGACGTGTGGTGATGAGTGACGTGTTGTGATGAATGACGTGGTGATGAGTGACGTGTGGTGATGAGAGACATTTGGTGATGAGTGACGTGTGGTGATGAGTGACATTTGGTGATGAATGACATATGGTCTGTCTGTGTGTCAGGCTCAGCTGGAGGCGAGGGAGCAGGAGGTTCTGGAGGAACACATGAAGCTGGAGAAGCAGCTGAAGACACTGGAGGTGGACCACAGCAGGATACAGGTGAGGAGGTTTGGATATCAACATCCAATCCAACAGCTCAGTTTAACAAAATAAACTGAAGACAAATGATAGATTACATCAAGTGAAATATTTTAGATGTCCAAATATTGACAAGGACTAATTCCTTGTCTGTCATTGGGTGGGAAATAGGAGTAACACATTGACATTCTGCTTCCAGACGGAGTACGCCGACAAGATGGAGGAGAGTTCAAGGCTGCAGACATCCATGGAGGACAAACGTCAGAGTGAGACCACGCTCCTGGAGAAGGTGGGTGTTGACTCAACGTCATGAGTTCTTTAACCATGTTATATCCCTAAACATGAGTCAGTGATTGTGGATTTATGCCTCTATAAGCAATACTCCAGCCAGGGAGGGCACAAGTAACAGTCATCACATATTGTACCCATGTGTGACGAGCCAGTGTTCCCGTTTACCGGTAATTTACTGGTAAATTACGGCTTGGACTGGTAATTCTTGTGACTCCCAGTCCCTGTGGACTGGCAAATAAGGTACCCAGGTATCTTGTAAATCTTTGTTGTTGAACAAAACATCGTTGATAGTCAAAAATTTATACTTTTCGAACAAAGTCAGCTTTTCTGTTATCATCAGGGTTTCCCGTTATCTATTTTTAGTGCAAGGAAACAATATTTGGCTTTGTGTCTGGGTTAAGTATTTATTTGTAGTGACCCAGTCGTGAATCAAAGTGAAATGTTAAGGAAAAAGGGAGAAAACAGCGATTGAACTTTGTGTGAATAATATGTAAATCTAAATAAGTTACTTCAGAAGGGACTTCACTGAATTTGTCATCCATGAAAGTACATTGCTTTGAAATTGAAGTTGAAAGAATTAAAACCAGGGAAATTTCATACAATTTTGTATTTGTTCAAAGTTAGGACTGACAAATATTGGGTGGGACTGGTAATGTTTAGACTTAGCAGGAATGCATAGGTCACCACACACTGTCCTGGCAAAGCTTGAGTGATGTCTTCTGTGAGCAGGTGTCTGGTCTGGAGGTGGAGGTGCAGTCAGTGACGGAAACACTGGAGAACCTGAAGAGGAACCTCAAGTCAGGGCAGGCAGAACTGAAGGAGAGTAATAAGGGTAGGTGATACCATCCCTCATGGATGTCTCTCATGGATGTCTCTCATAGATATATCATGGATATATCATGGATATCTCTCATGGATATCTCTCATGAATATCTCTCATGGATATCTCTCATGGATATCTCTCATGAATATCTCTCATGTATATCTCATGAATATCGCTCATGGATATCAGACATGCATATCTCTCATGTATATCTCATGGATATCTCTCATGGATATCTCTCATGTATATCTCATGGATATCTCTCATGCATATATCTAATAGATATCTCTAGAGACCTTAATCTATCAAGACTATATATCATGGATATCTATTATAATAATATGATCCCTACAAACATATAGAGTAAGTCAACCACTAAATTGACTTTACATACATATAGAGAAGGTCTCCCACTAAGATGACTTTACATACATATAGAGTAGATCTCCCACTAAGATGACTTTACATACATAGAGTAGATCACCCACTAAGATGACTTTACATACATATAGAGAAGGTCTCCACTAAGATGACTTTACACATATAGAGTAGATCTCCCACTAAGATGACTTTACATACATATAGAGAAGGTCTCCACTAAGATGACTTTACACATATAGAGTAGATCTCCCACTAAGATGACTTTACATACATATAGAGTAGATCACCCACTAAGATGACTTTACATACATATAGAGAAGGTCTCCACTAAGATGACTTTACACATATAGAGTAGATCTCCCACTAAGATGACTTTACATACATATAGAGTAGATCACCCACTAAGATGACTTTACATACATATAGAGAAGGTCTCCACTAAGATGACTTTACATACATATAGAGTAGATCTCCCACTAAGATGACTTTACATACATATAGAGAAGGTCTCCACTAAGATGACTTTACATACATATGGAGAAGGTCTCCACTAAGATGACTTTACATACATATAGAGTAGATCTCCCACTAAGATGACTTTACATACATATAGAGAAGGTCTCCACTAAGATGACTTTACATACATATAGAGAAGGTCTCCACTAAGATGACTTTACATACATATAGAGAAGGTCTCCACTAAGATGACTTTACATACATATAGAGTAGATCTCCCACTAAGATGACTTTACATACATATAGAGAAGGTCTCCACTAAGATGACTTTACATACATATGGAGAAGGTCTCCACTAAGATGACTTTACACATATAGAGTAGATCTCCCACTAAGATGACTTTACATACATATAAAGAAGGTCTCCACTAAGATGACTTTACATATATATAGAGAAGGTATCCCACTAAGATGACTTTACATACATATAGAGAAGGTCTCCACTAAGATGACTTTACATACATATGGAGAAGGTCTCCACTAAGATGACTTTACACATATAGAGTAGATCTTCCACTAAGATGACTTTACATACATATAGAGAGAAGGTCTCCACTAAGATGACTTTACATACATATAGAGAATGTCTCCCACTAAGATGACTTTACATACATATAGAGAAGGTCTCCACTAAGATGACTTTACATACATATAGAGAAGGTCTCCAATAAGATGACTTTACACATATAGAGTAGATCTCCCACTAAGATGACTTTACATACATATAGAGAAGGTCTCCACTAAGATGACTTTACATACATATAGAGAAGGTCTCCCACTAAGATGACTTTACATACATATAGAGAAGGTCTCCACTAAGATGACTTTACATACATATAGAGAAGGTCTCCAATAAGATGACTTTACACATATAGAGTAGATCTCCCACTAAGATGACTTTACATACATATAGAGAAGGTCTCCACTAAGATGACTTTACATACATATAGAGTAGATCGACCACTAGGATGACTTTCCATACATATAGAGAAGGTCTCCACTAAGATGACTTTACATACATATGGAGAAGGTCTCCACTAAGATGACTTTACATACATATAGAGAAGGTCTCCACTAAGATGACTTTACATACATATAGAGAAGGTCTCCACTAAGATGACTTTACACATATAGAGTAGATCTCCCACTAAGATGACTTTACATACATATAGAGTAGATCAACCACTAAATTGACTTTACATACATATAGAGTAGATCGACCACTAGGATGACTTTACATACATATAGAGAAGGTCTCCACTAAGATGACTTTACATACATATAGAGTAGATCGACCACTAGGATGACTTTCCATACATATAGAGTAGATCGACCACTAGGATGACTTTCCATACATATAGAGTAGATCGACCACTAGGATGACTTTACATACATATAGAGTAGATCGACCACTAGGATGACTTTCCATACATATAGAGTAGATCGACCACTAGGATGACTTTACATACATATAGAGTAGATCGACCACTAGGATGACTTTACATACATATAGAGTAGATCGACCACTAGGATGACTTTCCATACATATAGAGTAGATCGACCACTAGGATGACTTTACATACATATAGAGTAGATCGACCACTAGGATGACTTTACATACATATAGAGTAGATCGACCACTAGGATGACTTTCCATACATATAGAGTAGATCGACCACTAGGATGACTTTACATACATATAGAGTAGATCGACCACTAGGATGACTTTCCATACATATAGAGTAGATCGACCACTAGGATGACTTTACATACATATAGAGTAGATCGACCACTAGGATGACTTTACATACATATAGAGTAGATCAACCACTAGGATGACTTTACATACATATAGAGAAGGTCTCCACTAAGATGACTTTACATACATATAGAGTAGATCGACCACTAGGATGACTTTCCATACATATAGAGTAGATCGACCACTAGGATGACTTTCCATACATATAGAGTAGATCGACCACTAGGATGACTTTACATACATATAGAGTAGATCGACCACTAGGATGACTTTCCATACATATAGAGTAGATCGACCACTAGGATGACTTTACATACATATAGAGTAGATCGACCACTAGGATGACTTTACATACATATAGAGTAGATCGACCACTAGGATGACTTTCCATACATATAGAGTAGATCGACCACTAGGATGACTTTACATACATATAGAGTAGATCGACCACTAGGATGACTTTACATACATATAGAGTAGATCGACCACTAGGATGACTTTCCATACATATAGAGTAGATCGACCACTAGGATGACTTTACATACATATAGAGTAGATCGACCACTAGGATGACTTTACATACATATAGAGTAGATCGACCACTAGGATGACTTTCCATACATATAGAGTAGATCGACCACTAGGATGACTTTACATACATATAGAGTAGATCGACCACTAGGATGACTTTACATACATATAGAGTAGATCGACCACTAGGATGACTTTACATACATATAGAGTAGATCGACCACTAGGATGACTTTACATACATATAGAGTAGATCGACCACTAGGATGACTTTACATACATATAGAGTAGATCGACCACTAGGATGACTTTCCATACATATAGAGAAGGTCTCCACTAAGATGACTTTACACATATAGAGTAGATCTCCCACTAAGATGACTTCACATACATGTAGAGTAGATCGACCACTAGGATGACTTTACATACATATAGAGTAGATCGACCACTAGGATGACTTTACATACATATAGAGTAGATCGACCACTAGGATGACTTTACATACATATAGAGTAGATCGACCACTAGGATGACTTTCCATACATATAGAGTAGATCGACCACTAGGATGACTTTACATACATATAGAGTAGATCGACCACTAGGATGACTTTACATACATATAGAGTAGATCGACCACTAGGATGACTTTCCATACATATAGAGTAGATCGACCACTAGGATGACTTTACATACATATAGAGTAGATCGACCACTAGGATGACTTTACATACATATAGAGTAGATCGACCACTAGGATGACTTTCCATACATATAGAGTAGATCGACCACTAGGATGACTTTACATACATATAGAGTAGATCGACCACTAGGATGACTTTACATACATATAGAGTAGATCGACCACTAGGATGACTTTCCATACATATAGAGAAGGTCTCCACTAAGATGACTTTACACATATAGAGTAGATCTCCCACTAAGATGACTTCACATACATGTAGAGTAGATCGACCACTAGGATGACTTTACATACATATAGAGTAGATCGACCACTAGGATGACTTTACATACATATAGAGTAGATCGACCACTAGGATGACTTTACATACATATAGAGTAGATCGACCACTAGGATGACTTTCCATACATATAGAGTAGATCGACCACTAGGATGACTTTACATACATATAGAGTAGATCGACCACTAGGATGACTTTACATACATATAGAGTAGATCGACCACTAGGATGACTTTCCATACATATAGAGTAGATCGACCACTAGGATGACTTTACATACATATAGAGTAGATCGACCACTAGGATGACTTTACATACATATAGAGTAGATCGACCACTAGGATGACTTTCCATACATATAGAGTAGATCGACCACTAGGATGACTTTACATACATATAGAGTAGATCGACCACTAGGATGACTTTACATACATATAGAGTAGATCGACCACTAGGATGACTTTCCATACATATAGAGTAGATCGACCACTAGGATGACTTTACATACATATAGAGTAGATCGACCACTAGGATGACTTTCCATACATATAGAGTAGATCGACCACTAGGATGACTTTCCATACATATAGAGTAGATCGACCACTAGGATGACTTTACATACATATAGAGTAGATCGACCACTAGGATGACTTTACATACATATAGAGTAGATCGACCACTAGGATGACTTTCCATACATATAGAGTAGATCGACCACTAGGATGACTTTACATACATATAGAGTAGATCGACCACTAGGATGACTTTACATACATATAGAGTAGATCGACCACTAGGATGACTTTCCATACATATAGAGAAGGTCTCCACTAAGATGACTTTACATACATATAGAGAAGGTCTCCACTAAGATGACTTTACACATATAGAGTAGATCTCCCACTAAGATGACTTCACATACATGTAGAGTAGATCGACCACTAGGATGACTTTCCATACATATAGAGTAGATCGACCACTAGGATGACTTTACATACATATAGAGTAGATCAACCACTAAATTGACTTCACATACATGTAGAGTAGATCTACCACTAGGATGACTTTCCATGTACCTGATAGTGGGAGGTGAGCTGCAGAGCGTCGGAGGTATTCATCCTTATAGACTTAGTGAAGTAAACTTCATCAGGTTTTGATCAACTTTCAGAGAAGGATGAGCTGTTGGTGCGCAACGCAGAACTATCACAACAGCTAGAAAGCAGGAGACAGCAGGCAGCTGAGAAGGAGCTCCACCTGGTGGCAGAAATCCGAGAGAAAGGGGAGACAATCACATCCTTGCAGCAGACTGTCAGTCAGCTTGAGGAGAAAGTAGCACAGTATCACAAACAGGTGTGTGTGTTCACTGTTTTGAAGGGGTATATGGATGTAGCATAGTTATTTTCCAGGCACTGAATGATGACTGTTGAGAAAATTATCCTATTTCCTCTTCTTTGGGTGGAATTAGTGTTTGGGCAGAAAAAGTGCAGATATTTGCTGTTGTTTCTGATCAGTACAAAAATACAGGTATTGCTTGTTACCTGTAAATGTTGACAAGTTTTACAGGGGCAAGAGTGTCCACTTACCATTATCAGAGGCCTAGTTGTGCCCATTCAAGCCTCAGGAGGATAGTATATTGTAGTTTGAGGACATTTGGAGGAAATTATTGTTCCCCATGTTGTATGTTTCTTTTCATTTTTCAGTGTACAGATTATGAGACAAAGAAGTCTGAAGACCAGGTCACCACGGCAACAGTGGGCGGGCTACAGACGGAGATTACCGATCTGCAGAATCAGCTCACAGACAAGAACAGGGTTAGTTGTGTGTCTTCTCTGTGTCGTTTCAAAAACAAATATACCTATGACAAATATGTATATTTTAGTTCGAATGTTTATGTAGATGTACACGGGGAGGCCAGTCATGTAAGTCACTGAAATTTTGTGTGCTGAGTTACGTCCCATGGGCACACCAGGAACCTATTACCTTGGGTTCTGGGTTAGCACCATACTCAACTCACTTACTTGCTTACTTCCTCTTCTGTTTTTTGCACCTTAAAGGCATTATTCCCTCTAAGGCTTTATTACAACACAGAGCCCGGGCTTGCACTACTTCAGTACTTGTGACCGTGTCACTCACCCCTCAAGTACCCATGGACTTGAATAGTGAGAATCTACTACATGCCCTGATTCAAGGCCATGTCTCACCTCCCCTCTGCCCTGATTCAAGGCCCTCTCTCACCTCACCTCTGCCCTAATTCAAGGCCATGTCTCACCTCACCTCTGCCCCGATTCAAGGCCCTCTCTCACCTCACCTCTGCCCTGATTCAAGGCCCTGTCTCACCTCACCTCTGCCCCGATTCAAGGCCCTCTCTCACCTCACCTCTGCCCTGATTCAAGGCCCAGTCTCACCTCACCTCTGCCCTGATTCAAGGCCCTGTCTCACCTCACCTCTGCCCTGATTCAAGACCCTGTCTCACCTCACCTCTGCCCTGATTCAAGGCCCAGTCTCACCTCACCTCTGCCCTGATTCAAGGCCCTGTCTCACCATCCCCTCTGCCCTGATTCAAGGCCCTGTCTCACCTCACCTCTGACCTGATTCAAGGCCCTGTCTCACCGTTACCTCTGCCCTGATTCAAGGCCCTGTCTCACCTCACCTCTGCCCTGATTCAAGGCCCTGTCTCACCATCCCCTCTGCCCTGATTCAAGGCCAAGTCTCACCTCATCCCTGCCCTGATTCAAGGCCCTGTCTCACCTCACCTCTGCCCTGATTCAAGGCCCTGTCTCACCTCACCTCTGCTCTGATTCAAGGCCCTGTCTCACAGTCCCCTCTGCCCTGATTCAAGGCCCTGTCTCACCTCACCTCTGCCCTGATTCAAGGCCCTGTCTCACCTCACCTCTGCCCTGATGCAAGGCCCAGTCTCACCATCCCCTTTGCCCTGATTCAAGGCCCTGTCTCACCGTCCCCTCTGCCCTGATTCAAGGCCCTGTCTCACCTCACCTCTGCCCTGATTCAAGGCCCTGTCTCACCTCACCTCTGCCCTGATTCAAGGCCCTGTCTCACCTCACCTCTGCCCTGATGCAAGGCCCAGTCTCACCTCACCTCTGCCCTGATTCAAGGCCCTGTCTCACATCCCCTCTGCCCTGATTCAAGGCCCAGTCTCACCATCCCCTCTGCCCTGATTCAAGGCCCTGTCTCACCATCCCATCTTTCCTGGTTCAAGGCCCTGTCTCACCTCCCATCTGCCCTGGTCATTTAAGATCCCAAAGATTCGGGGTAGAATAGGTCTTAAACAACCCATGCTTGCCATAAAAGGCAACTATGCTTGTTGTAAAAGGCGACAAACGGGATCGGGTGGTCAGGCTCGCACTTGGTTGATGCATGTCATCGTATCCCAATTGCGTGGATCAATGCTCATGATGTCAATCACTGAATTGTCTGGTCCAGAATAGATTATTTACAGACCGCCATCATATAGCTGGAATATTGCTGAGTACAGTGTTAAACAACAACCAACTAACCAACCATTTAAGATTCCACAATTCACTGTGATGATTTTGTTTGTTTGTTTTTTTGGTGTTTTTTTTAATATCACAATTATTTTATGGCTCGAAAACTTCCTTATTGATCATCATTCTATCTCTGTACACAGATTTTCAAGCTGTAGTTATTTCACTTTTTTATATTTCGATTTTAATTCAGTTGACATATATATGTGACATAGGTACATGAGGTATACAAGTGTAGCAGTTTATAGGATCTTCAGCAACCCATGCTTGCCCTAAGAGGCGACTGTGCTTGTCATAAGAGGCGGCTAACGGGATCGGATGGTCAGGCTCACTGACTTGGTTGATGCAAGTCTCATCATATCCCAATAGCATGGATCAATGCTCATGACATCAATCACTGGATTGTCTGGTCCAGACTTGATTATTTACAGACCGCCGTCATACAGCTGGAATATTGCTGCGTTAAACAACAAACAACACTCACTCACTCACTCACTCACTCACTCACTCACTCACTCACTCACTCACTCACTCACTCACTCACTCACTCACTCACTCACTCACTCACTCACTCACTCACTCACTCACTCACTCACTCACTCACTCACTCACTCACTCACTCACTCACTGCAGGCCCTGAAGAAGCAGGAACAGACTCTAAAGGACCTGAGGATCACCCTGCAGCGGGAACTCAAGGTCCAGGCTCTCCCGAACGACGACTCCTCCGAGCTGGTCGACTCGCACTCACCCCTGCCAAATAGAAAGTTTGACTCTAACAGACGCTTCCAAGCAGACATGTTGTTAGCTGGCTTGGGGTCAGGGTCAAGGGGTCAGAGTCACGTGCAGATGGCGGCGTCAGGGATTCTCAATGAGGATGATGCCAAGCTCCGGAGCGGGACAGTGGGGATCCGGCAGGAGCTGGACAAAGATGTCAACTTTCAGTATCTCAAACACGTCATCCTGAAGTTCATGCTGAGTCGGGAGTCTGAGGTTAGTAGCTATATACAGCAGTGACGTGGGTTCCACCAGAAATACTCAAATCTCATGGGCATTGTTTCCCATCACGGTAATATGCCTCTGATTGAAATAGCTTCACTTTAGGAAGTTTTACAGAGGACTACAGTTTAGCTTACTATATCATTTAGTGAGGGGAGGTCGTGTTAGTGACAGCAGATGTTTTTACTCACTGCTCCAAGACATACACATTATTTCAGGACATCCAGAATATTGGGTCAACAATTTTTTTTAATTTGTGAAACCTCAGGTAAAATTATTCTTTTCCAGTATTTTCTGGAACATATTATTTCACTCTTTCACTCCCCTGATTTCCTGTTTTCTTCACTCACTCCACTGATTTCCTGTTTCCCTCACTCACTTCACCGATTTCCTGTTCCACTCACTCACTTCTTCGATTTCCTGTTCCACTCACTCACTCCATCGGTGTCTTCTGTTTCACTCACTAACTCCAATGATGTCCCATTTCACTCCACCGATTTCCTGTTTCCCTCACTCACTCCACTGATTTCCTGTTTTTACTCACTCACTCCACCGATGTCCTCTGTTTCACTCACTTCATTGATGTCCTCTGTTTCACTCACTTCACCAAGGTCCTGTTTCACTCACTCCACTGATGTCCTCTGTTTCACTCACTCCACCCATGTCCCATTTCACTCACTCACTCCACCGATGTCCCCTGTTTCACTCACTCACTCCACCGATTTCCTGTTTCTCTCACTTCACCGATGTCCTCTGTTTCACTCACTCCCCTGAGGTCCTCTGTTTCACTCTCACTCCACCAATGTCCCCCTGTTTCACTCACTCCACCGATTTCCTGTTTCCCTTACTCACTCCACTCATGTCCTCTGTTTCACTCACTTAATTGATGTCCTGTTTCACTCACTTCACCAATGTCCTGTTTCACTCACTCCACCGATGTCCTCTGTTTCACTCACTCCACTGATGTCCCGTTTCACTCACTCGTCCCACCAATGTCCTGTTTCCCTCATTCACTCCACCGATTTCCTGTTTTCCTCTTACAATCCACCGATTTCCTGTTTCCCTCTTACACTCCACCGATTTCCTGTTTCCCTCACACACTCCACCGATTTCCTGTTTCCCTCTTACACTTCACCGATTTCCGGTTTCCCTCTTACACTTCACCGATTTCCTGTTTCCCTCTTACACTCCACCCATTTCCTGTTTCCCTCACACACTCCACCGATTTCCTGTTTCCCTCTTACACTCCACTGATTTCCTGTTTCCCTCTTACACTCCACCCATTTCCTGTTTCCCTCACACACTCCACCGATTTCCTGTTTCCCTCTTACACTTCACCGATTTCCTGTTTCACTCACTCCACTGATTTCCTGTTTCCCTCACACACTCCACCCATTTCCTGTTTCCCTCTTACACTCCACCCATTTCCTGTTTCCCTCACACACTCCACCGATTTCCTGTTTCCCTCTTACACTTCACCGATTTCCTGTTTCACTCACTCCACTGATTTCCTGTTTCCCTCACACACTCCACCCATTTCCTGTTTCCCTCTTACACTCCACCGATTTCCTGTTTCCCTCTTACACTCCACAGATTTCCTGTTTCCCTCTTACACTCCACTGATTTCCTGTTTCCCTCTTACACTCCACCGATTTCCTGTTTCCCTCTTACACTTCACCTATTTCCTGTTTCCCTCTTACACTCCACTGATTTCCTGTTTCCCTCTTACACTCCACCGATTTCCTGTTTCCCTCTTACACTCAACTGATTTCCTGTTTCACTCACTCACTCCACTGATGTCCCCTTTCACTCACTCCACTTATGTCCCGTTTCACTCACTTCACGGATCTCCCCTGTTTCACTCACTCCACCAATGTCCTGTTTCACTCACTGACACAACCGATGTCCTCTGTTTCACTCATTCCACCAATGTCTTCTGTTTCACTCCTACACTAAAGATCTGGGGTAGAATAGGTCTTCAGCAACCCATGCTTGCTGTAAAGGCGACTACGCTTGTTGTAAAAGACGACTAAAGTGATCGGGTGGTTAGGCTCGCTGACTTGGTTGATGCATGTCATCGTATCCCAATTGCGTGGATCAATGCTCAAGATGTCAATCACTGGATTGTCTGGTCCAGACTCGATTATTTACAGACCACCATCATATAGATGGAATATTGCTGAGTGCGGTGTTAAATACACAAGCAAACAAACTAACAAAACTCACTCCCTTCACCAATGTCCTCTGTTTTACTCACTCACTGCACTGATGTCCTCCGATTCACTCACTCATCCCACCAATGTCCTCTGTTTCACTCACTCCCTGATGTCCTCCGTTTCACTCACTCATCCCACCAATGTCCTCTGTTTCACTCACTAACTCCACTTATGTCCTCTGTTTCACTCACTCATCCCACCAATGTCCTCTGTTTCAGGCAATGAAGCTGGTGAAGGCTATCGCCATGTTGTTACACTTCAGTCGCGATGAGCAGGAACTCATCAAACAAACTCTCGAATACAAAATGTCATGGTTTGGGTCCAGGCCGTCTCTAGGCAAAGGTCAAACATCCAAGGTCATCCCTCCATCATACTGACATTTGTCAGCCTCGGTCATCTTGATTTGAACTCGCCGTCATCCTACCTAGTGACTTTGATGGGAGAAGTGGTTGTGTCATTGGGGAGAATTCATGTTCAGACATTGTTTGAAAGTATGACCGACATGATATAAATGATATTGAAGTATGACTGTCATGATATGAGTGATATTGAAGTATGACTGTCATGATATGAATGATATTGAAGTATGACCAACATGATATGAATGATATTAAAGTATGACTGGCGTGATATGAATGATATTAAAGTATGACCGGCGTGATATGAATGATATGAGAGTATGACTGATGTGACCATGACTGTGAGTCATGTCACATTATTGTTATCTACATGTGTTGGGGGATGAATGTGTAATTATATACTGTGATAAACATTATTTATTCCAGCGTTACAATTCTATAATCCATGTCTCTGCTTACTGGTGTAGGAATATTCAAATTGAGGCCAACCGTAATGTTAGTTGCATGTATTTCCTGGCCCATGTTCAGTGACTGCAAATGCATCCTCTAGACAGTTGTCTCCCTTTGTGAATAGACCAGGGCCTAGATTTTCGAAACGATCTTAGCTAAGATAAATCTTAACAACTTACGTCCAAAGATAAGATATCTTAAGGTTAAGATAAGATAGATTTTCGAAACTATCATAAACCTGTCGCAGATCGTTCAGTTACGATACCTATCGTAACTCTGACAGAGAACTCATTTGCGTTAGAGACAATAACAACAACATACATAAGTGACAGGAAATTTATGATCACATTGTCAGGTCACATTGTTTAACATGCACATATTTAAGTGAAATTCTGTACAATCCTACATGTAGACGTTTTGTTCTTATGATAAATGATGCTATGACTACCCGAACACAAATAGCATTCGTGTGCCATGCAATAGCATTTTTCAAAACCAATAAATGTTATAATCAATAAGTGTAGTGTTACCACACTTTAGCTACTAGAATTGAAATAATGTGCGAAAACATACTTCACTATTTTCCCTTTAAATGGTCCTCTCATGAGCCCTCAGAACTGTATGATATATACAAAGTCAAGGACGAAAGTAAGGGACGTTATTCTAAATGACAATGATGAGACCTTTGATCGAACTGCATATGCGTTCAGCATTTAACATGCGTGTTCAAGTCTGATGTTAAGTGATGTGTTTATGTCAAAAGTCAGTGTAAACACCAACATTATACGTGGAAACACTCAAAACAAACATTTTCAGGAAGCAGCGCACCCACAGACAAGTAATTTTTAAATTAAGTAGAGCTAATAAACTGATTTGTCTGATTTCATTTAAATCTGGCTGAGGAGCGAAATACTTTGAAATGTGTCAAATCTATTCCAGAACGTAGTTCAATGATGTTTGGCTTGTCTGACAGAATTGCTGAGGATCATTTACTAATATTTATCCGTTGACCCTATACGTTACAACAATTTTATTGTCTGAATGGTCGCATGTATATCTATATATTTTTTAAACATAAAACGGGATGATGTAGATTTAAATATTAAAATGACCAAGATATTTTTAAACCGGTTTATTGAATGCAAAGATTATTGTGTTGAACATGTGTATTTTATATTGATAAACTTTATTTCTACGAACATATATGGGAAAGTGAATTTTGGACAATGTGCAAACTATGCTACATTTTGACGAGAACCAGAACGAGCATGGTAACCCGTTTCTTATTTGATTTGTCGATACGAAAATCTGTGCTGAACTTTTGCTGTCAGAATTTCAGTAAATTGTTATATTTATGGAATACATCTATATGCCATTAATCACCTGTTTTTAAAGAATGCAATTGTTCAACAGACAGTTTTTAATCACTTTGTATCAAATATTTGTCTTTCAATAGGATATAGATAACATAGGTATTGAATTTAAAACGAAACAAATTACAATTACTTTTGCAAGAAAAATATTAAATATTGTATACAAATATTTGATCACATGTCAATAAATTCTACACTGTATAGTTCAAATTCAGTTATTAAAACCACCCGTCCCACACGATTTTAGATGTAAAAACTTATGCGAAACCTTTATGGTTTTTTTTACATATGTAGATTGATATAATTTTATAAAATGCTATATAAAATAAAGACTAAAGCATTGACACAAATGCGATCCAGAAAATAGAAAACAGCGGAACTCTGCGCTTTATGAAAACTGTAACATTGAGCAAGGTGTCCCAGGCGAATACAAAGGGAAACCACTCTCAACTAGAGTTTGAACTAAGATTAGCTCCCCCTGAGTTATCAATAAGGTCACGGTCATTACTGAAGCCTGCCGACACCTTCCGTTTTTATCCTTCCCAAATTATCGAAAAGGTATGTTGTTTCACACTTCTACAGCATGGACTCGGATAGAAATAAATTGTAAGCTATCGACTCCACAGTTATGTGGATCGCTGTTGCGATTAATAACATTTTTGACGTGAAATCCTTGATGCGTTCTTCGTGTTTTTGAAGTGTCAGTTTGAATCACACAGTTTTACAAAATGAAATGTCAATGTTTGAACGTAAAGCAGACTAATTGTTTGGGAAAATATCTATGGAAAAGTATGCCGCCATCTTGGATGAAGATAAAATAAACTTACGACAGGTATTAGGCTATCTTAGATTTACGACAATCTTAAGATATCTTAGGGCTACGATAGTTTCGAAATTAGGCTACGATAGCCTACGATTTCCTTACGATAACTTTACGATAATTTTAGGGCTACGATCATTTCGAAAATCTAGGCCCAGATACCAAATGTCACTGTCCATACACAGTTATCTCCCTTCCCCAGTTTTCTAAGGAGTGTGTCAAAGCTGCTGTTTCCATTATTATTTGTTGTGTTTTCTTGCTATTATTGTTTTGACCACGAGGAGTTGGATTCACTCCTGAACTGAAACCATGACATGCTCTTTCGTCACTTTCGTAAATCATGGATATAAGTTGAAGCTTCTCAAAGGAAACTAATCCATTGATGACAGTGATGACCCTCACTACCAGTCTGTTCAAGTTGTCTTGTTATCGTCTGCTATATTCGCCACAGCTTCTGTGTGGAGTTGGAATACTGAGTACAGTGTTAGGAGGAAGTCACATGTTCCCTCGGGGGGGCACAGGTGGCCCCATCGTCTAAGGCGCCAAAATTCGCTGTGCAGAGTTGCGTCCCTTGGACACTCCAAAAACCTATGATTGTGGGTTCCGATCCCGGTTCGCCCGATTATGTTTCTAGGTATGTCAGCACCATACCTGTGCTCATGGGTTTCACCGAAGTGGATTGTTTGTTTGTTGTTTAACGCCGCTCTCAGCAATATTCTAGCTATGTCGGCAGTCTGTAAATAATCGAGTCTGGACCAGACAATCCAGTGATCGACATCATGAGCATCGATCCACGCAATTGGGATCGATGACATGCATCAACCAGGTCAGTGAGCCTGACCACCCGATCCCGTTAGTCGCCTCCTACGACAAGCATAGTCGCTTTTTATGGCAAGCATGGGTTGCTGAAGACCTATTCTACTCCGGATCTTCACGGGTCTCACCGAAGTGGTAAACATCTAAGACCTACATCACTTCGGGCTTTCCTCCGACATCAAGCTGACACGCTGTGATATAACTGGAATACTGTTAAAAGCGGCGTTAAACCCAACTCACTCACTCATTTACATGTTCCCCCCAAGACAGATAATGGGCCTCTAATAGAAACCGGCTCCAGATATGTTTTTTTAAGGGTTGAGTCTGATCCCCGTGTAGAAGGCACATAATGAATAATAGTAGAGAAGTAATACAGACTGAGTCTTGAATAAACGGTAGGTTATCATAGAAACAATACCTGAGTCTAGTCGAGAACATATGTTGTATACATGGGAGTATAATATATCCGAGGGGCAGTCAAAGATTTCTCCAACTGACCTCTGGCAAACATAGTTGAGTAAATACTCACAGGGTTAGAAACTGACAGTTTTTGTCCACTAGTCCTTATAATGATAACATATAGCAAAACCCTTAAAATGGGCCAATTTCTACTAGTCCTTATGATACCTTTACTATTGGGCAGTTTGGTAAGGACTACAGGACTAGTGCCAATATCTAACGCTGACTCACTAGAGTTGACTCCGACAAAGGGACTGGCTCCACACGTTGCCCACTACCTGATGCCTGGACACAAACACTCTCTAAAGGATAGGATTAAGCAGTGTCTGGTGTATAGCTAACTCTACAGTGTGCTCACTCTCTCAGTAGGTTGCTGGGTGTGGCTAGGGCTGCTGATGCTCTTGACTACTTGAACAGCGTGTTGGTGCACATGCTTGTGTTGGTTGTGAGGAGTCCGGTGTTTTGGGGGATGATCTGAGGGAATAACGTCACATCACACACGTCAGTGCCCTGCTGTGCTCCAAGTCTTATTTAGTTTTCTCTCAAGCGACTTAAAAAATGTAAAAAATTGGAAATTGATCTCTCATTCGTTAGATAGCTGCAGCGAATATTCACAACTTTCTCTCATTACGACCGAATCCCCGTCAATTACCCCCCTGCCACCATTGTGGGTTCGTACTGCAGGCTTCCTGGTGTAAGTGTTGTGTTGTGTTGTGGTAGATGTCGTGTAGTTGTAGAGGTTGTGTTGGTGTAGTTTAGGCTGTTGGGCTGTGTGTAATATAGTCATGTACATGTTCAGCATTTATTTTCCCTCACATATTGAGCAGATATTTATCACAAGGTTCTCACAATTTAATTCCCCCAACACCCTTGTGAGGTACATCAACACATGTTAGTAGAAAAAACACTCTCTGGAGGATTATTGACAGAGGTAGACAGTTTACTGTGCTAAATGGGTTATCCAGAAATATTGAAATGGGAACCTAAATGTACAAACAACAAAACCTGTTGCCTTCACAGTCCAGATGGTCATCTTGACCGGTACGGATCTTGTGGAGTCCGGCAATGGACGTGGGTAATCAGTAGCCTGGGATGGGTAACTTGGGTACCCGGGTCGGGTGGATACTGAGTAGGACCCGGGTACCCACAGGACTACCAAGAACCTGTGGTTAGTTACGTGATATATTGTTTAATGGCATAATTTATCTAAAACTCTATGGTTACATTTTAAGTGAATAATTTTCGTGTTTCTTTCTGACTATGCATGCATTCATTCGGACTTGATATGTTTGAATAAAGATAAAACTTCAGTCAACTTCAGTGTATGCATGACCATATCATTCTATATGTGTATCTAATACATTTTGCCAGGGCTATGGTCAAACGATTCCCAATAGGACATTTGGACCTGTCTCTTGAGACCTACAGTGGGTACCCGAGTAGGGTCGGGTAATAGGGGTGTGGGTACCCAGGTAGTAAATTTGACTTCGTCCCAGCCTTAGTAATG